ATCACGTACCGAGACCTGCTCATCGCATGCCAGAGACGAATCCAGTTCCTCAACCAAGAGACGCGACTTCGCTGGTGTAAGTCTTCTCGCTTGTTGTCACTTTTGTGTTGTGTGCTGAATCTGCCCGCAGATGATCTCATGCTCCATTATAACCTCGCGATCCTGATGGTCACCGACATCGCCACGGCAACGCTGCGAGAAGATCTCCTATCCCTCTTCTCGGCGAAGCGAGTCGACGCCGAAACATGGGTCATGAATTGCCTCGCGTTCGGTCTGAACAACAAATACACTCTGAAGCTCCAGCGGCATCCGGATGCCACCGACCCGCCGACTCAGTCACAGCAAGCAACGAGCATCACCGTGCCTCTCGTCGCGATCGATCCGTATCCGCACCACGTCGTCGCCGCCGTGAAGCTCATGCAGCACGCTATCGACAGGGACTTTGCGGCCGAGAAGATCAGCGCGGACGCGTACACCAACTTACATTCCACGTTGCAGCAAACCCTGAGCCAGCTCCCTCAAGTCTCCAAGTCCGTGCAGACGACGCTGGCTGAGTTTGAAGCGGCCGAACAGCCGCAGCCTCAACTTTATCCGTGATGTCGAAGAGCGGTGGTGAATCTTGCCATCGTCGGCTCAGCAGTGTCTTTCGCCACGACGAACACGTAACATTTCAATAGCCAGAGAGTGCCATTCCGTGGGAATTTGCCATCGACGGCATGGCGAATCAAGATGAAACTCGCGGCGCAGTACATAATATCTAATCGGGCGTAGTGGAAGGACGTGGCCCATAGCGAGGGCAGAGTTGCTACGGTGTCACAGACGAGTACTTCGTGGTGTACGAACTCACGTTGTATGTCATGAGAATCGAAGTACTCGCTCGAGCTCGAAAGTTGATGCAATCCCGCGGCTATTTGCGTGCCATCCTCATTCATGTCGCCTGCACGGACAGGATGGAGTTCATTTGACCCTGCATTCTCGCCCAGTAAAAGTACATCTATGTGTCAGTGTGTTGTGCTCATGCCAATACCAGCCTTTACCCCAGGACTGCCCATACTAGGACCTTAGATGATGTGATATGGGATGAGGCCTATCATGTGAGCAGCACAACAAACACTGCAGTGAGGAAAATTCATCTGATCGGTACTGCGAGAGGGAGGAGGTGATGGTAACCAAGCGTAAGAGTTTGGTAACCACGCACCCCTGATTGACATGCCCACTTGCCATGCCGGCACAGCAAGACGGAATGTAAGCGCAGAGAGGCTCAAAAGATGCAGTCAATGGTGGCGGCGTGTCGTCTGCTAGAGAGTTTCTCGAGGTTATTCGCGCATTATCCGTGCAGTGAGACTCATGGGAAAATGTGGTGACTTTGTTTGTCGAAGCTAGGTCAAGCTCAGGACCGCGATGCGCTTCCTGCACATTGCGGCAACCCTCCTGAGTACGCCATAGCGTGAGGCTGCTCACCTGTTCAAGGACTCGTGGCCGAGTCTGAGACGGTGAGTATCTATATACAAGTGCTGGTTTCGCGTGAAGATCGAGACTTATAGAATTTGATTGCAAAGTTGCGCGTCTTGATACTACGTCATGATGAGATCTGACTAACGCGATTAGGACTAGCCTAGGAACTTCAAAAGGACAAAAGCTGGCACTCGAGCATCACCGTCGCGTGAAGACACGAGTTCTAAGCAAGTCGGTGACAGCTTTGAGAAAGACAAGGGTTCAATCATGTCCAGCGCTCCTCCGTTCTCCCTGTACCCTTCACAAGACATACCAAGCAGGTCGCTCGGGCGTCTTTGGCGCATTCTCCTGTCCTTGGAGCCAGTCATCATGGACCTGAACCGGTCAAATTCCCAGTGTTCTTACAGCACCGGATCGAAGGCGGCTGCAACGTTGTCTCTACTGAGACGACGGTGCAAACTACCCTGCTGCCTTCGCAGACCACCGCGGCAGGTTCCGCCAAAGCGAAGCATTCGAAGCACTACCGAATACGAATAGCCTTACGACAAGCGACTTGGCGAACATGCGTCACGTTGCATCCGGATCCGGGACCATATTGTTTTGCCGTTCGCGCGTCGCGTCTGGTTGAGCAGGAGATGCAACACGAACTCTGCCCAATTAGAGCGCATGACAAGCGAACGCTTCGGGTCCGGACTCTGAGGGCTCCATTCTCCGCCACTGAGCGCCTCGTGCCGGAGAGATCACCCCCAACCCCTGTGCCACAAGGCCCGACGGGGGGTTGCCATGAGGGGACCACCTCCGCAGCCACGCGGAGAAAACGCGGAGGCCATGCAGGGTTGTTCGCTTCCGGAGATCTAGGCACATGTCAGAGGCTGAAATCCATGATCTCAACCTTTCAATTACCGGAAGCATGAGCCTGCCTATATAGCGCGTGCTGGTCCCCTCGATCGTCAATTGCCCTACCTGTGCGCTCTTCCAACCATTGTCCCATCAATCCTTGGAGCAGCACAAGGACTTCGCATACACCCCACCGTCTCCAGCCATGGCCGAGGAACGCGGAGAGAAAACGTCTGTGGGCGAAAAGGATGTCGTGTATGATCATGCTGTATGTAACTGATCCTCGGTCGCCGACCCCGACTACTCCTGGCTGCATGTCCGCTGCTGACACATTACTCCGCTGTCGTAGAATTCCAAGCATCATGACCCAAACTGGACGGGAGAAGGGGTTGATACCTCGATGGTTGATGCCAAAAAGGTCCTGCGGAAGATGGATTTGCGGCTGATCCCGATGCTTGCCATCCTATATCTGCTCTCCTTCCTCGACCGAGGGAACATTGGAAGTGAGTTTCCCCCCGCTCTCGAATGAGCGCGGATGCTGTGTCTCAAGCAATGGTCCTTGTCCCGTGGAGAATGGCACCGACTGACGGATCACCACAGATGCGAAAATCCAAGGCATGCAGACCGACTTGGACCTTTCAGGCTCGGAGTACAATCTTTGCGCCACTGTCTTCGTAAGTCTCGACCCCGGTCGCAAGCCTTGTCCTTCCCCACGTTGCAATCTAATCATGTCTTGCGTTATAGTTCTTCACATACTGCGCTTTCGAGATCCCATCGAATCTGCTCCTCAAACGCTTCAGACCCTCTGTCTGGCTTCCAGCTATCATGGTCGCATGGGGCACGGTCATGACTTTGATGGGCCTTGTGCAAAACTACCATGGCCTCCTCATTGCGCGCATCTTCCTTGGTGTGACTGAGGCCGGCCTCTACCCCGGTGTCGCCTACTACCTGACAATGTGTGAGTGGACTCCTTGCCCTTGATACTTTCCAAACACTAATACGCTATCTTCCAATCAGGGTACTGCACCGAGGAACTTGCCTTCCGCCAGAGTCTCTTCTTCAGCGCGGCCAGCGTAGCAGGCGCTTTCTCCGGTCTGCTCGCCTACGCCATCGCCAAAATGGACGGAGTCGCCGGACAAGAGGGCTGGCGATGGATCTTCATCCTCGAGGGTCTTTTGACCGTTGCCGTTGCCTTTGCAGCATTCTTCCTCCTCTACGATTTCCCCGACACTGCCTCCTTCTTGACCACGGAGGAGAAGGCCTGGGTCGTGCACCGACTCAAGTACCAGGGCAGTAAGAAGAGCGGGAGAATCGTTGCCGAGAGCGACCATTTTGAATGGAAATTCGTTCGGAAGGGTAAGTTTAATTAGCAGCTGCTCGTCCTCGTCCTCCTTCTCCTCCTCCTCCTCCTCCTCCTCCTCCTCCTCCTCCTCTCCTCTTCTCCCTTCTCGTTTCTCTCTTGTTCTCATATACTGACGCCAACCTTGCACAGCCCTCACCGACTGGCAACTTTACCTGTCACTTTTGATGTATTGGGGCATCGTCTGTCCCCTGTACGGCATATCGTTGTTCCTTCCGACCATCATCAAAGAACTGGGCTACACGTCGACGACGGCCCAGCTGCTGACCATCCCAATCTACATCACGGCCGCCATCCTCGCCGTCGTGGTAGGCTACCTGTCCGACCGAGCCACCAAGCGCGGCGCCTCGCGCTGGCCGTACATTTTCGTCCCCATGTGCGCCATCCTCGTGGGCTTCATCGTCGCCATCTCCGGCTCCGCGGCCGGCGACATCCCCGGCGTCGTCTACGCCGGCGTCTTCATCGCAACCTGCGGCATCTACCCGGCCTTCCCCGGGAACGTCACGTGGATCGCGAACAATCTGGCCGGAAGCTACAAGCGCTCCGCGGGCATGGCGCTGCAAATCGGACTAGGTGAGAGAAATCTTCCGACATCCCTGTTCCCCCTTCCTGTGGGCGATGAGAAAAAAAGACTAATGCGATCAATGTGCGGCCAGGAAACCTCGGCGGCGCAATGGCGAGCAACTTTTACCGCAGCGTCGATGCCCCAAAGTACCTGCTCGGCCACGGGCTGGAGATCATGTTTGTGGTGCTGGGCCTGGGCGCTGTCATCACGCTGCGCATCTCCTACGGCGTCATCAACAAGAAGAGGGAGCAGAGCGGTGCCGCCGAGTCGTACTCGGATGAGCAGCTCGCTGACATGGGCGACAAGAGCCCCAGTTTCAGGTATACGCTGTAAAAGTAGAAGGGGAGAAGATGACGACGCCGCGTGTGCTGAGCAGGCGGGCGGACCTTGATGACCAACCAATTCATGCTGCGAACGAGCGAACGAGCGAAAGAACCCCGAACAATATGATCGGTTTTGGTTTCGGTTTCGGTCTCCAAATCGACCATTTCAGTGAATCATTACTCCGTACAGGTGCTGTAAACCGTTTCGCCACATCGATGCCCCATATCCGAACAGGTTCGTGTCTGTATCCACTATGTATTGGTGTCGGTGTCGATCGCGAAGTCGGCGTCCGTATATCGATGACTCTCGCTCTTTTGCTACGACCGAATATCTTCTCCTTTCCTTCACTATGATTATCCTTCACTCTGGGAAAGAACGCCCGATTTCACGCATCCATCACATACATACAGCGCAGCACAGCGCAGCGTGAGCATCGCAGGGCCTTCAGCGCAAGCCGAGCTACGCCTTCTCCGTCGCAATGACGCTCAAATTCTGCGCCACTGGCGCCGCCAGCCACAGCTCATGCATATCCATGCTCTCGTCGGTAACCTCGCCCGCGAACTTGAGATCGAAGCGATGGAACAGGGCGGCCAAAATGACACGCAGCTCCATATACGCAAGGTGAATGCCTATGCACTTGCGCGGACCGTCCGCGCCAAAGGGGATGTACAAGTGACGCATCTCGGCCGTCTCGTCGAGCCAGCGCTCGGGCCGGAACCGGTCCGGGTCGGGGAAGACGTCCGGGTCGCGGTGCGTGGTGTACGCCTGGACGGAGACGATGGTGCCGCGTGGGAGAATGTAGTCGCCCATGACGGCCCCTTCTGGGGGCACGTAGCGGGGCGTCGAGCCGGGGACGGAGGTGTCGATGCGTAGACCCTCCTTTATGATACAATTCAGGTAGGTCAGGTTGTCGAGTTTGGCATGTGGAGGGACAGCTTTGCGGTCGTGGGTGCCCAACGCGGCGTCGAGCTCCTCGTTCAATTTGCGGTGGATGTCCGGGTTCTTGAGGATGCGCCACACGATCCACGTCAGGGACGACGAGGTGGTGTGGGATCCGGCCAAGATGAAGCTTGTCGATTGCACGTTGAGGTCCTCGTCGGGGAGGGGCTGGCCGTTTTCGTCCCGCGCGTTGATCATCTTTTGGAGGAGGTCTTTGTCGCGGCCTTTGTTCTCCTTCAGCTTGTATTCGTGCACCATCTTCGTGCCGCGCTGGTAGCCGCGCACGCTGCAGGCTTCGGCGTCGCGGATGAACTTGAATGGCGCGTAGCTGGCGTATTTGTTGAGCCAGCCAAAGTGCCATCGAACGGGCTCGATGGTCAGCGACCCGTACATGTCTTTGATATAGGGGTTGACGGCGCCCTTGTGGAGCATGTCGAAGCCCATGCCAAAGCAAAGCTCGCATGTAATGTCCATGGACAGGTAGTGCCACCAGTCGTAGAGGTTGCTGGCTTTGCCTTCCTTGCCTTCTGCGGAAATGAGGTCCAGACATTCGCGGACGTTTCTCTGGATAATGTCCTCGTATTCAGTGATGGTGGACATTGAGAATAGATGGGCCAGCTCGCGGCGTCGCTTGGCGTGTGCTTTCCGGTCGGCCATGGTGAAGAGCTCAGGTTTGGCGTCAGTCATGCCGCGCAGCTGGTACTGATAGAACTCGGTCTTGGTGAACTCCGAGTTGACGCCGTAGATGGCGGTGATGGCCTTGCTGTCCGAGGTCGAGATCTCGTTGGGGGAGACTCGCACCCATGGTCCGTACTTCAGGTGGAGCTCATGGATGGTCTTTGCACGCACTCCGGCCCAGGTCTTGTATACGCTGCTTCGTCGTTAGTGTCCAAACCTGAATGAGGAGACAGCAGAGAGAGGACGTGGTCAAGATTTTGTACACTCACAGCCACCATTTGGTGTAGCCTGCCCACCAGGGACCTGGAACCTTTCGTAGGGGCGAGAAGTACCACGGGTAGAGCAGCCAGTAAATGACAAGTAGAGGGAGAAGGACGACGGCGACCTGAGTGGTGACTTCGGAGCTGAGCATCGCCATGTTGCAAGAATCAAGTCAATGGCTGTGCTTGTGTGGTTCCCACGATCTGTTCGGCGAGCTCGGTGACACTGTCTGCTTATGTACGGCTGGAGAGCTGGTTCAGCCCGACAAGGCGGTGAAGTACCAAGTTCCCATGGTTGAGGGGAAGGTCTTCGTATATACGAGACGATTCCAGCCTTGCCGCAGCCAGACTGCCATCCGGCTCTCCCCCGCTGCAGCCAGCATGACTCGAGGATTCGTTTTGAGCAAGCCGCGTCTGAGGGGTCGCGGACCGGGAATCTTGCAGCTTCGCCAATGGAAATCCTCATAACAAGTGATACATGTGCACAGTCTTGGTTCTCCGCCAAAGTCCGCACCAACTCCGTCAGCTTGATGAAGAGCGTGTAGTCATTTGGGTCGTCCTCGGGACAATACGAGGTGACCTGGGGAAAAACGCGGGGATGGGGAGTATGGGGATGTGAGAAAGCAAAGCGGCGCCCAATGAGGACTTAATTATAATAATGTGAAGAGCATGAAAGCCCCGGGTCGCCTATAGGGTTCTGGAGTTGCTGTGGAGAGCGGGTTTGGAGTAGAGCATTAAGATCCTAGATCTCTTAAACGAGCTTCCTTGTATTGGAGTACCAGGAATTGAATGACAAGGTTGGAGATCTGTGACGGTCGCCAGTGAGGACGGCGTCCAGCTTTCTTTTCCGGACTTCGCCAGAACCAATGTTCGGGAGATGGAGAGCAACAGAGAATCGGTACATTCCCGCCTGGGTCCACATTGAGACGAACTCTCTTATGCCTGGACCAGCAGAGTGTCTTGTGAGGTGCCGAGTACACGCGCTTGGATATCCGCAAGCGGGACAGATCTGAGACCCAGGTCATCAATACTGGTGGAGCCTGAGGGTGGTTCCGAAGACCTAAGAATGCGAGCAGTAAGCAAGTCTTGCCGCTTGCCGTGCGTCCATGGAGTTCGATCTTTTCGCCCTTCGGCTTGCCATGATGACGTGTCGGAAGCCGTCTTTGCGGCACCATAGCCAGCCCTAAGCTGGGCGCTACCTCTGCTGGGCCATGCGAGGGAGACGTGGCCGTGCGCTGGCCAGGCATGTTCCTTGAAAGTTGACAGCCAGGGTCGTGACTGCTACAGCGAGTGGGCGATGACCAGGTCGAGACCGAGCTGTAACGATCTTTCCGCATCGTAGCGATAGAAGTGTAGATGAGAGCCATCGAACTTCCTGATCATGAATCCGGTGAATTGTCGGTCCTAATGAAGGCTTCAAAAGGGGGATAAGCCCTTGATGGTACCGAGGAGTCAAGCATACACAGAGCCCTTACTTCAAGTATAGCCACTGGACGAGGACGACCGCAAGTAGCACAGCAGGCGCTGTCGGACACATCCAGCCTGATCCTGAACTTATCAGTTCAGGAGATCAAAGGACCCACTGAGAAAGATGCTCGTGCATTGTGCGTCAGTGACAAGTCGTAATTCAATCAGTGTCCTGTCTTGACTAGATCTGTTGAGCATTGCGCCGGCTTCAGGTAAGTTTGGCCTTGGTGACAATGGCTGGTGATAACTGGTCTGATTGACGAAGCTGCATTGGTAGGTTCAGTACTTGCCACCAGGGAGAATCAGCTTCCCTATCTGAGCAACCATTGAAAGGCACGCCTTGATTGACTTTGGCAAGCGGTAACCAGATATGATCTGCTGTGCCGTTTCTGTGGGAGAAGAAACCCAACCCACCAGAGAGGATGCTACACCACTCTATGTGTGAAGTCGAAAAGTCGGACACAGGAAGCTATCGCCGGGGCCGGATTCGTTGTCTGCATCGAACTTGCAGTTTCCTGATCATGCCGTTCTCGAGTCTCTCGCGCCATCGTAGATCCAACCGACAAAGGCGGGAACTGGCGGCGTTGCAGCCAGGTGTTAACGAGTCACCAACCTGAAGACATAGACACAAGGGAATCTGCCCGTCATAGGCCTCGAGACGCATGACCCGCGAACCGAGCGGTTTCGTGAGCTCCATTCAGTTTGCATTATTGCTGCTTGGGCAGACGCAATTCGTCTGTCGTGCTGGACCGCTGTCGCCTTGTTACATGTAGATGGCGCATTTAAAATGAGCTCTTCGAGCGTTCTAGACAACACGTTTTCTGTGGTCCAAGCATGAGGGATATCTGGGTAATTAGTCCCAGTCGAGCTGGAAGTTGTGAAAGTTACGAATCAGGTTTCGCAGTTTGTTGCGGGCCAAGGGATTCAAGTTTCGCAGGGAGACAGAGACAGGCCACTTCTCCCATACGCGTCGCATTTCCTGCGAAGCCACATTAACTTAGACCTGTGCGACTATACAATAGACTGCTTCTCGGTCCCTTTGGAACTGTTATAATGTATTATTAGGCCTGTCGCGCTCCTTGAACAAGCTCTTCTTCATTCCGCTCGCCTGCCAGTTACTCAAGTTCAATGAGGCCCTTAGGCAAATCCGACTCACACACCCATGTCATTCCAACCTCCCAACGATGTCCCGTCGTTCACCGGTACTCAACGGGCGTACGAAGACACATATTGGCGGCCGAAAAACAGTGGTAATGGACAGGCAAGAGGAGGAACGCCGGGCGCCATCACATCCAAGATCAACGACATCTTCGGCGAGACCAAAGGCCTTCCGATGTACAAGGATAAGCCGCATTTCCCGTCAAGTCGGCGCAAAGGCAGGGGTCTGCTGGGGCGGAAGCGAGTGCTGGTTTTGATCGGCTCTGCGTCGTTACTCTTGCTTTGGTGGATGGGCTGGTTACCTGGGAGCAGTAGACAATACTATGACCCGGCGGACCATCTCCATCCCTTCTTCCATGACGAGGACTGGACGGAGCAAAGGGAGGCGGTGAAAGAGGTGTTCAAGACATCATGGGAGGGCTACGAGAAATATGCCTGGGGCATGGACGAGTACAATCCCTTGTCCCGCAGGGGAAAGAATATGGTCGAGGGCGGAATGGGATGGATCATTGTCGACGCATTGGATACTGCCATGATGATGAACCTGACCTCGCACGTGGCGCAGGCAAGAGAATGGATCTCTACCTCGCTCTCTTATACAGCGGACCACGAAGTCAATACTTTTGAAACCACCATCCGCATGCTCGGCGGCCTGCTCTCCGCCTACTATATGTCAACCACGTTCCCACACCTCGCGCCGCAACGTGACGATGACGCCAACCAACCGGGCGAAGATCTCTACATCGAGAAGGCCACTGACCTTGCCGACCGCCTCATGGGCGCCTATGAATCGCCCTCAGGCATACCCTATGCGTCTGTGAACCTCAATACCTCCCTGGGCATGGCTTCGCATCTCGACGCAGGCGCATCTTCCACCGCCGAGGCTGCGACTCTGCAGCTTGAGATGAAGTACCTCGCCAAGATCACAGGCGAGCCGATCTACTGGCAAAAAGCGGAGCACGTTATCAAGGTCATCGAGTCCCAAAAGCGCGAAGATGGTCTGTTACCAATATACATATATCCCTCGACTGGCGAGTTTCGGGGCAACAATATACGGCTAGGATCTCGAGGCGACAGCTATTACGAATATTTGATCAAACAATACCTCCAAACTGGTGGCGTGGAGACCGTGTATCTGGAGATGTGGGAAGAGGCACTCCAAGGCATCAAGAAACACCTGATCACCTATTCCAAGCAGGCATCACTGACAATCCTTGCAGAAAGGCAAAACGGCCTTTATGCTCCCCTGACAGCCAAAATGGACCATCTCGTGTGCTTCATGCCAGGAACGATCGCGTTGGCCGTGACGGGTGGACAAACAGTCGAGCAAGCCAAAGCCAGACTCGGAAACCAATGGACAGCCAAACAAGATGAAGATCTCAAACTCGCCGAAGAATTGATGAAAACATGTTGGGGCATGTACAAAGTTACGCCGACTGGTCTTGCGCCTGAGATCGCCTATTTCCACGTGGACAATCCTGCTCCGCAGTGGCAAGCGCACGTCGATCCAAACTGGTCGCCACCACAGTCTGCGGATCTTACAGACGATCCTGATGCTCCATGGCGCTCCGACTATGATATTCATACGAACGACGTGCACAACCTCCAACGACCCGAGACGGTCGAGTCGCTCTTCTACATGTATCGCATCACCAAGGATAGGAAATACCGGCAATGGGGATGGGAAATGTTTGAAGCGTTCCGCGAACACACAAAAGTGGTTGATGAGGTCGAAGGGAAAGTGTATGCATACACTTCGATCGACACCGTCATGGAGAATCCAGTCAAGGAACGAAGACGGAGGGACAACATGGAGAGTTTCTGGTTGGCCGAGACGCTCAAGTATTTCTACCTTTTGTTCTCAGACGACGACTTCTTCCCGCTCGATACGGTTGTATTCAATACCGAGGCTCACCCACTGCCCAAGTTTGATATCTCGGGGAGTAAGGTCTTTCTGACGGGGTGGCAAAGAAGTAAAGAGCCGCCTGCGGACTCAGATGTCCAGCCCAAGGATGTGAAGGTGGGAAGTGGCGTGCGCGTCGACGAGAATGGCATGAACATCGTCCTCGACCTAGGAGAAGGGGAGAAGAAGATCGTCCCTTTCGACCCCGAACAACAGGAACCTTCAGGAGCAGAAAGTTCGGAGCCACAGATACCTACAAACAGTCAATTCGAGAGAAAGGACAAGTGATGAGGACGGTGAGCATGGCTTTCTTGGACACGGTTGAGCCAACCCGACTTTTTTGAGCCGGCGAACAATACATGCCATCAGTTGATGTTGTTCTGGTTGGTTACTCCTCAGTTGTTTTGCATACCTCATTGTTGGCGCTGGGCTGGTATCAAAATGTCGTTGTCTCTTGCATAAAACAGAGGTGTTGAGCATTCTTTGAATTTGAAACTCGAACGGGTGCCGGTCGCATTTGTGAGGCACATCAGGAGGAGGCTCGAAGAAAGCGGCCTAATCAAAGATGCCGGACCTCGAAATTCACGATTTTCTGACTTCGGGGCTTCACCTTCTCTTTCGTTCACCATCACCTCTCACTTCTTCAGCTTGAACCTAACTTATTGTGCACATCATTCCTCAAATTTTCCACGTACAGCATAAGACAAACGTCTCAAGTTCATCTAACCATGGCGTCAACCGAAGACAACAAGCTCACCTTTGTGATGATGGTTCTGAAGAACTCGGACATGAAGCCAGACTGGAAGGCGATTGCGACCGAGGCCGGAATCAGCCTTCCTGGCAACGCGTAAGAGGAACCTCATCTGCTATCTCGACCAAGTGACACACGACTGACCACTAACACGCCGAAAACCCCCAGTCAAGCCAAGCTCCGCAAAATCGCCCAAGCAGCAGGATACAAGCTCGTGAATGGTAATCAGATTGTCGAGTTGGATGGCACCGAGGACGCAGCAAAGACCGCGACAGCAGCGCCGACGAAGAAGAGAAAGTCCCCTACCAAGAAAGAAAAGGTGGCCAAGGACGAGTCAAGCAACGAAACTGCCACAGAATCACCAAGCAAGAAGACGAAGCTCACTCAAGTTGCTAGCGACAGCGCCCAGGAGGAGGTCAAGCAGGAGGTCAAAGATGAAGAGGCCTAAGGCAAATGCTCAGCGACCATTAAGTGTTGTTTTGAGTGGGCGAGGAATGACGAAGAGATGAAAACGCTCTTGGGGATCAAAGCGTACTCTCACCAACACAGGGCTTGCAGTTGTGCATGTCACGAATCTTGACTCTTGAATGAATATCAAAGCACACCACTGCTGGAGCTGAGGAAACACCAAAGCCAACAGACGTTTGTCCGATCGTTGGGAATCACAATCCTGAACATTGATTGAACACTGCCTTCATCTTGTTGTGCCTGTGCTTGCACCTGTGCCTTCAGCCTTTCAATTTCACTTCCACCTTCACATCCGCATTCATACGCAACTCACTCGCCATTTACAATCACGTTCTCCCTCTCCCACCTCGAAGCTCTTCAAACATCCAATCTCCATTATCTCCCACATCTCGAATCATTAACTACTACGCAGAAGTCATCATGCCGGAGTTGAACGCAGAGCAGATCGACTACATGATGATGGTGCTGAAGAACACGGAGATGAACCCAGACTGGAAGATCATCACTGCGGAAGCCGGAATCAGCAGAACCAGCAACGCGTAAGTCGGAAAGAAACCCTTATCTTTCGCTCCCTCCACCTGGGTTTACCCTACCTACCTTTACCTGACTAACTAATTACTGACTTGCCCGACACAGGCAGCGCAAGTTCCGCCAAATCATCGAGGCAGCAGGGTACAAGCTCGTGAACAACCAGATCGTGGATCCGGATGAGGACCAAGCGATCGGCAACCATTCCGCTGCGACTGCGACTGCGGCTGCGACTGCAACTCAGTCTCCGTCTCCGTCTCCGGCTCCGGCTCCAGCTCCGCAAGGGAGGAAGCGAAAATCGGCTATGAAGAAGGATGCGACCGAGGAGGCGGGCGTCAAGAAGAGAAAGACAAGTCAGCATGCTGGCGATTCGAAGCGCGATGGAGACGGTGAGGAGGAGATCAAGGCCGAGGCTGCAGATGAGGAAGTCTAAGCCTGCCATGCCTACTGTGTACCTCTTATGAAATGGTGGTGGTGGCAATGAGGTCGAGACGGACCAAGCTAACTCTAGCACACGGTCACTGTGAAAATAATATGCATGGACGCAAAGGAGAACACGGCGTGGATGAACGATGACACTGAAGGAAAGGGTGGAGAATATCTATCACACAGATAAATATTGGCTTGGACACACACCGCCAACACCGGAGACCTACCTTATGAGCTGAAGCTGCCGTGACTGAAATCAAATTCTGCTTCGCCTGCTTGCTGATCTTCCATTTCTTTCACCTTCACCTCTTATCCTATCTCTCTCCATCGCACACTCAGACACAAACCTGCACTCTCTCAATCGACTCCCAGTCAGAATTTTCAACATCCTATCTGTCTTTCAACTTGTGACCACGCCCCTACCCCAGTCATCATGGTGACGGCAACAACAGAAGAGAAGGTCGCAGAGAAGATGGCCTTCGTGATGCGCGTGCTGAAGCACACTGAGATGTCGAAGCCGAATTGGAAGGCCATCGCGGCGGAAGAAGGTATCTCGAGATCGGACAACGCGTGAGTTGAGCTGAATGGACTGACTTTCCCTTGATGATCCGTTTCTCTGTCACTATCGCTCTCCCTCTCTCTATCTATATTGCTGTCTCGGTCTCTACATCATACTGACCACCGCCCTGCCTTGATAGTCAGCAGAAATTCCGCAAAACCGTCGAAAGCTTGGGCTACGCTTTTGTGAATGATCAGATCGTCGACTTGAAAGACGGTGAGGGCGGTGCTGGAGGAGCAAGTGCAGCTGCAACTCCAGGTACCAAGACCGGAACCACAACCACTCCAACCAAGAAGAGAAAGTCTCCCGCCAAGAAGGATAAGGAGACCAATGGAGGTGAGACTCCAAGCAAGAAGTCCAAGACTACTTTGCCTGCTCCTGCTGGTGGCAGAGATAGTGGTGAAGTTGAGGCAACGAAGGCTCAGAGCCAGACCGAATGAAACCTACCCTCAGTGCAAGATGGCGGACTGGTAGGATTGTGATCAATGGATGAGAGAGGAGCCGCGGAGAGGCGGAGCCGAGGCAACCACGAGCGACGACAGACATGGTGGCTGATAGCATCAGGCACATACATACACAGTACTCAAGCCGGGCGTGTTGGATTGCTCGAGGGTGCTTGAATTGCTGGAAAGGAGGGTTTTTCGGAGGCGCGGACTGGAATTGCTTGCTCGCCTGCTCGAGTAGAGAGTCTTCCAGCGGGCGGATCATCCCTGACTGCAATGCGATGCAAGGTAGTGCAGTTAATGCTGCCGCACTGGCTTTCCACTCTTGTCTTGTGCTCTGGCCTGGTCTTGCCTTCAATCTCCGAACATACCAATGCTGGAGCATTCAGCAAGCACATAAGATTTGCCCACGGGACATGCTGCTCTTCTGCGTAAGCGTAGATCGACCCGTGCTGTCGCGTTCGTCTCTCCCAAACACTAAAGTCGGATGGAGTGCTGTTGCTGGCGACATAGCTTCGCTGCATTGCCCCCCCGGCTGTCCAAGTGTCACCCGGATGTCTCAGTTCGAGGCCAGAAGGTGCTCTCGGTCTACCCAAGGTTGGTGGGCGCCACATATCCTCGTGATATCATCTCATCTCATCATTTCAATCATGGGTATCGTTCTTTCAAAACCTCGGCCCCCTCTTGCGGCCCGTGTACTTGGAATCCATCTTGACTGCCTTGCCTTTGCCCCTCATCTTCTCCTTCTTCCGCAACACCCAGGCCTTACTACCCTTCACATCACCGGCAGAGGCCTTGCCCTTCATGGCCATCTTGGCCTCCCTGATGCGGCGTCCATCCTCGACATCGACACCGTCCATGCCCCTCACCCGCTCGGTGATATCTCCTCCACCGACGCTCAAAACCAAATACGTCTTGACGTTCTTCGTCCCACCATCGTCTTCCAGGATGCCCGCGCCAAACCCCGCCCGCACAGCAGCCTGAGAAATCATGGTCCGCTGCGCCTCGTTCTTCGGATAGAACTGCAACACCGCCCTCCCGCCCCTCTTCAGCGACGCGTACAGGCCGTCGAAGAACCTGCGCAGTCGGCCCTCGGGACTGACGCCGCTGCTCTCCGCATTACACAGCCACTGCACCGCGCTGATGGACACGGCCGCATCAAAGCTGCCGGCCCGAAAGGGCACTCCCTGGCCCATGTCCGCGAGGAACAAATCCCCCTCGACGTCTTCTCTTTGGAGCGCAATGTCCAGCATCGAGGGCGAAATGTCCATGCCCACCCAGATGTGGCCTTCTTCGGAGAGGATTTCGCCCGACAGCCCGGAGCCGCAGCCTATGTCGAGGACAAGCGAGGGGGAGGGCAGGTCAAGTAGATCCAGCGCGCGGTGCGTCATGGAGGATTGAATGGCCTGGATGCGCGACGACGTCGTGTATTTCGCCGACGCGGTGTCATCGTAGTATAGATCGGGAGGAAGGAGGTCTTCAGGACGCGACATATTGAACCGTGATGCTGGAATATCAAGGACGGCAAGATTGGACTTGTAGTCTCTGCAGCTCGAGGGCAGTGCCAGTGGCACACAAAATGGAGTAATGTGTGTTATTCAGCGTACATTTTGCGCCAGTTTTACACGTCGAGGGAAGGAAGACGACCGGGGGAATAAATTTTTGTGGAGCGGACCAGATTGTTTCACGCATTCTCCACACGAGAGACCGATGAAAGTGGGATGGGATCAACGCTGGGCAGCTTCAGCCTCGTCAGGTCAGCATTTTCACCGCACACGGCCTCAGGCTCAGCCTCGTGGCCCCGGGCAGGTTACTTGTGCACAGTCCGGGGTCTGTCGCGGCGTTCAGCTTGTGTGATCATAATGACAATGTGGGCTTGCCTGGTAACTTCAGTCATTACGATTACTCGTACTGGATGTTTCTGCACTCTGTACTCCGTAGCCCAATTCCGGTTACTTCGTGGCTATCAACCCCTAAACCTCGGTTAAACTAAACACCGCGTAGCGATACTGTGTAGCGAGCGGGTGGGCGAATGGAGCATTCTGGCCGGAATAAGTTCGTTCCGTTATTTCACTCCAGGCATTGCTAATTACGAGCAGTGTCTATGCGAGTTGGGCTTACTTCAACCGTTGGCACCAATACCATCAATGCAATTAGCAATGATGGGAAGGCGGATTGTCATTTGTGGCCGCAGTACGGGTACTTGGGCCGCCCGCAAACGGTCTTTCGTACAGGCTGAAAGCCTCTATTTTATGTACAATATCCGCGTTCTATGCTGACAAGCAGAAGCAAGTTGTCCACCTATTGTAACGCCAAGTCCAACTTTTGCCCGAAAAGACTACCAAAAGTGGCGGCAAAGTGGTTGTCAAAGGAGGGTGTGTGCTGGAGCGAGAATCCAGATGCAAAGGTGAGTTTCCCAGATTTACGGTTGTGACAGTGTTTCCTGGCTCTTAATCCTTTGTATTTCTGTCCGAATCAGCCACCACAGCGTCAATAACGTTCTTGTTGAGTCCCTTCCAGTTGTTCTTGGCCCAGAGGAACCAGAGCGCAAGCGCCACCAGCTGCACAAACGCGTTGATAGGGAGTGCATAGTTCATGCCCGCAGCCGTCACCGGCAGGAAAGATGGGAAGCAGAGGAAGACCATGATGTATGCCGAGTACACGACCGCGAAGATGTTGATGTAGACGCCGAAGCGACCGAGAGACCAACCAGAGGGCTCGACTCGGTTGTCCCACCGAGCCCACAGCATGCAGGCAACGGCCATCAAGTACGACTGGTACAGGCCAAGTGTCGACAGAGCAACGATGACGTTGAATGCAATGCTGCTGCCAATGTTAAGCAGAGCCAACAGCATGACGATGAACACTGGTAGCCAGACAGATCGGACAGGAATGCGGTGCTTCGGGTCGATTTTCGCAAAGTATGCAGGCAACGCCCCGTCACGAGACCAGGCCCAGGTCAGTCGAGATGCAGATGCAATGCTGCCCAAGTTGCAAGCCAGAGTGACAATCATCGACAGACCGACCATTGCCGAACCGGCCTTGACAGACTGGGTCGCATTGATGCAGATCAAAAGGAGCGGGTATCCCGAAGACAGGAGGTCCTCGACGTTTCCAGAGCAAAACAGGATGACAAGAACCATGCCGTAAGCAAGGGCACCGTTCATGACGATACTCCAGAACATGGCTCTCGGTACTGCATGTCGCGCCTTTCGTACTTCTTCAGACATGTGGACGGCTCCATCGAATCCTGTGTCTCCAGGTCAGAGCATATCCACTGAACTTGAACACGAGATTACTTACCGACAAATCCCCAGGTGGCTGTGAGCATGCCCAAGTTGAAGGAGACGTATTCATTGGTCCATCCGGAAAGGGCCGACTTCTCCAAGAAGACAAAGTCCGCACTGTGTCGGGGGGCCAACGTGACCAGAACTGAGACGAACACAATCCACATGATAACGTGCAGAAGCCCGGACAACATTTCAATCCACGGAATCGTCCAGAAGGCAAACTGGTTCATCAAGCCCTGGACAATGAGCAAGGCGTAGATGATCAGGGTCACATGCCAGCCATGAGGGACATAAGTTGGGTAGCTTGCGATGACCAGAGCTTGGATCATCAACGCAGCAATGTTGGCCACGCCCGCCAACAGTGAGATCCAGGAGAACCATGTGATCCAACCCTGCATCCATGTGATGAATCTCCGGTGCGCAGGGGGCGCCAGGTAATGAGTCCAGTGGTACTGTGCACCTGCAATGGGTTGTACCGAAGCCATCTCTGCCATGGATGCTACCTGGCACATAACGCCCGTGATGACGATAAAATAGCCGAACGAAAGAGCGCGAGGACCGCCATTCCAGAAGAAGAATGCAATGTTTCTGAGTACGATTAGCATTTGCTGGCTTTGACAACAGAGGATCGGGCGCACGATGAGATGGCCTCCCAAGATGACATGTAACTGAGCGCGAAGAAGAAGATCTGGGCAAAGCTGAAGAGTCTCTGCCATGTGGTCAGTAATCTGTCAATTGACTTCTACCCCGCGTACGTACTCGGACTCGTGTTGACGTGTTCCTGGTTTCGTCGGTCCTGTGGCCAGGATACTGGGTCGCAAACTGGCCCTTCTCGTCTTCAATGTTGACCTGAGCAGTCTTGACGGGCAGCATCTCGTGGGATTCCATCTTGGGCGGAGACTCTGGCGCAAACAGCTGGATTGCAACAGGAGGACTGAGGGGTGAGAAGGAAAGAAGAAGGAGTGACAAGAGTCGAGCTGCAGGTTATGCTTGCCGAAGTCCCCCTGAAAAAAACGTGGCCAACGTGCCAAAACCGGGTCTAATCCAAGGCAGGCCAAGCAAGGCGCGCTGCGGAACGTGGATGTCGAGATGTTCGAGACGCCGCGAGGTTGATAAGACGGCCAGCAGGTTGAAAACAAATGGCTCGATCGGTAATCCGTATAGTGCCTTCGCTACGAAGAGCCACGCAGCTTTGCCCAGACAAAGTAGCAGTGGAGGAATGGAGGAATCCCGCCAATGGAATGGCCACGCCCGGAGAAAGATTTGGAAGATTTGACGGTGAGGAAGGAGGCATGTACGCCCCTGACACCGATCTACCCAGGACACAGAGCAGCGTACCACGGTCATTTGGTCTCTGCTACTCGTCCGTATCGAAGTCGAGCCAGGCCAGGATGTTCCCCACCACCATGGACTGTTACACTGAGACGGAACGAGCGCCAGCCGATCTCGAGCACTCGGGATGGCGTGAGCTAGATGCTGCGCGAGACGTCGGGCCAAGACCAAGCTGTTCTAAGGCCAATGCAGCGATACCCCGAACTGGCTGTGATCACTTTTGGTGGTTTGCATGATAAGAGACGACAGGGTCTGCAGTGGTACCCAGGAAATAGCCCCAGCCAACTGCCGTTATTGGTGAATACAGATGCAGTTGATTGACAGTAGTGCCCGAGTCTGTCCGTATGGGGTTAGCGTGCCGCGGGCCGCTAGCACTTAGCGGCCACATCCGGACGCGCAACTCAGTTCCGCGACTGCCGATCCATTTCCGCGTTTGTCTAGCGCCAAATGCACCATGGAGAAGCGAAACAGCACCCGGTCAGTGTCGTCCAGTCTTGCCAACCGTGCCAACCTAGATTTCACCGTGTGCTCTCCGCGAATTCCCATGACAGAGCCAGTGGTCAGTCTTGGCCGGTCGCATTCATTCTCTGTGGTCCTGATCTGACGGTCGACAACACGAGCTGACGATCAATGATGGCAGGAGCGCTGAGGGTCCTCTTGAGCCACATGCTTTTGCAGATGTGACCTTAGCTTTTACCAAGCCGCCATTGGCAAGCGAAGCAATGCCATTTTGTCGTCCCTGGTGGATCAACCACCCTTTGAGCTTTCCCCGGGCCTTTGTCAAGGGGCCGCCTTTTTCCGTTAGCGCGCTGCTATCGACCGGGGTGTGATTCCTTTGAATCCTGGAACACTTGAGCAACAGGCCTGGGCTATCTGCATTGTCGCTATCTGCGTGGGTCTTGCTGTACGTACTAACACAGCCCTCGAATCAGATTCGAGGACGCAGCGTCGTTATCACAAAGACCCTTTCTCGGTCTCTTGAGACAAAGAGATCAGCAGCAAGAAAGACTATTGCGCGGGATTGACGAGCAGCGCGACCAGACATGTCCGAGCCTTGTTTAGCGAGTTACATCCCTTTGCAGGGACAGCGGGTCTGGGCCAATGCCTTTGGGGCGAAGGAATATCTCGACACGGTGCCACTGGTGGGCAATTTCGCGTCAAGACATGCTCCAGTTGTCCAGAAAGGAAAGGCTCAGCAGTATGCCTCACTCTGCCCGGACATATTGCGCGCCACCCCAAGACCCTTGGCGAGGACGAACGGCCCTTGCGCATACTGAGAGGCTGCAGCCAGCAATCAGGCTGGAAACTAAGGCCAAACCACCTTCGTTGCACCTGAGATCGCTTCGGTTGGATGTTCCTGCATCAACACGGAGCACCGAGCTCAACAAGAGGAGAGCCTGTCGATCAGCGCGGCATTTCAAGGCGATCCGGGCTTCAGCCAATGTCACGATACAATCTCCAGGCACCAAGGCCTCGCTAACTGAAGTTGTGCGCCATCGGAGAAGGGTCAAAGCCAAGCGACCTCAGCCGGGAGCCAACAGGGTACGAGGTTGGGAGCTTGGAAGCCAGGTCTGGTAAGTCAATCAATGGCGTCGCACCAGGAGAAACAAAGGAATCCCGTGTGCGATGGCGTTCTCGTCTGCAAAATCATGCCACGTTCCTGACACCCGCAGGGGATAGTTTTTGCTCCTATGTGCGTTCCACGGCCACTGCATGTCCTCAGCACACGTTTTGGGACTCCGTCGAAGTCTCCAGCCCCCTGTCGACCGGGGAGGTCTTCATGACAACGTGGTTCCTGGGCAGTCGACCCAGAATCCATCGCGAGACTAGAGTGATCTGCAGAGATATACCATATTATCACTTCCCTTGGTATCGACTGCTACTCTATTAACAAAACTCTCGGGCGCGTAACACATAGCCATCTCGCCCACCCAAATCTCTCAATATGTCGGGTAGTGAGGGTGGCATTTACGAACCACTACTTCCGCCGCTTCAAGATATCACGGCCACCAATCGAGGTCCTGTCGCACTGGCCACCGCAGTCACGCTCCTGATCATCTCCACGTTGACAGTCGTCGTCAAGCTCTGGACTAGGTTTGCCACCACCCGAAACTTTGGCTTGAACGATGCGGCCATTGTAGTATCAATTGTATGCTTGGACCAGAAGTTGAATCTTGACTTGTCTCTGGCTAATAGCTGCGCAGGTGTTTGCGTTCGGCCAGGCGATAACTTTGGCAGTTGCCACGGACCATGGCCTGGGCCGACATGTTGAGGATCTCCAGGATTCCGAAATTGCCGAGTTGAGCAAGGTAGGCGCGGTCTTACACCCATCCCAACAGCTGGTGCTGATGTATTTCAGCTGTTCTTCGCCTCCAACATTCTTCTCATTCTAGCATTAGCCGGCGCCAAAGCAGCAGTGACTCTGCTCGTCATTGCGATCAAACCTCTCCGCTTTGTGATGTTGGCTTGCTATGCGATGCTGGGGCTCATTGCTGTGTGGGCGGTAGCCGGCGTCTTTGTACTGGGTTTTCAGTGCTCTGGGCCAGATCGTTGGGTACTCGGCCCGAGCTCGGGTCCAGAGACCTGCATCGACCAGTACGCAATGCAGGTAGCGCTGAGGACTGTCGATATCGCAACCGACGTGGGGATCGTTCTCTTGCCTGCGGTCATGATGCGGTCAGTGCAGGTCTCGGCTACGAAGCGCTGGGTGGTGGTTCTGCTGTTTGCAATCAGACTTATGTAAGTGCCCTCCGGCTTCCTCTCCTACATCATCTGACCGGATGTCTCCAGCACGCCCGTATTCACAGCAGTCTCCATCGTCGCGTACGACAACTTCTACCATTCGAACCCGCAGGATCGGCCCTGGCACGCAGTCGTGCCCTCTGTTTGGACCTCCTGTGCTCTAAACCTGTCCATCGTTACGGCGTGCATTCCCTCGATCAAACGCTTCCTCGCTGATTGGGCGGCCGGTCTCAGTGCTATCACCATATCTGAGCCTTTTGAATTGGAGCATTCCAGCGGCAAGACTGGCCTAGGAAATAGCAACACATATGCCATGGGCAGCGGAATGGGGAGCAAACTTGCCACAAAATTGGGGTTGTCCTCTACAAGCAAGGCAGAGATCACCTCAACTGTGCGCAGCCGCCATGATCCGGACGATGATGAAGTCCTGAGGGACAACACCGCGAGGAATCGGTCGCGCGGTGCTGGCAACCGACAACCCGACAGCACGTCGGATAGCGTCAAGGGCCTTACAGACGGCGTCATCATGCACTCAATCGATTACCGAGTCGAGTATGAAGACCAGACGACTGACAATCGCGACTGGAGTAGCCGCAGCAGCGGGGGTCGGTAAATCAAGTCCTGACACGAGAATATGAAGGCGTTCCAAAGAAGAGGGCGATGAACATATGTACAATACTGCACAAAAACTCGAGGATGGGCGGTTCTTCCGATGGCAAGCTCGAGATCCTGGTCAGACCACGTATGCAGCACATCTGCGATTTAGACAGCGGTAGTATGCTTCCTCTCCACATTCCTGTCTTTCTTGACTCTCATGAGGCTTGTTTCCGTGGACGCTTGTCGATGAAATAACCTCACGACTGCGGCAGTTCCCCGTCTGATGCTATTTGTAACAGAATCCACCGGGAAGTGGGCGTCGCGATGCGGCTCCAAACTAATGTTGCTAACAAACCTAATTAATAAAACGTCGTGTTCGTGTCTGTGCGTCTCCGAACATGCCAAGCTTCTCACCCTTGCAACGCGCCTAATCGACGTCACGGGGATTCAATTTTCAGTCGCATCTCAGTCGGCCCTCACTTCCAAATCACTGGTACGTGACACGCTCGCTGTTCAGCGCTCACCTCGACCTCCCTTCCTGCCCAAGGTCATGTTCGCGTTCGGTTCCTTCATCTCGCCGTGACTGCCGACTTTCTCTGCTCTGCGCTCATTGTCGAATCCTGCACGACGACCATGTGGATTCTGCCCCTCCTTGGCTACGCTGGCCTCGTGTTAGGCTTTGCATTCCTGACCCTCTCGATCGCGTCGGGCCTTTACTACCTCTCCGAGCTCGTCGAAGAACACTCCGTCCTCAGCGCGAAACTCTTGAAGCGACTCATCTACGCCGTCATCGCCACGCAGTTACTCCTCTGGCTGGTCGATGGTTTCCCCTGGCATCTCATCTTGCTGGGAGTAGGGAGTCACGCCGTCTACGCGACGAATCTCCGACACTTTCCGATCGTCAAGCTATCCGATCCTTTCTTCCTCTCCAGTTGCGGACTTGTCATTCTCAACCACTGGCTCTGGTTCAGACACTTTAGCGACACCACCAATAGAGGCGGAGGCTTCCGGGGAGCCCCACCGAGCAGTCGTAGGGATTGGTACTCAACACCCGTATATGATCAACCCACTTTCACCGAGATCGCATCCTACTTCGGGCTGTGCGTCTGGCTTGTGCCGTTTGCGCTGTTCGTAAGTCTGAGCGCAGGCGAGAACGTCCTACCAAGTATGGGGTCCGAGTACGCCACAGGCGACAGACAAGGCGTGGGGTTCCAAAAGGGCCACAAGAGGAAGAATACTGGCATGGCGAAAGCTGCGGTCCATGCCACCAGAGAGTGGGTCACCGACACGGGTGCCGTTATGGGACTGTGGCACTCGGATAATGTCCCGCCATCTCGAGGATTCGGCAAGGGTCATACGAGGATAAATTCTGTGAATATATGACCAGACTACTTGAGTGCCTCAGAAATCTACGCTGCCATGCACTGCCGGTTGCGTCCGCTGACCTTGGATATTGCGCGGCTTTATGGGCAATCTATGAAACGAGTTCTATAATTCGAGATGCCGCGTCCTTGAAAATGATGACGACGACATATCAGCGGCTCCGCAATTCCGGGCCAAATACTCGGAAAGCCATCCTAATGCTGGACCGAAAGCAGCTGGAGCCTTTGGAGTAGGACATGAACAGCGACCAAGGCTGGCTCGAAACACGGCAAGCAACCAGATATGCAATCGCGACAGATGAGGCACAGATAGCCGGCGACCCGGCAAAATCGAAGCAGTCTAGCTCACCCCAAGATCGACCTCGCGCAAAGCAGCATCGTGGATCTAATTCCGAACGTGAGAGGCGACAACCCAAGAGCAGGCGAATCACCCGGCCCCAAATTCCGTCCTCACCCAAGCAGAGCATGGCGGCAGCAAGATGTATGTGTGTCCGAAAAGGAGTGCTCAATGAACAACCGCTGTCCTTGTTCTTGTATACGTGTCCTTGAGGGATACGTAATGAGGTTAGCACTGGTGCAAGATGCATGGCATGGCCTGGTACTGTGGCCGTCATTTAACGAGGAGACGCAGCCAGACTAGGGTCAGAAGCCCCACGTCAGGGGCAAAGACTATACAAGAGATCGCCGCTGTTCTCTCTGCCTCCAGAGAGCACCCACGTCGCCACACGACACCGTTGTTGAATAGGGAAGAAAGCGTGGAAGAAGGGAGAGGAAGCGGATGGACATTGGTTCGAGCCCATGCACTGCAACCTTGGGCCGACGACGTGGGTTTTCAGACACCAGAATGTCGTCGGAATTGACTTGAGGAGCCGGAGCAGTTCCACCATTCAACCATTCCACGATATCTGCATCGGCACCACAGGATTGCGGGGAGGAGGAGAAATCAGCTTGGGTGTGTTGACTCAAGATAGATCTTGCATCAGACATCGGGCCAAAACCGCCTCTCCACATCGAGCACGTGTCTCCACACAGCCTTGTAGAAGTCCAACTTCCTATTGACCGCGTCCTCCCGTTCGGCCAAGAGATCCGTCAACTCGGCAATCTCGGCGACAAATCCCTCGAACTGGCTGCTCGTCCAGTTGGGGATGAAGGCATGGCGCAGCGCCCCGCCGTCGAGATCCGTCGTATGAGCGTGACCGTGACCGTGACCGTGACCGTGGCGCTGCTGGCCGTCGTTGTCGTCGTCCTGATAGTGCTGCTTCTGATTCTGCTGCGACTCGTCATGCGCGATGCCGGTAGTCGTCCCGCTCAACGCCGTGTTGACCTCACTGCCTTCCAACTCGGACATGACGCCGTCGGAAAGGGCCTTGGACTTTCTATCGTTGTCCTTCTCGTCGTCCAACTCGATTCTCTGCAGCTGCTTGCTCAGCGGCAGCAGACTCGACGAGGTCCCGTTCTTCAAAAAGGACGCCGCGTACGTCCACGCTCGCAGGTACACCGTCTCGGTGGCCCACAGGACGACCATGCCCTCGAGGAGAGTCATGCTGGGGTCGGTCCAGAACGCGCGGAACAGATCCATGTACTGCTTCGTGGCGGGTTCGGGGGCAAACACGCGACCCGAGGACGAGGACGAAGGGGAGGGAGCCTCCAAGTCCAAGCGGTACGTGTGGGCCGTGGTGGCGAAAAAGGCCAGCTCCGTGTGGATGTTCTGCAGCGCGGCCGTGAGGCACTGCACGAGCCGCCAGCGCAGGGAGGTCGATTTGTCGGGAACGTGCGTGTAGGGCAGGTCGACGCGGGCGATCAGACTGCCGATGAAGCCGATGTAGGATTGCGCGTAGAGGCGGTCTTGCGACAGCCAGCGCGAGAGCGTCAATTTGGGGAGCTGGCCTTGGCCCGCGATGCGGAGGAAGGGGTGCTGTGTCGCCAGGGAGAGTTGGTGCGGCGAGGACGCGAGGAGCGTCGACGTTAAAGACGGGGGTGACTGTGGTTGGAAGGGTGGTGGTGCCGGGGAAGAAATGTACGGTGTGGGTGGATGTTGGGATAGAGGGTGCGCATGTAGCGGAATCGCTTGGTTGTGGATGTGGCTGGACGGGTAGAAGTATGTGGGCTGGTTGTAGTGATTCTGGAGAGGTTCCATCCTTTGAGGCTGTTGTTGGACAGGATAAGCACCGTCATTGGCACTGGCACTGAGACCGACACCTGGATTCAGGTGGTAATTGTAGTTCTGGTATTGAGCATGACCGGGCTGATTACTGGCCACGCCGGTGGTTGCGGACGATACCGACATCTGGTCGCTCATGGTGTTTTGTTGGTGGTGGTGGTGGTGGTGGTGGTTGTGATGGTGGTACGCACCGGGAGGGCTCTGTTGGCGATGGACGTCTTGCGCATTGTGCCACATGATGGCGGGCGTTGCTGAGAGAGAGAGGGGGCGCCTTGCACAAGGCCGAGACAGTTAAAGTCAGGGCGCCACTGTTGGGCGCGTGGGTATTATTGTCGATGTGTATGCCCGCGGCTCGAAAGGCTTGATATCAAGTCAGAGAAGCTTCCTTTTGTTGACCTGATTCGACCCGTCGTCGGGCTCTTTCGCCTGTTGCGCATGCACGTCGTCGAGAGGACCAGACAAGGCTGAGCAACGCGGCCGCCACGCGCGACGGGTGGCTCGCCTGCAGTAGAGGGACAGGAGAAGCGAAGCTCTTGACACGACGCAGCTCGACGCAAGCAGTGCGCCGTGGAGTTCGACCCTTCAGTTGACCCCCCACTCGTGGTTTCTCCTCTCAGCTCAGAATGCGTTCTTTGAAGAGCGTTACGTGGGCCGTAAGTCTCAAAGCAAGACGTTGAGTTGGAAGCCTGAGCAACTGGGCAACAAGAGCTGTCAAAGAGCTCCCGTCATTCATCTGCAATGCGAGGGGCTGCCGGGCTGTCGGTGTTCGTCAGCTGGCCTCGTGTCCAGCCGTCGTCGACGACGCCTCGTAATTCCAGCGTGGCCAAGCCGCCGACCAAACAAGGCGTTCGGTGATTAGCTAAATAGCCCAGAGACCACAAGCCCGTGCAAGGATGCTGGGTGTCCTCGGGGTCGACGCGCGGGGTGCCAGTTACAAGTACAAGATGCTAGCAATATGTACCGTACTACTGTAAGTACGGAGTACCTATAAGCCTGCTGCGAAATGGAACTGAAGTCTGTCCTTTGTCTTGCTTCTTGATCTTCGCATTTCGATTCCTCCTTGACCCTTCTACTCGAGCGCTCAAAAACGCTGCATACATCTGCTCTTGTAACTGTCCCATTAGGCCGCGCGCACGCAATCGTGCCCCCCATGGAGTTCCGAACGAGGGCCCGAGCCTACTCGTACATAGTCTACCACAGTAGCTCCGGCGAGCCTAGACACACTCGACTCGCTAAATTGTGGGCTGCTGCCGAAAACTATCATCGTCGGCCCGCCGGTAAGGAACGCGGTCGACGTCTCTTGATGACGTTGAGGATTAAAAAAAATACTCAAGGGACAAAGTTCTCTAGCTGAAACGTTTCACTTTCAGCAGCTCGGCGTCCAGAATCGCTATATAGGTACGCACTAAGGTGATTAACTATTTTCTCTACTCTACAGGCAAAGGCCCCAGCCAGACCAGGGGGCCATTTTGTGAGTTTGGAGTCATTATTAGCAGCGTACCCAGTACATCCTGTAAGAAGAACCCCCCCACCACGGAGACCCCCCAGGAACAGAGGAAACACACAAGCCTCTAGACGACATCTCGAGTAGCGATAGACTTCTTTCGACATCAGTTGAACTGCAGCCTCGTATTCATCTGCCACAGTCGAGCATCCGGGGCTCGATATCGGCCGTCGACCGTCGACCGTCGACCAGCATCCTTCTTTCCAGCTTCATCCCTTTCTCTTTGGTGGGACACGCCGAGAAATACAAAGTACTCTCCGTACCCCATACGACGGAGGACCTTGTAACAAAATGCCCCGAGTCTTCCTCATAACCGGCACCTCGACGGGCTTCGGCCGCGACTACGCCCAAGAAGTCATCAACCGCGGGGACACGGTGGCCGCCACGGCGCGCGACCCATCTGCGCTCCAGTTCAAGGACACCACACCGGACAACTTCTTGGCGCTCCGGCTCGACGTCACGGACAAAGAGTCCATCAAGTCGGCCTTTGCGGAGACGCTGCGCCGATTCCACCGCATCGACGTCGTGGTGAACAACGCGGGTTATGGCCTCGCCGGCGCGTTCGAGGAATACACCGACGCGCAGATCCGCCAGCAGTTCGAAATCAACTTTTTCGGCCTGTTGGACGTCACGAGAGAGGCGCTGAGCACTCTGCGCGACCGACAGACCCCTCCGGGCGGCGTGATCCAGCAGGTCACGAGCATTGGTGGCCAGAGGGGCGTTCCGCTGTTCAGTGCCTACTGCGCGACCAAGTGGGCGGTCGAGGGCTTCACCGAGAGTCTGAGCCACGAAGTCAAGCCCGAATGGGGGATTAAATTCACTTTGGTCGAACCGGGTGGTTTCAGGTGCGTACGCTGCTGTTTGAATTTTTTGCGTTTGAGTTTGCGTTCAAGTACTGGTAGTCTGTGTATGTTGTATGTGTCCTTTGAGGCTGCATCACTAGCTACGCAGACACATACATACTCAGCTAGTTACTCGGACAGTACTTCGTACTAACTCACAGCCCTTTTCATTTTCAGAACCGACTGGGCCGGCCGCTCCATGACCTTCGCCAAACGCCATCCAGCGTACGATCATCTCGACGCCGAGAAGCAGATGAACGCCCGCCACGGCACACAGGCCGGCGATCCCAAAAAGGGCGCCCGCGCCATGTACGAGCTGGCCATCATGCCCAACCCGCCGTTGAGGGTGGTCATCGGTAGTGACGCGTACAAGGCCGTCATGAACAAGATCGAGCAGTACGAGGAGAATTACCACCGGTTTGAGGAGCTGAGTAATTCGACCGACGTGGATGTGGATGCGGATGCGTAGATACCTACCTACCATCTGGCCGAGTCAGGTAGACTTTTGTGTGCTGGGAGGATCATGCCTTTGGACGCGACGAGGACGAGGATCGAGGGAAGAAAGAGGTGGTGATATGTCTCTGACCAGGCTCGGACAGCGCGGCCATGCGTCTTCACATGTTGCGTTGCAGCAGAAAAGGGGGGCGCTTGCGGAAGAAATGATACAGTTGGACCACCAAACACCAGGGGAAGGAGCCCTCACACTCTCGACTCCTGTTCCGGAAGCAAGCATGGATGGTTTTCCGGGCAGTGTTTCCTTGTTTCTACACAGCTAGTCAGCCTGGCTGCTCGGCCGTCGGCCGTCTTGCCCTGCCATGGCAGAATAAGTACGAAATGCAATTTCCCGTGTGGCCCGGTGTCCGCTTCCCGCTCACGTAGAATAGCTCTTGTTGTACATATACACATAGGCTGAATCGAAGAATGAAATCACAGCGCCCACTCGTCCGTCCCCATCACGGTCCATCAAGTCATCGCATTCACCTTCCTCACCGTCAAATCCCTGCATTATCCCCCGGCGCCAGACACCACCAGTATGCGACAATGCCTGTCCGGCAACTCCGCAGTCGGCCCCCATGAAATAAATGTTGAACAATAGTGGGAAGCATGCAATATGGGGTATCTATAGCAATGCCCAAAGTAGAATGGGAGAAACGAACAAGCCCGGCTGAATACCATATCAATACTTTTCCTTGCGTTTCCCCTTTTTGCTTTCAACCCACACCTGCCCTGTAATCATATGCACTTTTCTTCGTTTTGGTTGCGAGCGGAAAATCGTTGTTGCTTAGGTGCTCTGCGTCGTAGTCGACATCTCATATTCGTTGTTGCCGGCAGTATCTTGCGCCATTGTCGGATTCTGTTGCCGCTCAGAGTTCTCTTTATCATGTGCAAAATCTCCGTATCTGTTGTTGCGCAGAGTGCTCCGTCTCATACTGGACATCTCATATTCGTTGTTGCTGAATTGCTCCGCTGTGTTGGAGATCCTATATCCTCTGCTGTTGCTGTTGCTGCTGCTGGTGTTGGGTAGCATTCGCAAGCTGGTGTTTCAAAGAATTGATCTCCTCCTGCATGTTATTGATTCTCTGCTCCAGCGTGGTCACGTATGCCCAGATCCTGTCAGATTGCGCGAACATGGGATTCGACGTTTCACCGCTTCCATGACCAGAATGACCGTGGCTCGACAGACTGTTACTGTGCGAGGACAGAGGACCGCTACCACTCATGTGAGTAGGTGGCCCGCTAGGCTGAGTGGGTGGGTGAGCTGGGCCACCTTGACTGGGCAAGGTATACCTCGGATCTGGAGGGTTCAGCCCATGAGGCGCATGAGGAGGAGGCAACTGCGGTGCACCCGGAGGCACACTCAGGGACGACCCGGAACCAGTACTCCGAGGATGTGGCTGTGGGTAGAACGTCGTGCTTGGTGACCGGTTGCGCCCATCATTGGCGGTGGCGCCCGGTCGCTGCGCCTGGCCAGGGGACAGTGGTTTCGGACTTTCGGTCATTGGATTTTGAGCAAAGACGGAGCCTGCAGCGGAGGGCCGCGAACTGGTGGAGGAACCGGTCACCGAAGCAAACGTTCCGGGTGCCACTGAGGCCGCCACCGGAGCATTACTCGGTCCCGCACTCGATTGACTGTACCCGGGCCGAGGTGCGAAATAGCCTGCGGCTATGCCGCCTGGAGGACGCCCTTGGATCGGGGGGTACGTGCTTGGAATCCGGGCCGCGGGCTCAGATTCGTCGACACTGTCGTCTCCTGATGGTGCTTGACGGCGGATCGAAGGTGTGGGCCGCCTCTCATTCCCTTCTTCATCGTCCATGTTGGGCGGCTCGTCATACATGATGCCCTCCATGGCCTCATCCGCTTCGCCTTCTTCGTCCCCACCAAAACTACCCATGCTCGCCCTCCGCCCAGCACATCCACCGGGACCTTTATTGTGACGAGCCAAGGCATCACCGCGAGCGAACTTGCGGCCGCATTTCGGGCAGATATGAGGTCGTTCACCGGTATGGAGCTTGGTGTGCCGCTTGAGATCATGTAGCCGGCGGAATCGTGATGAGCAGGTCGAACAGACGTAGGGTTTTTCTTGGCTATGCGTTAACAGATGGCTCTTCAGATTGTGATGACGGGTGAACTCGGTGGCGCAATAGGGGCATCTGTGCTTTTTGCTGGAGGGAGATTTTGTACCTTGTCGTGTGCCGGAATGAGGCAAGCTCATTCCTCGTCTGCCGCCCTCGGGATGTGTTGGTTGCAAGAACGGAGTCGGGTAAGACAACGCTCCTGTTTTTGCAACATCAGTCGGTGAGGTAGAGCCTGCCTCGGCAGCATTCACGACCTGACGGACCGTTTCCTCGATCGGAAGTGGACTGCCTACAGTGGTGGTCATCCCCGAAACTCCCGCCACGCCTTCGAGCGATCCTACGGTCCCAATACTGGAGATGCTGGTGGGACTGGTCAATGCATGATTCTCGCCGGTCCCGGACGATTCGCCAGCGCCTGCAGACGGCTGTTGGACATTCTCCGCAACTACCGCCAGTGGCTCACTGATAGTGGTCGCGGGGTCGAAGGGAGCATCTGAGTGTAGCTCAGCTTTGCTCGTAATATTTGAACTCGCGCCCATCAGGGCACTCAAGGCTTGCTGGGTAGGGTTAGGACTCGTCCCGGTCGATGGTGGAGGAGTGGTACGGAATGACTTCTGTTGTCCTTCAGCAAGGGCGGCAGCAGCAGTCATGAGAGGGCTCTCCAGCCTTGGCCTCTTTCCGGGTCGCGAGGACTCCTCAAAGTCGTCCCGAGAGCTGACTCTGGCTTTGGATGAATCTTGCACTGAGCTTGTCGGTTTAACGAATGTGGGCGAGGCCGGACTAGAATCCCCTGGGGATATCTGAGGATCAGGACTGAACTCAGCCATCAACAATTTCTGGTGTAGCTTGGGTGACTTGTGCCCTGGTTGAGGAGTCAGTTGGAGGTCCACGAACGCGAACGTCGCATCTCCGATGCGTGAAGAGGGTGCTGCGCGCGGCCAGGACAAAGGCCACGGCTGAAAGTGACAGGTAGAGATGGGGTAGATGGCTTTGCGACATAGTTACATAAGGTAGAGTATAGCATACCTGCTGTAGTAGCATGGGTTGAGTAGGGTTGGGGCCCAAGCTGAAAGTAGCGGGCTGATTGCGAAGGGCGTTGTCTTCAGCCTCACCACAATGCAAGGCGGGTTGTCTTGGAGGCAGACTGTAGATCACAGCGCCTGCTCGAATCGCTCCTCTCCTAGCTCTTTTTTTTTATTGGGATACAGTGATGCGCAGCATGTTCTGCAGCAATGAGCGACCGCGCAGCAGGGAATCTTCGAGGCTTTCGTCGTGTATTGTGAGTCGCAGAGCAGTCCCTCAGGCCAAGGCTGAGGCTTTTTGGAATGACGCAGTCTCTATGCGACGACTCGAACGAGTGAGCGGAATTCGAGGCGCGGGAGTGGCCGAAGATGTGGCAGGACGATTCTGACGACGTGGAAGACCGTTGGGGATGCGCGCGCTGAGTGGATGCGACAGACCCGTGCTCGGAATCTGCGCTGTAGGGAGGATGGATGCTGCGACTCAGGTCCTGAAATCGTGTACGTGAAGGACGAAGGAAGGTGTTGAAGCGCTGAGACAGGCGAGACGAAACGATGGTAGAAGCGAGGCGAGGGTTGTAAATGGTGGCGGGTGCGATCTCAACACAGGATAGCCGAGTTGAAATGACGGGAAATTCTCGACTGTGTTGGGCGGCTGATCTGATGAGATGGCGAGCAGCGAGACCCTCTGTAGTCGTCGTCGATTCAAGCCTGGCAACGCCCCCCACTCGACTGATGAGGATTACTGACTACTTTCGCAGCACTGTGAATGGGAGTTGAGCGAAGAGAGAAAATGATGGAGACGGGGCCTCGATGGTGCTGAACCGAGTGACGAGGTATTCGAACAGAGTGGAGAAAGTGGCTCACAAGCTGTTTGGTCTGTGCTACGCCACTAAGAGAGCACTGCGACGATCCTAGTGGGTAAACCCTCTCGGAATGGGTTGGGGTCGTCGCTGGCTTGATGATGGAGAGGCAAGCCGGAGGAGAGGAGGAAGCGTGGAAGAGGAAGGATGGCGCCGACGCACGAATCGTGATACGCAATTATCGCGATCAGAGCTCCCTGGAGAAGAAGTTAGGCTTCGATGTGCCTGGCTGCAGCACGACGATCTCAGCAATAGAGGCACAGAGGTGGCGCTCGCACGGGGCTAACAGCCCGGGACAGCTAAATATTGGATGGAAAGCTAACCGCTCAACCACAGGCCCGTGGGCAGGGTGGTTCAGCAAAGGGCTTAACGGCAGGATCTTTGATTGAGTTTGCCGTTCGATGTGGCACGCGAAAAGATCAACAGTTTCTTCGATCAGCAGTGAGCAGCGACTGATGATTCGTGTGAAGGGGGTGCCCGATGGATATGAGAGACCCATGCAAAGTGGCAGTGCTTCACCACACTCACTCACCAGTGGCCGTGACGCTTGCCAGGAACAGGCGCACTGACGCACGGTGTGCGAGTACGTAGGTGCGGCTTGCTGGAGGTCGCTTACACTTGACGAGGATGCAGCTTGATGCTCACAGATCGCTTGCACCGACAGAGTAACGTGGCTTGCTTCGTCAAATACGAGCACTTGTTTAAGTCGCATGGCCGTGTCCCTGACGCCTTTTACTCTCAGTTGTCGGTCATTCACTGATATTAGTCGGGGTGAGTCAATTCCCAGTGACGCCATGAATGGGGGGGTTGGTAACCAGCAGCTTCGGCGCTGGCGCTCGCCCACCAATCTACGTCAACCTTTTGTCTTTCAGCTCCCCCTCAGCGCCCGTTGAGCAGCACACCCGCCTGGCTGGCCAGCGTCACGCACCTTCTCAACACCCTGTTGGTTTACCCGCTAGGCTGCGTGCTCCGTACCCAGAGCGAACCTTTCCATGTTCAAGCTGTATACTCTTGCCCGAATCGTCAAGCGCCGTCCCCTTTGGGTCACGCCGGGGCCTCAGCGCGACGAGTCTCCATTCTTCAGGTGCGGTGGCGTGCACTTATCCCTAACGAGCCTCCCCACGTCTCACTAACTACTGAAACAAACCCGAAGGAACAAGGCTCCCAGGTACCAACAAGTGGCTGATAAGTCTTCACTTGCTGGAAATGTGGCTGACACCTGACGCGAGTCTCACAAATTTCCCGAGCCCACCCCTCTTGTTAGGATCTGCATTGCCGTCCTTTGTCGTCGATGCGAGCGCTGCTTCCGCCTCCAAAAGCAGGTTTCTGAGAAACTATCGTGTACGGAGTGCCTGCCTTGTACTGAAATCCTATGTCGCTTCAGGGCACATGACTCAAAGAGACGCTGCCTGGTTCGATGCATTCTGCTGGGCACGTGAAATGAACGAGCTACAACTCCGCCGCCCGGCGTGGCTGACGCGCAGACGGTACTCTGGGGCTGGAATTGTGCGAACAGCGGGACTTGTTGTCATACGGGCACTATATTCATTCAGTGGTTATCAGGCGCCCTCAATAATAATGCACGGTCCCCTTCCTGAGCTACGTAAACGCTCGCTCGCTCGTGGGGCTCAAAAAAGGTTTGCGACAGCACCCTAGCGGAGACCAGCACCCCGGCCACACCCAGTCGAGCTTCCAATGCCCAGTGGCTGGTTGACCTCGCCAAAACCCCTGCCCTCCGGCTCTAAACCCTCTTCGAGGAAACTGCCGGTTTCAACTGAATCCCGAAATCGCCGACTAGAACCCCAGACGAGCTCGGAATCCTCAGCCAGGTTGGCGAAGGAAGCTTGAAGGGTTTATGAACCGCAGCCAGTGAGCGGCGCGCTGATTGCTCAGTCACGGGCCACCTCGAAGTCGAGGGGGTGCATACACAGTCGGTGGCGTCACGGCAGGTTTAGAACGGACAAGGCGAAAATGACGTGAGGTGCAGCGCGCGTTCATGTGGACAGAGAGAGCCTGACAGAGGATGCGATGGATTCTGCCACAATGTGGCGGATTCCAAGCCATAGGCCTGCCTTGACTCGAGAGTCGACCTCGCTCTGGTGCAGTACGAAATACGATGTGCGACTTCGGCATGCAAAACACGACTGCATCCTTGTTGCAACAGAATGCAACAGGGGTTAACCCTTCAGACAACGGCAAAGGCAAGATCTGAGATGCATTGATCTCACTGGTACGGAGTACTCGGTAGTCTTGCAACAGCAAGGATGCCTGTCCGACATCTCGGCAGCGTCGAGGTACCCAGGTAGGAGAAACGACTGGGTATTCTGTTCAAAGTAGACGGTCTGACAGAAGCTCGGGTGACTCCGAGTCACCGATAATTACGGGTAGGCTACCAGCCAAGTCCACTGACTGTGTACGGAGTACAACGAGCAGGCAGCTGAATGGTCTTGGGGGTATACACATTCACAGTCCATTCCGCCATACTCCGTACGGCCACTATTCATCGTCCGTGAACAGTGTCTTGTACCGCATATATTTCTTGTCAGACTATTGCCACATTGATCGCTGTCTATGTCGCAGCCGAGTCGCCGGCTCCCACTTGAAACAAGGTACGCGTATAACTTCCTCCTCAGTCCATTGTTACTAATGGCGTGACCCTATCTCCCACTTTTACGCTGGCTCGTTGCGAACATGGGGGATCACGTGTCGCGTCCAAGTCATCGCCGGACCTCAAGCACATGTGCATGCCAAACCAGACTCGCCCTTCCCTTCGCCTCGTCTTGGCTAGCGTGGTGAAAGGTTCTTGTCGCCGCTGTGCACTCTTCTGGTCCACGCAGACCATCTGGCATCGCTGACATGGCCCTAAGACGTCAAAGACATTGTTCGGATCTTCTCCTATCTGAAGACCTTCCCAATCATCTTCGACGTACGGGCTTTCCATTTGACCTGCTCGCAGCTCTTGAGCGATGACAATATTGCCGCGGAAGGAGTCGGCCGTGACGGCTTTGCCACCGCCACTACTCGATTGTTTGATTTGCTCGTTGAGTCGATTGACACTGGAGCGTGATACAAGGAGAATCGGGCTTTCGTTCGACAGGGCAATGGATCTGCCTATTTCGGTCGCTTGTTTCCCTGCGTGCTGACCAGGCACCCGCACTTTCGCTCGCCTCACCGGGCCCCCTTTTGGAAACCTTGCAAGTGTACATGGAACGTCCAGTGCTTTGGTGAAAAAAGCACTCACATCAGCCGACGTGTAGACTTGCACATCGACCTCCTCACCGCAGACATTTGCTGGTTTGTTGATCGATGCTTCACATGGCTTGACAAGCCCCGTGCGCGTGGGGGCCGAGTCGAGGCTGATTTCGAGCTGTTTTCGGTTTCCTGTATCACCTTGCGCGAAGAAGACTCTCAGAAGTCGCTTGGGCAGATCGATCTCGGGACGAATAAGCGCCATCCGAGGAAAACGCTTCTGACTCAGCGCGACATCCGTCCCCTCGTGGACGAGACACCACTCTCGGTCCCATGCGAGTCCCTTGCCACCGACTTCCCAGGCCACATCACGGGGTATTTTGTAGGCTGCGCAACTTTTGATGGGGAAGACCGAGAGACTCTCAATCACGAAGCCTTCCGAGTTCGGATGGATGGAGTAATGCGCTGTTGCCGGCTGCAGCGTCTGCGACGGTCCGTTGAGATCGATATAGAATTCTCTGATGAAGTCAAGGAATGTGGCGACGTCTTTCATACTGCTCATTGCCCCGAAACTCAACCGGATGGCACCTGTGGGTTTGCCATTGATGATGTCGTTCTCACCTCCACAACGTTGTCCGGCATCGTAATTCTGACGCAGCTCCTCGCTCGAGAGGCCAAGATGGGATCCAATTCCTCCAGGGTTGCACAAACCGCCTGTCCTAAACTGGATATTCTTCACTACACCCAGTTTCTCGACTTCCGAGATAGAGATGTAGTTGCCTCGACTATCTTTGAGGTTAAAAGCGACGACTGGCCCCTGCGACGAGCTTTCCGCGGTCAGTTCGGTGTAGATGGTGCAGACCTGGGTCCCGTTTGCATGTCTCAGCTCGCGTAAAAGCTCCCTCAGCATCGATGCCAAGTGATTGGCGTGTCGAGAGATATTTGCCATACTTCCATATAACTTCTTATGAACATCCAACGCGGACTGCAAAGCAATAATGCTGTGAAAGGCCACGGTTCCATCCTCAAGAGCACTGTGCAGCGAAGATTTCTTTGCATGCCAGATGTCTTTACCGAATGTTGCGACAGAATCAACCGTTCCACCACCGAAGTATTTGCGTCGTTGGAGAATATCTCCTGATGATTTGTGGACGATTAAGGCCCCGAGGTCGGGAAAGCCGAAGATCTTGTAGAAGCTCAGGGCTGTGAAGTCGGGGCATGTCGAGGGTTCAGATAGGTCGAGTGGGCATGTTGAGACGAGCGCTGCGGCGTCAAGGAGCGTGTATACAGCCTGTCCAGAAGTTTCTCGGGCAGACCTTGTTCTCTGAGTCCAGCGTAACGGCAGGCGACGACCGGTCATGTTCGACTGCGCGGGGTATGTGAACAAGGCTGGGCTTTGGTTACCTGTGGAATCGCCACCTCCGAGACCGTCTATCCAGGCTTCGACTTCTCGGTCACTGTTGAAGCAAGTCGTGCCTCGAGTAGCAAGCTCTCTCACACCAACGAGACTCGTATGCGCCTCTGCATGGTAGAAGTAGCTGAACCCACCCTCGTGATCTCGAAATGCATCCCCCACCATCTTGATTGCCGCGGTTGCATTCGCGACAAAGACGACATCGAACTCATCAGGTTCGGCATTGAAGAACCGGAGGACTTGGAGTCGAGCATCGTCGATCCGCCGGGACGAGAGCTGCGAGGATGCCGATGCCGAATGTGGGTTTCCGAACAGACTAGATGTCAGCTCTCTCGAGTAGTTCTCAATGAGTGTCTTGGAGTATACTGTGGTTCCAGCATGGTCGAGGTAAGTCGTATCTTTTAGTTGTTGATATTCTGCAGCACGTATATCATCTACATTGGTGATGTATCCCGTTTTGGGGTCGACGACTGCCATGCATTGCTCTTCCCGGGATGACGAAGCCGTGCCGTCGATGTTTGTCAGGGCGGCCATCGCTGTCTCGCCCGCCGATCGCTCAGAGCTGATGTCGAGGAAAGTGCCGCACCCATTGATCCCTTGAGCGGACAGGAGGGTCGTCAATATAGTCAGAGAAGTGACAGTCACAGGGAGAGCCTTCAATCAAATCAGTATAGACGATGTACGAGTACGAACGGTGATGAGTGCTTGGAAGCGGGGATGAAGTGAGGAAGGCAAAAAGAAGATGTGAGGAAAAGCAAAGGCTTCGGCCATCTCCGATCAGCAGTGGGCGAGACGTGATTGGTGCGGGCGTCTCGCGTTATCTCACAACTGCACTGTCAAGGTTCGGGTGACCGTCATCTTCTTCTGGCAGCAAGTTGTAGGGACGTTGATGGTGTTGGCTGGTACCGGCGAGCCCTCTTCGCGGCCCCGCAACTTCTGAGCGGTAAGTGCCTGTTTCGAGAATTTACAATTTTCTCGTCCTCCTCCGGCTTCTGCGAGTCGTGCGAATTCGGATCCTCTCGATGCTGTCATTCACGACTCTGGTATCCGTTCGCAACACCCGACTCATCATCTGCGCACAGGCACATGGTGACCATGACTCTGCCGACATCTACTCAATGTGCGATGCCGTTCAGCCAGTCACCATCCTCGCCACGACACCTAGTCGGCACGGAGGGAGATATAGATGCCGCGGCAACTGTCGCGAGGCGATCAACTCGATGTTAAAGCGCCAGACCTCCTGCGGAGTTGGGTGACGCTGGACCTGGCGGGATCCCGTTGTAATGAGAGCAACAACCACAACGACGAGGCTGGGCTAGTCTGCTGTCTTCCGATGAGGCTGGGCTTTGCCGTATCCATAGCGTTACTAAACACTCAGTTCATGTCCAGTCTTCCGCTCTCCGACGACTGATTCTCAGGTTTCAGAGGTCCTCTCTCAGCCTCACCGGGACTCCGCGAGCTTTTGAACAGCTCTGGTCGAGAGACAACCTCACGCCGCCAACTCTACTGATCACAATTTACGGCATCCTGAGAACCTCTTCTGCCGACGCTATCCCATTCCAGCACGGAGTTTAAGCAAGCGTACCTTGGCATGACATTTATCCTGCTTGGCTGGAGCTTTGAGGCTAAATCACCCATTACTTCCCTCGCGCTCGCTGTCTTTGACAGGAAAGTTCTAGCCATCTATTTACCGAAATGGCAGCTGGCTCCTGGTTGGCTTCAAACCACAAGGCCGGTAAATCAGTCAGTCATCATTCGACCAACAAACACAGGCTATGGTCAAAATCCCTTCGGCTGACAGTCGACCTTCTCCCGGAGGCCCTTAACGAGGCTGTCGCTTGTCAGTGTAACCCAATTCATTGGACGTGGTCCACGATCGACGCCCGCGTCTCTGACGCCTCCGCAAACGACCCCAGATTCTCCCTCTCCGCCGGACAAGCTCCACCCAGGTCTCCCACCGTGACGGGCAAATCCATGATTCTTCCAATGCCATGCCGCGGGTGATATGTCAATTCTCGACAAACGAGGACGGATTCGCCTCCACCACGTTGTTTTGGCGGCTGTTCTTCGGCACCCTCTATCACACAATGCCCATAAGAACCAGCATGCCCCCGATCCTTTGCTGAGAGAAGTCCTCTGTTCTTACGAACGACAGCATTCAGACGCGCCACTTCGACAAAATGGCTACCACTACGAAGCTGTTCAAGAAAGCCACCCATGAGATCGGCGCCTCCGACCCCATTCTCACTCGAATTGCCGCGGAGGATAAAGTGCCATGGTATCAGAAACCCAACCTCCGATACCTATATCTCATGCTCTTTCCGACTTGCATGGGTATTGAGTTGACCTCTGGATTTGATTCGCAATTGATCAACGCCCTCCAGATTGTGCCATCATGGGTCGAATGTGTGTAACTCGCAAAGGAGCGTGTAACGAACGAGCTGCTAATTTGCAATCTAGACTTCGGCGACCCGCAAGGCTCACTCAAAGGCATCATCGCCGCAGCATATTCACTTGGCGCCATCCTGTCGTTGCCCTTCATCCCCATCGTCAATGATCTGCTTGGGCGAAGAGGCTCCATCTTTGGGGGGTCCTGTATCATGATCGTTGGAGCTCTTGTTCAAGGCTTCTCCCGCAATGGTGCGTATTTTCGAAACCATCCTAGCTTCCCGCAATGAAGCCAGCTCGCTGATCCACGTCTTGAATCCAGTTGGCATGTATATCGCCGCACGGATCATCTTAGGCTTCGGCATCCCGACGTGCATCGTCTCCGGCTCTGCCTTGATCGGCGAACTGGGCTACCCCAAGGAACGCCCCGTGCTGACCTCACTCTTTAATGTCTCCTACTTCATCGGCCAAATTTCCGCTGCGGGCATCACTTTCGGCACGAACAGCATTGCCAGCAACTGGGGGTGGCGGATCCCGTCGCTCCTCCAGATGGCGCCCTCGCTCTTGCAGATCGTGTTCGTTTACTTCATCCCCGAGAGTCCGCGCTGGCTTGTCACCAAAGATCGCAGCGAAGAAGCCTACGACATCCTGGTGAAGTACCACGCCGAGGGCGACCGGGAGTCGGAGTTTGTGCGCGCCGAAATGGCCCAGATGCAAACCACCATCCGGCTCGAGCTGGAGGCGTCGAAGAAGTCCTGGCTCTCCGTCTTCTCCACGGCGGGCATGCGCCGCCGCGTCTTCCTCTCCTCCTTCCTCGGCCTCTTCACCCAATGGTCCGGCAACACCCTCATCTCGTACTACCTGGGCGACCTGCTCGCCATGATCGGCCACACCGAGAGCATCTTCAAGCAGAAGATCAACCTGGGCAATTCGTGCTGGTCGCTCGTGTGCGCCTTCACCGCCGCCATGCTGGTCACGCGCTTCAAGCGCCGCACCATGTATCTCGCGTGCACGTGCTCGCTGCTCGTCGTCTACATCTGCTGGACCATCACGATGCAGCAGTCTCTCGCGGCCACGGCGGAGAATCGCTCCAACGCCGCCGCCGGGGCCGCCACCATCGCATTCATCTTCCTCTACGCCCCGTGCTACAATATCGGCTACAACGCACTGACGTACACGTACCTGGTGGAGCTTTGGCCTTTCGCCGAGCGGTCGCGCGGCATCGCCATCTTCCAGCTCTTCGGCCGGTGCGCCGGCTTCTTCACCACGTTCGTCAACCCCATCGGCTTGAAGAACATCTCGTGGAAGTGGCTGATCACGTATTGCTGCTGGTTGGCGTTCGAGATCTGCTTCGTGTGGTTCTTCTTCCCGGAGACCGCGGGCCGCACGTTGGAGGAGCTGGCTTTCCGTGAGTTTTCTCACCCCCACTACTGACCTACTGACCGCTGTTCCCTGCTAACTTTGCCACCCTCTAGTGTTCGAGGACAAAGCCCTCGCCGACAAGGCCGTCGTCGCTGTCGAGAAAGTCGTCCACCACGAGGACATTGATCCTGTCGCGATCGACCCCAAGAGCATCGAGGTTGGACACGCCGAGATCGTCGAGCAGGTGCCGGAGAAGGGAAGCAAAGTGTAACTCGACCAGCGGTGGCGTCGTGCCCGCAGCAATGGAAACGAGGACTGTGACATTGTCAAGTCGACAATTCGCGGAAGGAGGAGAGATTACTACACATACCCGGTTCTGGATTCGGAATTCCGTGTGGGCTTTGGATAAGTCCATTGGCCAGCTTGGTGGTGAGGCTAGCGCACTATTTCCTCTGTATCGCTCTGCAGATCATCGTTGAGAGATCGCCACTTGTCGCAGTACGTGAAGAATGCGGACATGCGTGGATCAAATCTTCCCAACAAAGTCCAGTGGCACGACGAGTGAATGTGCTACGAGCAGTACGGATTCTGCATTGTGACAAGAGAGCATCTTCATGGACGAGCAAATTCAGATTCGTGAGATTGTAAATTCTTGATTTGGCAATACTCGATTGATCGAGGTATAGGTCGTGCACGGCGGGTGTGCTATACTGTAGCTCATTTCCAAATGTTCCAACCCCATCTCAGAAGGAGCACCACGCTATCGCAAACACACTGACATAATCCAACTTCAGAGCAAGCCTGAGCTCAATGGTGATGGCACAAGAAAATTCGTTATATTATGTTCCAGGACTCAAGTCATGCCCCCTCTTCCCGAGCCGCTCTCGAACTTGACGAGCGGACCGGTGATGTGTCAACGCCACTTCGTCTAGACGTAGTATCGACGGCGGCTGCTGCTTCTCCGGGATCCAGACCGTGAGTGGCCTCTGCGGCTACTGTGTCTCGACCGTCTGACCTCTTTAGTGACAACAACCCGTTCGTGCCGGTGCAAGAAGATAGCCAGGACAAAGGTGAAGAAGAATAGGATGGTGTTCATTATCCCCAAGGCCCATGATGCCTTAAGCATGGCGCAGTTTTTGTTGAGGTGCAGTGCCCATGATGAACCGCTGTTTCTGCCGTAGTATCCGAATGGCCCAAGATCGACATAGATAGACCCGGTGGAGAAATTGGCACAGTCGGCGTCACTGATGCCTCGAAGCTCGTAGACAGCTGCGATGAATGCGCCAACGAAACAGAGGTCGATGAAGGAGACGAAGAGGGCGGAGCGGCGCGTCGAACCGAGGCGGACAAGGGTTACAATGGCCCATGCGCAGGCGAGGATGGAGACAATAAAGAGCACGAGGATGAAGGACGGCGTGAGCTGGTTGTTGTCATTGAAGCCGTCGACGAACCATGCCTGTATCGCAAGTGAGTTGAAGTTCAGCATCAACTGAGGCACAGTAGACAACGTACGAGCATGCCAATGATGGGAATCAACGTCACGATCTCCACGATCCTCCAAAAGGAGAAAAGGAGGCCTCCGAGCATCTTGAGATACTCTGAGATGACCTGTGCCGGGGAGAGCTGCTACGATGATATCGCTGTACAGCCAGATGGCCACCAGAACCCGATGCCGCACGTGCGGGGTTGCACGAGCACGGTCTCACAGAGATGTGAATGGGCGGAAAGCAGAATTAAGGCCACGGGAAGAAGTTTCCAGCGTCGAAAGGATATAGTCAGTAGATCAACCGGTAAGATGAAGGTGAACGACAACAGCGTCGAGGAGGCTGGGCGACACCTTAAGACTATCGAGTCCCGGCTGTCAAGAAGGACATATGGAGTCAGTGAGAGCTGCATCCCACCGAGAATCGTTGTGGCTGGCAGACGCTAGCGTCCTCGTCAGGCGTCATAGTTTGTCGCTGGGGCGCGCCTGGCCGTCTAATTGGCGCCCCGATCGGGCTGCTGCCGAAGTGGCTCCCGCCGCTGCTGCCGCAAGCCAAAGTCCATCGCTCCTCCCGCTTTTTCTTGCTTCCCACTCACCCACTGCATGCGCGTGTCTCGAATCTGGGAACCGACACATGAACCACCACACTACAGGTCGCTCCTGGGGATCGGCACCTATCACGAACACGTTGCTTCGAAATCGCCTATTCCTGCTGCTGATGCCATGACATAATTGTGCACATGGATCGAGGTCGTGACTATTTCGAAGGTTGGTTTCCTCGACAGCTTCGTGGCGCGAGCGCGGGCTGTGTCCGGGAATTCCCCTTGACATTGGCGCGTGGGCAAGGTTGCTCTGCAGCAGCTTAAACGCAACACCACCACTGATCAAGCTCGTTCGCGACACAGGATAACAGGGATACCACAGAATACTCTTGCTCGGGTTTGCAAGCCTGCACATATCCCTCTGCTAACCGAAGCAAGTGGCTTGTGATAGTGCTTCTTTCATGCGCGTGAGAGGCACAACGCGAAGACTTGGTAATCACTTTGGTTCGAGCCTTCCTTTCACATTCACTAACATGATCTAGGCCTCCATTACCACTGCGTCCAGCCCTCCCACATCACGAGCAGCCCGCTTGGACGTCACAGCACAGCGAACGGATGTAATGCGGAGCTGACAGAACAGATGCCAGGTGCGGACCCAATGTGTAGGCAGTCGGTCGCCTGGATGCACCTGATCCGGCGCACTCGCCTTTTTGGGATGTGCTCTCTTCAAGAGGCGAGCGATAGTTCCGCATCGAAACGGATACATATTTGCCTAGTCGCAGCGGAATGAGAGGGCCGGAACGCAGCGCGAACCCTGGTGGTTCTAGCGAACCAATTGCCAAACATTTTACTTGGTACTGCGGCAAGCCATGTACAGAGATCCAAGTGACCTCAGGGCAGTCGTATAGCTTGAGGTCGCTCAACCGTCGTGCGCTAGGCAGAAAGAAGAGACACCACCATTTCTTTGCTGGAGCGAAGATAGAGGCCGGGACTGTATGGTCACATAGTGGATCATGCAGAAATCCCTAGCTTGCAGCTGGGTTGCGGTACGATCACCTTCAAGCAGTGCGGCACACCATCCGGAGTCAAACGGGTGAGAACTTCGCGGCTGATTTTCCAGATGCAGAAATCTACAGACCATCAGGTACACAAAGGGCCCGCGACTACAACTTTCGAAGGGTACAAATTGCTTAAAGAATGCCGCTGATGCGGGATTCCGGTTGAGGAAGGTGTGAGTCCCTCTGGAATGGGATTCAATGGACTATTGTCTGGATCACGTCTATCAAGATCAACAATCGAGAAACGGAATCACACACCCCTGCTACGTTCGGTTTACGTACCCTTGGCGCAACAGCTGCACCTTGTCCCCTCAATCCTCCGCCTGAGTCTGCCTTGGTGTGGTCATGATGCCCGACATCTCGAAAGGCGGCTTCGTGAATGGTCGCTGAGGCTTTTCAAGCGGCCTTTCGCCTCGGAATCGACGCCCCGGTCGATAAAATTGTCTGCAACCACAACATGACCTCCCTCCCTCGCCGCGCTTGGGGTCTTCAACAACTGCTTTGAGCGAGTACGAGAGCGCTAGTGGCCGCAGCGACCTGCTGGTGCACCGATCAGCATCCAATGGATTTGCAACAGAAGCCGCCGGACAGTGGTCCGTCACGTGATCGCCGTCACCTGCCAACACCCGGCTGCAATGTACAAGGGCACGTCTGACTGGAAGAGCCAAGGCCGCAGAGAACTCGAACACGGCCAGTACGACGATTCTGCTGAAATCAATAGAGCACAAGCGCCGCTATCGCTGTCTCCGAAACGCTCATGCCGCACATCTGACAGTGAGGCCATACAGTCTGTGACGCCATGACTGGAGGAATAGCTGTGTCAATCAAAGCAACAACGCTTCTCCCGCACCCCACTCGCTTCCACCGAACCCCATGTCGAAACCACCAGCTATGGAATGCCTTTGCATGCATATTCAATCGATAAATCTTGGCCAACAACTGGCGGGGGGCACACTAAAGAAGCCTTGCACCTTCACTTTGTGGCTTGGAGTGTGGGAAGTGGACAACTTGAAGGATGGACCGACCGGATACGGGTGCCTGGACCCATTGCGAAGCCTCAGACTGCTGCTGCTCGGTTGTCTACACCTCTCGTTGTCATTCGTGACCGGCCGGAGATGGCAGTGCTCCTACGTTATCTGCAAGTCAATGGGGTGATGGCTACTAGTGACTTCCGGACCCCCCCTCAACCCGGTGGCCTATCTACTTTACGCGGTCCTCTGCTGCCAACATCATGGAGCCGGGCTCCCATCACTATTAAAGAGCCGAGTCTTCAAGTCTTTGGAAGGCATTCCCAACGATGTCTACACCCACTCTCCAGTTCTCAAACCTCTGTTTGCCCGACGATAGCCCTGACCAGAGGATCGAGGGGGACATGCGATTTGACAGGACGACACTGGAGGAGAGAAAGGTTATCGTGAGAGACATCATTGCATCGTTCGAGCCTCGAGACCTCCCTTCAGAGTTGTTTTCGGACGAAACGTTACAAAGGATCACGGCCGAACAGGGTAATCGACGCAGCAGTGAATGGACGATTCACGATGACTTGAAAGCGAGTTTGATGCAATGGTGCTGTCACGACCCAGGTGGATGGACCTTGCTCAGCCGAATGCATGGGCCTGCTATTCGAGCTCTGACATTTGAGCAGAAGGTAGAAAGGCGGTTTGAAGAACAGTTCGAGGCTTACGATGCATTATTTTCCGCTCCTCCTGGACCGGTCAACCAGGTCCGTGTGCAGGTGCTTGAAATATGCGACGGGATCCGGATGATTGTAGACGAGGTCGAGGTCGACATCAACACCAGAACCGGGAGTCAGTACAACGCCGCGAAAATCCTGCTCGATACGTTCAGGAAGGTCTGTGGAAGATCCACCGACGTCCCATTCGTCAGACGCAGCGGACGCCTGGAGGGTACAAGCGCCAGCGCAGGCGCGGAAACAGTCCCGACCCTATACCAGGGACTGATCGGAAACGTTACCACCCCTTTCATACTCGATGCGCTCCAGACGGTTCAAGAGAAATGGCCTAGAAGCCTTGGGACTGAGGAGGCGCAAACATTGATGCGTGGAATCAATGAACTACTGGTTGAGAACGGTGCTCCACGCGGCTACCTCAATCGCTTCCAGGCTTTGATGCGGGAATAATGGGACAGCCGATACTGGATTTCATCGCATGTCACGTGGCAGGCGCGCCCACGATGATCTCTCAAACCTCGTTCGGTCACTATAGGGTTACTGGAGGCATTCAATCAGCGGGGGCTACGGGCGGGCTGGTTGTCGTTTGCTCAGTGCAGCATGTGCAGCGGCGGCCTCGTCTGTCTGATGATCAGTCTCAAGGGTCGGCATTCGTGTCCCCATCATTTGGTTTTTCTGTGGCGTTGATGGTACAGCAGTTGTTGAAGATTGACGTGTGTGTGGTTCGGATCCTTGCTTGTGGTTTATCTATCTATCCAGCTCACACACTTGGTTTGTTCATTTCCTTGGGTGACTTCTGGTATATACCTGCCTCCTAATATCACTCATTGAGCTCGGATACATTTCGGCGTCTGATGCTGCCGCTCATCAGCCACCGACTCAACGGCATCTCATCATCAAAACGCGGGGTAGGTGCTCATGGCGCTTGGCTTCTCCTCATCTAGAATGCTCCAACATGAATCCGAGGTTCTCGTCCTCTGGTTTGCGGAGCTTGTGCTTGCCTTCGTTGGTTGTACCATGTTCAAAGACCTTCACTGACTCGACATGCCCGGAGATGGTAGTCGAGCAGTTGACATCCGATCAATCGTCCTGCGGCTGGGTATTTGCCGCGCCACTGCTCCGTGTGTATCTGCCTGAGGTGGCCCGTATACAGCATACTTCAATGACACGGCCGCAAGTGCTGATCGTTACCCCTCCTCAGCAGACGCGTCCGCTCGAGTCTTTTATCTTGTGCCAGTACCGCGGTTCGCCTCCCTCCTCGTCTGCTGATTCTTTCTGCAAAACACCTGTGTGGTCATTCCCTTCTCATTTCTGTAAGAAATTCGCTTCCGTGTGCTCTCAACATGGCTTCCGTCCAGATTCCTTCTAGGCACAAGGCCTTGGTGTACGATAACCCTGGCAGCATCTCGACAAAGATCGAGGAGGTTGAGACACCTAAGCCTGGGGCTGGAGAGGTGTTGGTGAACTTGACTCACTCGGGAGGTAAGCTGCTACTCCGTCTTCGCCTTTACATCAGGACAAGCACTAACGTACCTCAGTCTGCCACTCGGTAAGTGCTTCATGGAGCTCTCTCGGTAGACGACAGTGGTTCTCACGATGCGGCTCCCCGAACAGGACATGGGCGTTATGTGCAATGCGTGGCAAATGCTTCCTGCGCCCACACAGAAAGGCCAAGTCGGCGGCCACGAAGGCGTCGGTACCGTCGCAGCCCTGGGTAGCGGCGCTGAATCCTCTGGCTTGAAAGTCGGCGATCGCGTCGGCATCAAGTGGCTCGCGTACGTGTGTGGAAATTGCAAGCCGTGTCTGGCGGGAGTCGATGCATCCTGCACCTCGGCGAAGATCTCAGGGTGTGTATCATGGAGCCTGATACTCTCAGACGAAAAAGTTGATCCTGACGTGCTAGATACTATTATCCCGGCACCTTCCAACAATACGCCATTGCCCCCGCAAACTATGCGACTCCCATCCCGGATGGTGTCCCCAGCGACTTGGCGGCTCCCCTGCTCTGCGGTGGTGTCACTGTCTACGTAGCGCTGAAGAAGCTCATCGACGAGGGAGTTCGGCCCGGTGACTGGGTCGTCATTCCCGGCGGCGGCGGTGGGCTGGGTCATCTTGCCCTTCAGATTGGCTCTCGAGGCATGGGGTTCCGCATGATTGGGGTTGACATGGGTGAAAAAGAGAAGCTAGTCAAGGAGTGCGGTGCCGAGGCATTCCTCGATCTCTCTAAATACAGCCGCGACGACGAGGGGACCAAGAAGCTCGTGGAAGACGTCAAGGGCATCACTGGGGGTGGCGCTTCGGGCGTGGTGGTGTGCACTGCCAGCAACGCCGCTTATGCCCAAGGATTGTCCTTCCTTAAATTCCGAGGTGTCCTGGTTTGCGTCGGCGTCCCTGAAGGGCCCTTGGTGCCAATTGCCACGGCCAACCCAGCGACCATGCTTGCCTCGGAGCTGAAGATTGTTGGCAGCGCAGTGGGCAACCGAAAAGAGGCAATTGAGACATTGGATTTTGCAAAAAGGTGAGTTCAATTTTCACGCCGCCTTGCTGACGGACCTGCTTACACTGCCGCATAGGGGTATCGTCAAGACGCGCTTCACCGTGGAACCAATGAGTAAACTGACCGAGACATTTGAAAAGATGGACAAGGGACAATTACAGGGGCGAGTTGTTATTGACCTGAGCGGGTGATTTCGAGACGCGAACGCCTGCTGAATAAGTAGCTTTGTCTCTATCAAAACAAATGAGAATCGGACCCAAAGTGGTCGTACGTGAACAAGTAGAGACCGCGCCCCCAAGGCTCGGCTTCAGCCTTCGCAGCCCCCAAATATAGACAATTGCGCATCTTCAGCTCGTGCATGCGTAGTGTGTCCTGTCCACGCGATTAACCTTGACACAGCAGAAAGGTAACGGGCTTTCCGATGCGCGGGACCTTGGACGTCAGTGTGCGTCGAGGCGATGAATCCATACAACCAGCCGCCGTACGGATACCCCCAGCAAACACCAGGGCCGCCGCAACCACCATGGCAAGCCCCTCCACGACGACATGGATGGGGAGATCCTAGGATCCCAGGACAAGGACTGCAGAGCCCAATCTCTCCTGCCTACCCGAATATTCCTCCCTCCAACGCGTTCGGACCACCTCTCCCACCACCTCCACCCCTCCCCCTTCCTCAATCTCAATCTCAATACCCTCCGCAGCCGCAGTGGGACACGTCGCACTGGGGAGTGAAATACAACCAAGGATTGGCGGCTTCAGGTCAAGGTCAAGAGCAAGAGACGAAGCCTGCGCTACCTCCTCGCCCGACGTCAGCAACAGGCAGGCTCAGTCCGCAGCCTCACCAGCATGACCACTCTCAGCCATACTCGGGATGGAACGACCCTTATCACACAAGCAATGCAGTGCCGCCTCCTCCTCCTCCCCGGCCTCCCGAATACCAAGCTCATATCCAGGCGGCGCATCCTGGTCAGACAAGCACACCTCATCAAGAATACTCCCACCGACCTGCATCCCATCACTACGATCCTGTTCCGCTGCAACAGAATTCGTGGAATGCACAACCGCCACAAACGACAGGGCCGACGTACTATCCTCCGGCACTCCCTCCGCAACACCTGTCTGGAACGATTGATGGCCCATTGGTATCGCCAATAGAGTCAACCAGCGGCTTTTGGGGCGCGCCACATGGGCAACAATCTACAGCCCCAGCACAGAACCATTACAATGCTTCTCCTCAGCAACCACATGACAAACCTGCCGGCACTCAGGTGCTAGGGTTCGGAGGACCCTCGGACTGGGAGCACTACGATCCAAATGCGCCGCCTCCAGACCAGACACCGACGAGCCCCCCTGCGAACCTTCTCTACCAGACACAGGGCCCTATTTCACCTCCACAAACCCATGCCAGTCCGGCTCCTTTACAGCAGACACCGAAGCCAGAACCTGCTCGACCGACTTATCCTGTCGAGATTGGTGCTCCAAGCCCAGTTACGCCTCGAAAGGACACACAGGTTCCACCACCAGTGGCCGGCTACGGTCCGACCCCATCGCAGTCAACTGCGGACGGGAGACCGTCTTCCGCAGGTCAACGTCCCAGTGACATTCCCGCCCGGTCGGACAGCCTCGAGAGCGCAGGTAACATTGACAGCGTCATCCAAGCCTGGAACACTCCGTTGAAGCCACACCCGGTCCCAGACTCTACTCCGCGACCAGAATCGCGTGCATCAGCTCCGGCGGTTCCGAACCCGGAATCAGGACTTTCTTCGACCAATGTAAAATCAGTCGACCCCTACGCCGACCTGGAGCCCGAGTTCAAGGCATCGCTAAAGAGGTACGCCGTCATGCTGAGGAGAGAGGCAGCAGCCAAGACGGACGAGGAGAAGTTTGATATCTTTCAGGGTTTCGTGACCAAAGAGCTCAGGCTCCGAAGCTTGCTTTACGGGGTTGAGCTGAGGAAAGAGGCGGCCAAGGAGGTCAAGAAGGCCGCCAGCCTGGCCGACATCCAGGCTGTGCTGCCAAAGTCAGCCTTGCCTCCCGCTACCGCGAAACCAGACGTTGTCGACCAGCTCAACGATCCTGTTACGAAGACTGTTGACCCAGTTCCAGCGCCTGCTTTGCCTGAACCATCGCCAACCCAGCCGCCAGCCAGCATTCCGCGAGCCCCCACACAGCCGACCGTCATCTCGAAAGAACGCCCGAAACTTGACACCCCCAAACTTGCATCACCCGTCCCGGCCCTCCCGCCGCAGGCTGTAAGAACACCACCCGTCGAGGACCGCCCCCAGTCGAAGGATGACGGCTACGTAATGGTCGTAGCGCCTGGTCGCGAGGAGGCATATAGTCCCGGCGGTCGACCAGTGATGACAAAAGTCAAAGTGGGTGACGATGACGAAGCGTATAGTCCGGGTGGTCGGCCGATCACGACCAGAGCCGCAACGACCTCGCCGGCGCCGCCAGCGATTGGCACCATGGTCCAGGAACATTCACGTCAGACAGCGCAGAGCGCCCTATCGCCTAGCAATGACGCCCCTATGGTTATCGAGGACTACATCACTCCTCAACCGGCCTCACCAAGCGTCAATGCGCCAATGATTGTTGCCGCTGAGCCGCCGGTAGCTCAGGCTTCACCGAGGCCAAACCAAGATAGCCAGAAGCCTGTTGCGCCTATCAAATTCGAACCTCCGCGGCCTGTATATACTCCTTTCCGTTATAGCGCAGGTGTCCAAGAAGAGAAAACGAAGACGTCTTCGTTACGGCCGGCCGACCAGGCATATTCCTCACTCCGTCATTCACAGGCCGGGTCGGGTCGCCTGCTTGCTCAGGATGCCGCGCTGCTGGCTCCAATGAGGCCCTCTTCGAGCAGCGGTAGAAAGGAACACGAGGAGGCGTTCATTGGCTTGATCAGAAAGCAGAGTATGGCTGTAAGACAGATCACGCCTGGCTCTGCGCCACCACCATTACCACGTAGCATAACGCCAGGGGGCATTAACAACAAGGGAACTGCGGCAGCGAAACCCGAGCCGCCACCGTTCATGAGAGTGGGCACCCCGGCGGCACCGGCATTCAAACCACAGCAACCAGCAGACGTTGTCAAAGACGCAGTGGCAGCGTTACGCTCCCTTCTTCCGTCTTTGGATGACCTTCCAACCCCTATCGATTCCAGCGGCTCCAACCCAAAGCTCAGGATTGTCAGGTCCAAAATCGACTCCGTTCAAGACCAGTTCTCGTTCATCCATGAGGCTGTGGTGGAATGGGACCGCACCAATCGCCTGGTCCGCAAAGAACAAGAAGCTGAACGACAACAGCGCCAAGGAGAGTCCGAAGCCCACATCGATGCCTTATTCAACGACAATGAGATTGGTTACGCAGATATCGGTGCGCTCGAAGCCGAATTTAAGCTCTCCGAGGCGGAAAAAAGATATCACGAGGACCAAGCCGAGTTGGAAAGCTTCACAAGCCAGGTCTTTGTAGTGGTCACGGAGAGACTGCAGAAGGAGATCGCCGAGCTGATGAGCGCCTACACCATGGCTATTGATGTCTTGGACCTCGAGAGCGTGGCCGTGAGTAACTGCTTCAAAGCTCCGAACGGCGACAAGAAGCCGATACGAATGACGGAAATCATGTCCTGCGTGTTGACACTTTTCAACAAGATCGAAATCAGGCACCAAAAGCTCGCCGAAGCACACTTGGAAAGGGAGCGGAGAAGGAAACATCTCGAACTGACCATCCTCTACACGAACGGAAACGTCCAAGGCGTGAAACAACTTGAAAAAGAATTTGTCGTGGCCGAGAAGATGGCCGTCCTGCACGAAGCCCGCGGCAAGGACGATCGCGCCAACAAGCTGATGGACAGCTTCGACCGGGCCACGGTGCGCGGCCTAGGCGACAATCAAGTCTTTACCGACGAAGTCCTCTCCAAGCTCCAAGAGCTGAAGAAAGCGGTCGACGCACTCCTGAGCTCCTCTGACGAGAGAGACATCCTCTACGGGGCCAACGGCGCCACGGATACCCTCTCGCTCGCGCACTCGACGCTCGACTCCATCACCAACGACTCGCGTCGTCTCCTCGGCCTCTCCAACGAAGGCGACATCCTCCTCAACGAGGCCGACTACAACGTCTCGGTCGCCGAGGCCCGAGTCGCCAACGCCGATTCCTCGGTGTACACCAAGCTCCAGGAAGAAAAGGCAAAGGAAGACAGCAAGCTGATCGAGGAGATGAACGCGAGGACCGCATCCGTGACCAAGGGGCCGGAAGAAGCGATCAGGCTCGTCAGGGACATACAGGCGACCGTGGTGGGCGGAGGCGAGGGCCATGAAGAACGCATCAAACGCGCGCTAGAGGCCGCCAAGGCAAGGAACGCGGGTACTGGCGAGGGGGCAGGAGGAGGAGGAGGAGGAGGAGGAGGAGGAGGAGGAGGAGGCGTATGATTTCTCGATGCGACGTGGCATGGAAATCTGACCTATCCCGTTATGTTCGGAGTTGTACGGAGTAGTTTGTGGACATGTACAGAGGACGGAGTATAGGGGTGGTATATGTATATATAACTTTTGATGTTGCATGAGACGTGAGCTACCAAAGTTCTCAAGTTAGTAAATTACTGGATTGTGAATTTGTTGCAGGTGAAGAGGCCTGATTCCCGTCAGATGGCCTGACTCAGTACTGGTAGGGATAAGTGGACAAGGAATATAGATGGGAGCGGTCCATTGCCAGTTCATCCTTGTACCGATTTCCCAGGAACTGTACAATCACTTACAGGATCTTCAGGTCACTTGAGTACTTTTTGTGACGGATAGGGGTTCTGGTTCTGGTGCTGGTCCTAGAAAGCAGGTCTGTGTACCTAACGTACTTGCTAAACTCGACGCTCAATACATACGATCAATCAATCAACTAACACACCGTACCTAGGTAGATTATATGTATGGTATGCAGCGTGGATGGAACGGATTTAGAATATCATCTTCTATCAATTCCCGTCCTGGCTGGCTACCTACCTATCTACCTATCACCTCCCACCACTCAACTCTTCAGTGTGAATGTCTGAGCTTCTAGCTTGTTACATGCAAGGATTGAATTCGATCCCCTGCAAAGTGGCATACTTCACTTCACTTCATTTCACAACCCGTACCTTGGTCGTCAAGATCCCATCCAGTGCATCGTCCCAGCTCTCTTTGTATCTCCCGCAGATGGTCTCCATGGTAGCTTCATCGCAAACTTTCTCCATCAGCTGTTCCCACTCCGGTCCCATATTAAGCTCATTCCACATCCAAGTGGAAGCGCCTTTTCCATCTTTGTCCTCCTCGGCAGTGGCGTCGGTGGAAAGATCTGGATTCGCTGGCCGCGCCATGCCGAGATCGACGAGCTTGCCTAGAACGCCGGGCTCGTTGATCTCAGACTTCATCCAGCGCGCGTGAGCGTGGGTTTGGGCTTCAAGCTCGGCGACAAGGCTCTGGAGTTCGGAGATGGATGCCTTGGTCACAGTCCCGAGGAGGGTCTTGGAGGCCTTGCCGCCACCTTTCTGCAACTTCCTCGAGATCCACGTCAGGAAGTAGGAAATGGTTTGCAATTTCTCCAGTTCGGAGAAGCTCGTATGTAAGTCGTTCCACCAGGGGATATACATTCCTGCAATGCTCGATTCGTCCTTGTCGCTGGTCTTCTTATCTTTACGACGGTCGTCTAGGTTGGCTGTTAACGATGACTTGATATGCGCGATAATATCTGGCAAGGACTTTGAGGCGTCGGGGCCGCCAGAGCGAATGACTGTTTGACCTTCGGTGAGAAGAATGATGGCCTGTGCCATATTCATGGCCGCGTCGAATGTCGACAATTCACTGCGGGTCATTTCCTTCTCAAGCTCGGTGGGCACGGATGTGTCTGCAGAAAATCGGTCGTGAATCTGTTTGACGTTCTTGTACGCTGCATTTGCAGGGGTTGTGTGTGAGTCCAGGTCTTGTTTGAGATAGGTGGCAACGTTGTCGTAGAGCACCATGGCGTTGACCCAGCCCTCTTTCGGCTGCTTGCCGCAGTGGCATGATTCCAACATCCGCCGGTCGTCCTCACAATAGATGGGCATGTAGCTGTAATCTCTCTTGTCCACGAGTGCCTTTGAGGGATCCGTGGGTGGTAGGACTGTGGCGTCGTCGAATTCCGACCCCCGCCATCGCGACACTCTACGTTCCTCAATGGCGCAAATTTGCTTGTTCATACTCCGTTCGATGTCGGATCGCATCTCGACGCTGTTGTAGATGTTCGAGTAGCTGTTGAACCGCAAACCTTCACGTATACCTCGGACTAGAGCCGTGTCCGCGTTTTCAAGGACTGTGACACCAGTCTCGGCAGCCAGAAGAGGTTCAAGATCGCCCACCCCGCCATTAAAGGCCGGATGTAAGGTGGACATCCTGGTCAAGATCAGATGACCGACTGTTTCCCATTGCATGTTCTTGATACTGAGTTTGGTGAAGTTTTGCATGGCGAGCGAAAGTAGACCCAAGTGAGCTTGAAGTCGAACAAGGAGGACCGTCAAAATGTAATAGTCCTCAAATTTGGACCGCGCAATCTCCAGTATGCTTGCGGCGACGAGGACCCGCTGGTGTTGGGGATCCTGAATTTGTAGGTGCAGGATGGCCAAGGCTGCAAGAAGAGCTGCTTCAGGGCACGACGGTGGTTCGGAGATGGACAGTCGGTATAGCTTCAACGCCCTGTGTGCCAAAGATAGCAGCTTTGGGTTTCGAGCATGTGGCGGCTCCGAGTCAGCAGTGGGTATCGAGCTATAGACGACCTTCAGCGCGAACAGTTGACCCAAATGCCCTTGCTTTTGTTCGGCAATCCGCAGGAACTCGTCCCAGTGTTGTGTATCGAGTCGTCGCAAGGCGTCCTTCAAGTCGTCAAAGCAGAATGCCTTGTCCGAGTATGCCTCAGAGTACTCCCTGCATGTCTGCAGCAAAGCATCTTGATCGATCTGGTCGCTTCGTTGACTTTGTAACAAGCTCAACTTTGCGATATATGCTGAGCGGACAATTGGCCTAGTTGTGCAGATGGATTCGAGGGTGCCTTCAGACTGTATTTGCAGGCTGTGCCAACGTCAGCACTACCAGTTTCAGGTTCCATCTCGCAAGCTTACTCTTGATCTGTGGAGTGAGATCGTGCCTTGAGCCATAGGGCCCAGATACGGTTGTCTGATTGTGACTCGGATTGCGAAAGCAGCTCCTGGCACACCTTCAGAGCTTCGTCCCAGTTCTCTGACGCTTCTAGAGATTCGAGCACCAAAGACAGGACAAGTTGCGGATCTTTGGCTCCAAGGCGAGATTCGATGCTCAGAGATCCGCCTAGTAGGAGCTTTATGGACTCCTGGACGTGGCCTGTGGAGTTGAAGACTTGTACCAACAGCGCAATCTCCTCAGGGTCCGAGATAGCCTTTGCCGAAGACAAGGATTGCTCCTGCACCCAAGTGAGACCTCAATACTTCTGTCGATACTGCTGACGTACCTCATTTTTGGGTATAGCCTCGGCAGCCTTTGAAATCATGCGATATGCTAGCGTACCAAACAGCATACGTTCGTTCTCGGGTATGTCCTCTCGCTTGTGTATCAGGTGGCACATGAGTATGTTCCAGAACTCATACTGTCGTTCCTTTGGAAATGAGTTTCGTAAACCCATGGTGGCCTGTCGGACGGCCCCATGTCAGCCAATCGCCCTTCTCTTGTGTCGTTGATCATCTCTTCACACCTTTTGAGCACTGCGCCAGTTGTTGTCTGCTATTGCTTGGTTCAGCCATCTCGTGTAGAGATCTTTGGTATCTTTCCCAACGGCAACCGCTCGTTCCCATAGCTTCGGAGTCTCTTCGTGTAGGGAGAGGCTCTTGAGTGTCCTTTGCAGCTGATAGATGGCTTCCGGGTCTGTGACTGGGGGAGTTCGCTTGCAGAGATCAAGAAGCTCCTGTCGTCCTCGGTCATGCTGAGCTTTGTCGGACTGTTGGACAAGCACAGAGGCTTTCACCGCCTAATCTTGTCAGCTTAAGATCGAACCTGCGATGTGCTGTTAGAACTACCAGAAACCGGTCAGACCGTTCTCCCTTCTTCGCCCATTTGTCGCACAGTTGAAGTGCCTGCTTCCAATTTTCACTGGCCACTGCATCTTGGATCGGGCGTATCCTTCGCTCACTCACGCTCAGATCCGACATGTTCGGGGCTCATCAGCCCTTCTTGTCGGGAAGTGGTGAGAGTGAGATGGCAAAAGAGAATGCGGGGAAATTTGTGGACGAGGCTGAAAATGATTTAATTATTGGTGCCATCAAAAGCACGGCGCAGTCCGGGAGTCACGAAATCACGAAGAATCGGTTGCGGCTTTGTACTTGATGGTTTAAAAGGTTGTTGAGCGGACGATAGATAGCCTCAGCTCTGATCGCTCTGTCCTAGTTTTACAAGCCTCGCAGCGCAGAAGCGGCGCTCGTGCCACATCAACCACGACATTGTTGCCACGAACTCCACGCTATGCATCTGTACAGGGTATCATTTGTGCTGTGTACAAACCTGAGTAATCAACTCAGAGGGATTCGGGAGGTTTGGCTCGTTCGTTTAGGAGAACCATGATCCTTTCTCTGCTTTCCGTCTCGCCATCTGATGACATTGTCAGTGTCGGCACGATGCAGTCTCGTTGGAGTTGGCGTACCCATTCTTTCTTGCAATCGCGATAAGCTCTGTATCGCAAGCATAGCGTCAGCCTGCTGCTCGACCCCGTCTGTTATGTTTGACACTTCCACTGCTCCAGTGGGCCAGGTCCGCTGTTCAGGTAGGCCGTACGCACTTGAAGTAGTCCTGACACATGTCCCTGTCCCCGTTGTTCCGGTGCATGCACTTTATACTCTTGTTTGCGAAGTCCTGGCAAGGGTCGTAGTACTCGGAGCTGCGTTTCCTGCAGAGCAAGCTGCTGTTTAGCGTTCTGGTCGTGGACATGGAGGGGGACGGGACGGCCGTACGATTGAAACGCGGCTTTGGACTTCTCCCAAGTGTCAGCCTGCGCATCTGAGCCAGCCATCTGCTGAGATTGCGCTGAAGTAGCCATGTCGTTGCTTGACACACACACACACTTTGGGTTAATGGGTTTGCGTAGCTGCAGGTGCTTCAGATCATGCGAGGCAGGGATTAATGCACTAACTACCTTTTGCCTAGATCCGAATTGAGCTGTTATCGATAAGCCTCCACCCCGTCGTTCCTTGCTGCCCCTCTGTGCGCTCCAGTGACCTCTCCAGACCTCCTCGAGACCTGCGGCAGTCGTAATCAGGTCCTCGTCGGAGGGCGGAGGGTATCACTACATTTGCCCAACGCGCATGCTGCCAGCTCAAGCAGCGAAAATAGGAGTATCTGCAGAGTCGGCTCATTCAGTGCATCGGATCCAATCCCGCGTTCCTCCATCGACGTTGTCCCTTGCGCATGAACTACACTGCAGGCGGTTGACAGAGGCACAATGATAGGGCAAGACATCCCAGGTTGACCATCAGCAAGGACTTGGAGCACGTAGCGCATTCCCTATTTGGTGCTCTGTCTGCTCCTTCGCCTCATCTCGATCATCGAAATGCATTGATATCTGAGCAGTTCTTGATGCGATGATGGCGTGTCGATATCAAGGCTTGCGTCAGAACGAAACCTTCAATGCCCCTAAAGGTCGAAGCCATGGGTGATCCATGACAACGTTCGAACCCAAGGTTTAACTTTTAGAGCAGTAACGACGAAGCATGTAACTGGCGGAAGGTATCTGCTGGGAGCGTTTGTGATATCCGGGACCATACCGTGTTTGGTGAATAGATCCATTCCACACGGGCGGCGGGGTTGTCCATCTCTATAATTGCAAGAGGCGATGATGCACGTCCAGGACCCTTATCGTGTATTGAGCTCTTGCGCGTGTGTGCGTGAATAATGGCAACCTCCTTTAGGAACCTCCATGGGTCACACCGACACGGACCTCACCAACTGGGGCCTTTGCAGCGGTTGCGGTACCCAATCTTGACACCTAACCGCCCCGGCCAACTTGAGCAGTGCTGGTGATAGACGATGCCAACGTGCCAACATGCCAACATGCCAACATGCCAACGTGATCTAAAGATGTCCGCCCTGCGCGCCAGTATAGCGACAAAAGCAGAGAAGAGGGGCATGCACCTCGAATCGGCTGGTCCATATATGCACAAGCACGTGAAAAAGATCGATTCGTCCGTAGCGGAGGGCACACGGCGAACAAGTATGGAGCGGGCAACGGGCAACGAGCGACGAGCGACGGGCAGTGATTTTAAGCCAAACTGAGCAACATTTTCCATCCATGACAAACGCCAGCGTTGTTCGCCTCTTGATTGTCCCCACAAGCGTAGCTCGGGCATCCCCAGCTTTCCTGCAAGTGCAACTCCTCGCTTCACGGAGAGGTCGAGGCGCTCCACAAGTATTGAGCCGTCCAGACCAAGCCTTGTCACCCGCAGGCTGATGATGGGAGTTGCTGATAAGAATGCGCGAAGTCCCGAACGAATTGTGAAGCTGAGGACAGGCTGCTCACCTGCATCACGATGCCCTATTCCCTCGCCTTCCCTTATCCCTATCTTGTGGAGTTACATGCCTGCTCCGATTTCATGAGCTAGCAACTGCGGGTGGGAGCACTTTCCGGTTCAACTGACCGTAATCTGTAGACAGCGCGGTAACATCTGACGTTTCGTGCATTCCTTCGGAGCCTCCTTCTCAAACCACATGACGCCTTACCTAGGGAGGGTTTCGGTTGCTGCCCGAGACTAAGGGGGCTTTGTGATATATGATTGTCTTCCCTTGTGTGTGAATACATCCAGTAGAAGATTGTTTGGTGATATTGTTGTCCTTGACAAAATCATTCTGCGCGATTGCTCTGTTTGCACTCCTTCCATTGCGCATACGGCACGCCACCGCTACCACTTACCTATCATTGTTGTACTTTCGTCCAAGTATATTAGCCGGTACCAGCAGCGATGGCTTCAGCAGACGTTCTTCTCCCCCAACCAGCTGCTTCTTTCGGTTCTGGTAAGAGGAAAAGACCAGCATCCCTCCTGGACGACATGGCTCCCACGACACCAAAAGCCCCAACATTTGAGCCTGCGAAGCATCTCAACTTCCAACCACCCAACAAGATATGGACCATGGAGGAGATTGGGTTTGCAGATAAAGGGGTCTCACCTATCGCCGTCTCAGAACCCTTCCCTCTCTTCACAACGGAAGCCATCAAAGCAATGAGAGCAGAGGTACTCAGCAAGCCTGTGTGGGATAATTGCAAGTATTCCAGCAATCTTGCGAAGTGCCAGCTGAGGGGGTTTGCTCCCGAGTGAGTTTACCTTGTCGAGGCCGCTTGGTCCATACTGACAAGACATTGAGATACGCCCCGTTCGTGTATGACGTCTGGCGCAGTCCTGAAGTGCTCGCTATTGTGTCAAAGATTGCCGGTGTCGAACTTGTGCCGGCCTTGGACCTAGAGATTGCCCACATGAACATTTCCAGCAACACCGAGGAACAGATCGAGACCGTCAAGCAGGCTCTTGCTGAGAAGTCCCATCGAGAAGCAGACGAAGGTGTCTCGGGTTGCCCCTGGGAAGACGACGAGGATGCCCAGCCTATTGTCGACTGGCATACAGACAGTTACCCATTTGTCTGTGTCACCATGCTCAGTGATTGCACCAACATGATTGGAGGCGAAACAGCTTTGCGGACAGGGACCGGGGACATCATGAAAGTTCGGGGACCAGGCATGGTAAGACCCGCATCCGAGATTTGAAAACCTGTATACTGACAGGCCAGGGCCATGCTGTCATCCTTCAGGGCCGATATATCGAACATCAAGCGGTGCGAGCCCTCGGCACGACTGAGCGTATCTCGATGGTGACATCATTCCGTCCCAAGTCTGCCTTCATCAAAGACGACACTGTCCTCACCACTGTCCGCCCGATATCCGACCTCACCGAGCTCTATTCGCAGTATGCCGAGTATCGCTTCGAGATGTTGGAAGAACGTATCCGAGCACAACTAAGAGAGATCCGAGAGCGCAGGCGCGCCCACCGGTTCGACACGAAGGCCACAAAGGCCTTCATCAGAGAACAAACGACCTTCCTAGAATCCATGTTGAAAGAACTGGTTGATGACGAGATGGTCAAGGCCGGTGTGATGGATGTTGAAGAAAACCTCTTCAGCGAGGAATTGCTCCAAGAGCGTCGCAAGAAGGCGAAATTGTAGCTCGATTGACACAGCAGCCATACGGCCTGGTGGATGAGCCCGACTCAAATTGCTTTCATGCTGTTGGACGCTGTTGAACATTACATATTGACATGACTCGTTTTCGCTGCATCGCGTGCAGGCTCGCTTGGCGCTGAATTTTGGATTTCTTGGGAAAGATCGCTTGTACTGCTGAGACCTTGGTGCAGGCGAATGTCATGAGAGTAGCTGTTGCCGCGGTCGCGCATAGATTGAATATACGGGTTTCTTGCCTTTTACTTCAGTGATCCAGATCGAGATTCATTTGATGATGATTTCAAGCTCTGTTCTCATCATGAGCGGCACCGGCCCATCGAGCAGCTTCGAAGCGAGAAATGGCCACAGTCCTTAAATCCGTGTCCGTCCTCTGGTGAAGGTAGAATTAGGTTGGCCACGCTTGGCTGCGTCGTGTTGACTTCAGACTTTAGCAACGCGAAGTTCGGGTTCTTACACCTCAGATTTTGTCTTCCTCGGCTCACCTTCTACTTCTTGACAAATTACAGCTCTGCAATTCGCGATCAAAGTTCGATTGGAAGACGTTTCACCGCTTCTACTCCGTAGAGCACACAGTGTACCTGAAAAACCCGTTTCGGTGGTCAACCACTCGGTGGGGTCTTGTGCCTATGCGAGTCAACTTCTACCGACGATTGAACACCACTCTGGCTTTTGCTGGCCGGAACCCGTAATACCAGCACGATCAGTTCGTGGTTTTCAATCGACACCTCATTTCCTGAGATTCCACAACTCGAGGCGCAGGGCAGAAGGGATACACAAAGATTACGAAAAGGGTCTGTATGCTGATCATCAACAGAACATATATGCTGTGCAGAAGGAGCACACGACGCGGTTCTCCTAAGGTAGTTTTGAATGCGAGTAGAAATTGACGAGCAGGGCAGCAAGGCTCACAAACCAGTTAATTTCCGACCATGTCAAAGAAGAAAGTGGGAGTACTGGAAGAATTGGGGTTGTAAAGCTCTTTCAGAACAATGCCTAGCTGAAACAGATATACAACCTGGAGGGAAAGCCTCGCTGGAGAGCCAGTCCAGGTTGGGAAGCTTTATACGGGAGCGGGCACGAGGCCGAGCTCGATGGAGATTCAGGTTCAAGCTGGGGTTAGGGCGGCCGTCGCTCACTCTCCGGATCGACGTGTTGTTTAGGAGGAACTCAGGTAAAAGGGAAGCAGAAGACAAGGAGAGGTAAAGCGAGGGAAGTGGCCGTTTAGTTCAACAAGCGCCGACTCATTTGTAAAGCGCGGCCAAGCACTTCAAGGAGTCTGGCATTGTAATCGATTGCTCTTCAAATGAGCTTCTCAAATACCACAAGCTTCTCTCTTTTTACTGCGACATTGCATCGGCCATAGTGTACAAGGTCCCATACAGGACGGTTCGATTCGCGGTGACAGATTACAGGCTTGTTCGGGTCAGTCTACTGTGGTACTTTCGGGCAGGGACTGCGCATACAGTAGGAGATGTATCAGGATGGGCTCGAGACTAAGACTAGAACCTGAAAACCGGCAGGAATCCAAGTCATGCTGTGCCTAATCGACCTTTCTCTTGCAATCCCATTTTCCCTCCACGAAGACAACGTTATTCGGCGCCAAGAGATACCAGAACGCCCCTGCGAATGCTTGTCATGGTGTGAATCTGTGTAAAGGTCTCAGAAAACACCCTTTGCTTAATCTTGCCGGCCTTTTAGTAATCGTTTCGTGACCTTGTCCTTCTCAATAATGTAGACGTGCGCACCCCAGCCGGAGAGAGCGTCTCGGTCGACTGCATTCAGGAGTGCCTGTGAGATGGTTTCGAAGAGATCTTCCGGTTCCTAAGACCTCAGTCAGCCCCAGATTGCTCAACGGGACAGCGAAGATATCCCTACCAAGTCTGGCTCCCATAGCCCTTCGCACGTCCCAAACAGCTGGTCACTCGCGGTCCCGGCCACAATGAAGTCCTTTGCGAAGTCGATACAGCCGATACTGTCAAAACCGCAAATGAAAGGCTTCCCTGTGGTGTGATTGATACCCGCCAGCACCGGAGAGACGAACCAAGGGCCAAATCGTCTCTCGTACAAACTGCTGCTTACTAGATTGGCCAGTGTCTGTGGTGAAATGTTGCGTTCTTCCCGTAGCCGGTACATGTTGACTTTGTAGCGGAAGGTGTCGCTGACAGTCTGTACATCCGTGGCCAGACCAGTAAGGCCCAGGAAAACCGAGGGTGCATAGTTGAAAATCTTGGGGAAGTTGTTTGAGACAGTAAGGGCTTGTAGGCCGAGACGTAGGTCGCAGGCTATGGCCACACAGTCTTTACCGACCATCGCGACACAGGCGCCGCCATCTGATAGAATCGTTAGAGAGGATTATGCTCGGTTCATGGAGGAGCATACTGATATCGAACGGAGAGCTCTGTCCAAGAGGTTAGCATTGACTCTCTTTCCGTTGCCATGCTGGAAAGCTTACCATGATCGAGTTTGCAGTAGAACAATCAGGGCGAAGATGAAACCAGAAAGCAAGGGATCACAGGAGCACGAGAGATGGTGGTGCGAATATGTGACAACGCTCCCAAGGAACTAGATGCGCAGGCACGCCAGCAAACGCGTTTGCAGTTCGGATGAGGCTCAAGACGGAGCCTACCAGCGCAGCCGCCAGAACGGGTCAAGGACCAATAGGCGGGCGTCTTACCTAATCCCGCCAGCGAGGAGCACCAGGGAGCAATGACGCGGGCGTGCGCTTGCCTGCAGGTGGGATGCCACCGCTCTCTCGCCGCCTGCTTCTCCGCGTTTGGTATATCAAATCAACATGATCGGCCTCACCACACCAGCAAGTGATTCTAGACTATTCCATTTATCTTCTCACTCGGTCGCAACATAACACCGATATTGTCTCTCATATCCTTCGGTTTTACACCAGCCTTGATCTAGGTTACGATCGAGACTACCTGCTATCACCCCACCATACCAGGCTCCCGACTCAGCCTTTGACATGGCGTCGCATGTTGTGGTTATCGATGCCACCGCCCGAAGAACGCAAATCAAGACAACCCCTGGGAAGCACCTGAGTGAGGTTCTCGAGGAGGCCTGCGCGAAGTTAGGTCTTAATGCTGCTCACTACGGCTTAAAGTACGTTTCCTTCTCATTACGACTCGAAGAGTCAAGTTTCTAACCAGGTCTTTTTAGACACAATAACAAGCAAGTCGACCTTTCCAAACCGCTCCGCCTCTCAGGACTCTCCTCTGGTGCGAAACTTGAGCTCGTCCAACTTTCCAAATCCGCCGGAGTTGTCTCAATAGCCCTTCAACTACCTGAATCGGAAGCAAGAGGTGTTCCCAACGCCAGACTCACAGACAAGTTTCCTAGTTCAATAACACTATGGCAGCTACTCAGAAAATTTGAGGCTGGAGTGGCGGGCAGTACAGACCTGCGGAACTTTACTGCTAGAGGAGTACCGTCGACCTCCCAGGGTAATTCGGGCGCGGGCAGATTGTACTATGAACAGCCGGTAATTCAGATCATGAATAGAGAATTGGCGTCCTTTACAGACCTCCAAAAATCGTTGGCACAATTGGGATTCAATACCGGTTCAGCATTACTGAGGCTGAATTTCCGAGCGACCCAGACGCCGCTCGAAGAGGCTATGGTCCAGATACAAGACTATTTCAACTCCATTGAGGGCGAAGGGCCAGCGGCTCCACCATCCCAACCACAGACCAATGCTCCCGCAACAGAACCGCAGCCTGCCGCAGCCACAACGCAACCAGAGTGGACCGAAGATGGCCCTCCACAGCCAGCTTCTCAAACTCTGCCGGAAGAGCCTGCCGCTTCATCCTCACAATCACAAACTGCCACATCAGCTTCCGGTCGTCCCATCTCTGTATTCCGACCTCCTACTGCATCGACGCCCTCAGCCGCCCTGAGATCTCACAACGAAGCCGATTACACGCCGACAATTGAACATGCCCAAGTCCATCAGAAACTGCTCCAACAGAATTCCAAAAACGTCCGCCTGAAAACTGAAGCTGAGCTGGCCGCTCAAGCTGAAGAGGAAGCGGCTAAATGGGCAGCAGTGAAGGATGTCGAGGTCAAAATCCGCTTCCCCGACCAAAGTACCATTGTTACGCCCTTTAGCCAATCGGACACTGCGGCAGACCTGTATAGCTTTGTACGAGAGTGCCTGGAAGACCGATGGCGGTCGGAAGTTTTCCTACTGCGAAATCCCGGCATCAGAGGAAAGAACGAGTTCATTCCGGACGATAGTGGCAAGAGGATAATCAGAGACCTCCAGCTCAAAGGCCGGGTGCTTTTGACGTTCGCCTGGGACGATCAGAAGGCCAGCAGTCAGGCGCGCAATACCAAGTCTGTTCTCAAGGAGGACTTGAGGAATCGCGCCCAGGAATTGCAAGTACAAGACGTGACCATGGTCGATGTCGAGGATAACAAAGATGCTGGAGTCAAAATCAATGTGGGGAAAATGGACACCGGTGGTTCTGAAGACGGTGGCCAGTCCAAATCGAAGATGCCCAAGTGGTTGAAAGGCCTGAGCAAGAAATAGTGTTCATCTTCAACGGGAATCAATTTGGCCTCGGTGCAGGTTTATTGCCGCGAGCACCGTGTAGATGGCATTTACCAGCACCTGGAAAGCTTGTCACACGAGATATATTGGTTGACGATCGGACCACAGATCGGAATGTGGTGGTAGACTTGGAGATGTTGACGAAATACGATACCCTTCACAGCGTTGCGCGCTGGTCTGCGCTATTTCGATATAGCTTCCATCTGAGTTGATTCAATGCATCCGCTCGCTGAACCGAGAATGAGCTGTTCTCGTACACAGTAACAGGATTGAAGCTCTCGACGATGGTGTCCTTGTACTCGTAGCCAAACCAGATCTGGAGCCTCACTTTAAATCCAAGAATTTTTCCGCACGGAAAATTATCTCCGTCCCGAAGCCGGCACTAGTAAATCAGCCGAAGAAACACCGCCCACAATCGCATTTTCGACATTGGGACAACCCTGCGATCGTGAGAGACAGCACCCTCCAAGCGCATTTCTTTGGCCCAGTTATCTCTCAAGTCACTCGACACCAACGCCAAGATGCCCTCCGAAGTCACGGATATCAAGCAATTCCTCGAGATCGCACGGAGAAAGGATGCCAAAGGTGCGCTGCGACCACTTCTCCTGCGATTCTTTGCCCCTCTACAGATTGATTTGTGCTGGCCCAATGCCGCTCTGGTTCGCCCTCAGGTGTCAGGACCAATGCTGATCTCTTTGATGCCCTCAGGCGCCCGTCTCAAGAAATCCAACAAGAGCAAGGATATCAAGTTGAAGCTCCGTGGCAAGCGGTTCCTGTACACACTCATCCTCAAGGACTCGGACAAGGCCGATAAGATCAAGCAGAGTCTGCCGCCTAGTAAGTTCCTGGGTGCTTTCCTATTTCTATGTTTTATTGGTCGCGCGGGGTTGAGTCTAGCGAAGAAGGGCGAGAGAAGGGCATACCCTGCGGGTTGTGCGGTCAAAGAGCAGGGGTTCACTTTCATGGAGGTGGAGGTTCACGAAACTTGTGCAAGCGAGGTACAAGACAAGACAAGGGAGGACAGGGCAAGACAAGCCGCTACAGGAGATGCAGTGAAGGGATGGAAATATTCGAGCCCATTGTGTTTGTGTTTGTGCTGGCGCTTGTGCTTTTCCTCCAAAGTGCGAGGACTGGGCTTCCGCATTGCGCGCTCGGGAGACCGGCTCCGGTTTTGAGGCTGGACGCGAAAATTACAACCCACTCTCGAGGACCATGCTGACTGATTCCTCTCCACTTGCAGCGATGGATTTCCAAGAAATCGGCAAGAAGAACAAGAAGCCTAAGAAGAACTGAGCTCTGGCGTTCTGTTCCTCTCATCTTTCCGTTGTGTTCGAATCGGCCGGCCGACCGGCATGAACGACCGAGCATGGTGCTTGTGAAGAAATCAGCTACAGGGACTGGAGCAGATCATATGTGGTCCTGCTCAATCGAAGGGTCGAGAGGCATCTGTTGCCTCTGTTATGCGTATGGGAGTGTTTGCGACGCGGGTGCAGGTACGGGCCTCGGTTGCGCGCAGATAGTGTCTTGAGATGATGGATCGGCGACAAAACCGTGACTACTCGGATCAAATTTGTACGGATCGAAATGTACGGATCGAAGAGGCTGCTTGCATTATCCATGCGCGCGTGGATGACTCTCGGGCTACAATGGCAATGGAATGAAACAAAGCCCGCTGCATGACGAAGTACTCTTCCGTTCGGTATGTCCGTGTCCAATGCCACCTGTGCGGCCAATACGGCACAACACGGTCGTTCGTCAAGGAGGCCTTGAAGACTAGTTCGCACGAGGCCGAATCGTTATCTTTGGTGACTGTCTATCTCACTATCTGTCTGCATGCCATGCCCTTGCGGAAGATCAATCACGGCGCTGGCTCCTCTGGCCTCAAGCACTCCCCACAAGAGCACTCGTACAATCCCTCTCCATATGTCCGTTGGATCTCCGCCCCGTGCTCCCGAACCAGCCTCTCCCTGCTTAATCGCAGCTCAAATTCCCCAAAGTAGCTCTCCTGTTCGCTCGTCTTGGTGAACCCCAACGCCTCGAAAAGGGCAATACTCCCACGATTGGAGCTGGCAATCTTGACTGTGAAGTAGCCGAACTTGGGGCCGCCTTTGGCTGCATCAGCTGTTTCCCGTTGCGCAGATCTGGGAGTCGGCACTCCTATAGGGGCGGTGCGCCGTCCACGGTGAAATTCCTCGAGAATCTGGCTCTCATGGCGGACGGTATACTCCAGAAAGGTCAGCAAGGCAGCCTTACCGAGACCTTTCCGACGATAGGCTGATTCGGCGATCATTAATTCGAGTTCGCCGATCGCGATCGAGGAGTTGGGCCTCGAGGTATCGGTAGAGGTGGCGGAGGAGTCAGCGTGCGGGTCATTGTGTATGTGTATCTCGTTTATGTCGTCGGGGCGTTCTTCTTCTACCTCAACGGCCGAGATGAAGAGGTTCACGTCCCCGACCATGGCATCGAGTTCATCTTCAAGGCGTGTCTTACCTCCAGGGGCGACGATACCATGGTCTGCTAGGTCGTTACGCTGATTGGCATGCCTGCGACGGAAGGGTCGACAGATGATAAAGGTGAGCTTATCGGCGTCGCTGCGCCAGCTTCGTTGCATGGCGTGCTCTTCTGCCAGGGTGAGCGGTTCTGAAGCCGTTGCTTCTTGGATTTGCTGTTGTAGACGCGGACGCAGACGGTCAGAATCCGTATTCCGCAGTCAAATTCAGTCGAGTCGAATGGGCGCTGACTTACGGGATCTTTCATCCATTCGTGATATTTGGGCACATGGTGCGCGTTGTATGGTACTAGGACCACTTTTTCCGTAAACACGCCTAAAGAGCGATGTTCAGACCGAGAGCGCTTTTTGAGTCGCGACGCGATGGCTCGACTTACAGGTAGTTTCGTTGATGCGCATGTTAACGATCTATCCATCTTGGTGTCAGGTATTCCGAAGTACACGATCGCATCAGACGGACGTGCCTGTGAAATGCATTCTGTCAATACTTAAAAGTAACCAGAAAATCTCGTTGTGCCATAAGGCGGAGAATTCCGGAGCCGCGCAGCACAGCTTAAGTAGCCTTCGTCACGACCCGTTTGTCTGGTCTGGGTCATAAATGTCGAACTTCACCACCTCGACTTCCAAGGTCTCCGAATCGACCAAGACGAGCTCGCCAGTCTTGCGGAATCGTGGGAGCGCGATGAGTCGGACTTGTTGGCCGTCAGGGCCATGGATGATTGTGGTGTCGAACTTGGGCTGATTGCCAGCAAAGAGTACGTGGGGACATTCGTCAATAACGAATTGATCCCGGTCTTGGAAGGGATAGCACCACAGTGTATCCGGCGCGGTGGGTGCTCCGCACCGCCACCTGAGCATGCTGGCCAGGACCTCTAACCGCCCGTCTGCGCCATTGCCGTCGGGCCCACCGACGTCGATGTACTTGAGGATGTCGTCGACGGGCTGCCCACTGTTTCCCATGAAACGCCATCCTTCGACGTCGCCGTCCCAGGGATTCGTGACGCTGTCGAGCCAGCCTGGGTCTTCTTCCTCGGGATCGGCGATGTTGGTAGTCGAGTATGCTCGGGCAATGGGGAACATCGCTGGATGGATAGGTTGTTGCGGTAAGCTCGCGTTGGCTGGGTCTTGTTCACCCGCCATTATGGTGATGGGCATACTAGGCAGAAGTTCAGCCAGGAATCGATCGAGCTGAGCGGTGGGAACCGGGTTATAGGCTGCTGCGTCGTAGCCATACTTGCGGTGTTCTGGTTTCTCGTCATCGTCGGAGGACGTATCATCTGCTAACTCTGAAGCAATCGAATTCCCGGCAATAATCAGCCGGGATATCCTGCTGGCTGCTTGCCGATCCTCCTCGTCCAGCGCCTCTCCCAGCAGAAACTCAGACAGAAGCGAGAGATGCAGCGCGTCGCCGTCTGTGCCGGACATCTCTAAGCCGCTGACCAGGGCGATCTTCTTGGCCGGCTCATCAACATCCATCTTCGTGCCTTCCGCTTCGTCTCTTTCCCATCGCTTGGGTTGTCTAGGCAAGTCCGCAATACGTATGTCCAAGACCTCGAAGTCGCCATTCGCGTTCTCCGTTCCAATGACTGCGACAATGACGCCTGTGACTAGTAGATTGTTGTTCAACATCGGGCCAGTCAGACGGAGTCGGCCAGATTCGTCCTCCAGCATGACCTGCACTTCCCGGTCCTGTGACAGATATGTATGCTGCAGCTTCAGCCCGGTAAGCCACTGTTCCTTCGATATGTCCTCGAGGATGTTGGGTTTCAGCGGCAGGTCCATGTAGATTGTCCCGACTACCCAGCACAATTGACCCTGGCGGACATCAAGCACTCTGTCTACCCGTTGTGCTTTTTCTCCCGCAATTTCATAGTCCTTCCAGTCGGCTGCAGCGACGTTTTCCACCACTGGTTTGAGCTTTGCCAGGCGCAAGAAGTACATGTCTGCGAATTGCTGCAGGTAGTGTTTCGCCTGGCCGCGAGCAGTACGGTAGGAATAGAGCGGGTTGTAGCCAGACGGGACTCTGCGCCGCTCCTCGAACTTCTCGTCTTTTTGCCATGGCCGGAGGAGATTCTTCACCGATGCCATGTTTGGCGCCTGTCGCGCAGGCTAGGGTATTGTTTGGCGGATGTCAGGAGTCAAAAACCAAATGTGGACGTGCAGTAGTGAGGCGAGGAATGAATGGACATGAACGTGACCTGGATGCTGAACGGGGACGCGTTGAGCGCGTCGCAATTTACGCTGCGCTACTATTGTCTCCAAGCCCGCCGTACAGATTTACGGTCGATCATAGGAACTTCTGCGCGCCTTATGTACGAAGTCTGAAGCACGTTGCTCTTTGCCTTCCAGGTCCTCATCTGTCCCCAAAGGATGTACATGGTACTGCCATTCAGGAGTGCCTCTCCCTCGAACAGCATCCATCCTGCTTTCGTCATGGTTTGACTCCAGGCGATCGTCCAGTCAAACCATGTGTAATGATATGGCGGTGGAGAGGCTGCCGTCATCCATACGCGGCACCACCATGCCTTACTGCTAGTGAGTTCCAAAGAGCAGCGAAGTCAGCAATGTCTGGTTCTGCTTTGGCGTGAGCAGGTACCTGTATCAAGAACTCTTTTCCATTCGCCGCCATGATGTGTCTGAGGACCTGCAGCTACAAATTGTTCCGTAGCCCGAACTTTGGGATATGAGGGAGGACCTTCAAGCATCGGGAAAAAAGTATTTGAAGACACTGTCTCCCTGCTCTTTGTGCTGTATGTTCTCATCCTCGTCACACTGACTAAGGTTGTCTCCTTTTACAACTGAAACCCATCCATCCACTTGCTCAGGTACCACCACCACTACCACCACCACTACCACCACCACTACCACCACCACCAGCCCTAGAGGCACCATGTTCATGAAGGTGGTGCTCGTGTTAGTTGCGGCGTTCCTCCCGCTGCAGGAATCGACCGCCCTGCCCTTCAACGGTACTCACCCGGCGTTCCTTAACAGCACCCACCCCGCCATTCTTAATGGCACCTGGCCGGGCATCTTCAACGGCACCCGCCCCGCTGCCCTCAACGAGCGGGATGATTACAACCTCCAAGACGTCGTGATCGGCTGCAACGACGACAAATGCGCCATTAAAACGGTGCTTGTCGACGCCAACGCCCCGAAGTACTCTCACACATGCCCACGGATGGCCCTGGCGGCAAAGGCCAACTACCTCGAATTCTGCGAGGAGAAGAGGGACGGCATGTGCCTGACGCCCATCAATACTCCCAAGTGGCCTGAGATAACGGTGTGCTGCGGCGACTGGGTGTATGTCGAAGACCCGTACTACAAGGACTACCCCACTGTAAGTTGTCCCTTGTTATGCTCGAGCATTTCGGTAGTCCGAGCCAAGTGCTGACATGAGTTCAGATGCGCGATCCCGAGACGGGCGAAGAAGTACCCCTCAAGACGGGTGCAGACCTCTACGTGTGGCCTTCCCCAAACGATTACCTCAAGAATGACCAAGTGTGGGAGGACCATCCGGACTGGATGTTCCGCGAGGTGATCAAGCCCAACGCATGGGAGTTCAAGGTCGAACTGCCCGTGTGCGGCCTCTGGGTGCCGCAGTCGGAGCCGCAATTTCAGTACTTCATGCAGAACCTCCGGTCGACATATCACATCGACGAGGTGAAGGAGACGGAGGACTCCAACATGGATGCAGTCGGGCCACCAGACGACCCATAGAGGTGGTTATATTCGGATTGGCGGTAGAGACGGATGGAGGAGGCGGTATGCAGGAGGCCGGGGGTTTTGACGAGCCTGTGACTCAGGCCTCAGTAGCTGGGATCGGTGCGCCGAGTACTCAGCAGGGCGGAGTCATAGAGCCGTCGAGGATGCGGGTGCGGGTGCGGGTGAAAGTGCAAGGGTAGCGGGTGAGCGGCCATCAGACAGCAGACACGAGATCTTCTCCTCGTCCCGTCCGGTCCTGTCCTGTCCTAGACGGACGCAGAGGTGACACGGCCATGCACGCACTCGTAATGCGTAGTTTCCATCCATCCCAACAATAAGAGAGCTCCTCTCAGAGCTTTCCATTCGCCTTCCCCTTCGCTCTCAACCACATCCCCTCAGCCCTCGCATGGACATTCCCCTCCCCATCCTCGACCACACCCTCGACCCAGACCTTCCGTCCCTCAATCGCGACGATCCACGCCCGCGCCATCACCGTCCCCGGCGTGGTCACGGGCCGCTTATACTCGACGGTCAACTTGACCGTATACGTGGCCCCGTGCGCGGGCAACTCCTGCCCAATCACATTGCCCATCGTGCTGTCGAGGATCGTGGCGATGACGCCGCCGTGCAATAGATTCGGATGCGCATTCAAGCCACCCCCGAAGGTGTAGAAGCGGCGTATCTCACCCTTTTGATTGCTGGTGGTCAGAGGAGGGCGATAGGTCGACAAGATGTGCGATATCGTCGTTGGGGTGTTCCATGTCGAGGCCATCAGAGTATGTCCCTTTCCTGCGTGCGTGAGCGTGCGGGACAGGTGGACGGGTCGAAAGGTCTGGTCTGAGAGCCGTGATGCCACCCAGGGGATGGAGTTGAAGTGGTCGAGCGTTGCTTGGGGCGTGGGGGATAATACTTCTGTTTCTGCTTCTCCTGCTTCTGCTGCTGCTGCTGCTGCTTCATCTCGGCCGGACATGTTGGCCATCACAGGAGCGAAGTGTCCCGTATATACCGATGTATACTGCAGCGTGTACTGGGTATTGCGTGGGAAGAAGTAGAAGAAGAAGACACCACGCGGTAGACTGGCAGATGGATATAGTGCTGTACCGGCACTACTGGGTACAAATCAGTCAATCAGTAAGAGCCGAATGCAAATGCTGTCGGACCTCGGCTTCGGACGGAGTGTACACAGTACAGGTACATACAACCCGGCCTGATCACACGTATGGTCTTTGCAATATATATAATGTGTGTTACGTAGTAATGTACTCTATCATCTTGTGTCCCGGTCCGTCGCCTGCGCGCTTCCGTGCCCGATCGAAACTTACCAAGCCTGTCCGATGGTCGCAATGTTGAACCGTCCGTCTATCCCGCCGGTCTGCTGCCGCGCCTTGTATTCTTCGTAGGATCGCCTCGAAGAGACCTATGATCTTGATCTATCTTGGCTGTATGTGTCGTCTGGCACGCGAAGGTTACTGGGCCCTAGCTATAGAACATACAGCGGGTAGTCGTCCCTCCAGCTATAGCTTCAGATATTGAGCGTATAGGCTGCAGTGGTGTCATCGTCAGAACCTCCACCCAGAGTCTTCGATCCACCGGAGCCGTGCCCCTGCTGCCTCCATAGATGAGTCACTTCGCTTTCTGCTGTGATTTTCGTCATGGCCTAATGAAAGCACGGGTCGTATTTTGACCATTGGTCCATCTTAGGCCCATGTCCTTGTGTAGCAGAGCGTCAATTTGTTCAGATGCCTAAGACCGCCTGCCGAACGACTGAGAGTCTTGCTGGTATCCACTCCCTGAGGCGTTGACTGCCTCGAGAATCTCAAGCTCAAGTAACACCCCGTCCATCCAAGAGTATGGCTCGACGTCAGAGCGGCCGTGCATAGGGACTTTCATGAAATCTGCGGCCGCGGCTCCTTCGATACCGGGTCCTGATCGACCGCACGCCAGGGGCCGGCGTTCGTTCTTCGGCTCCTTCAGTCGGCATACTGTCAACCCCTCCGCGTTTCAATAAGACCCCGTAGCGAACCTACCGGCCCGGAGTTCTTCTTCGGTCCTTCTCCGCCACGAATCCGACACGCGCGACCAATCCACGTCGCCAAGCCGCCCGAGAGCTCGACACCCATCGCAGTCGACAAAATCGCTCAAGCTGCACGAAGCATGGCACGCCGGACAGATGTCGTGGACCTGCTTGTGCCAGCTGGCGTCGCGAAACTCCCACCCGGTCTTGGTGATCCAGAAGTTGCTCACCTCGCAGCCGGCCACGGTGTTCCAGTACTGCTCGTGCCGGGGTCGATTGGTCAGACAGTGGTTGCAGAGACGGAGCTCTGGCGGCATCCATGGCTTCAGCTGCGTCATAAGCTCCGGCACGTCAAACACAGCCCGCGGAAGAAACCCCGCGTACTTGGCCGAAGTGGGTGAGAGGCAGAGTTGGACGTCTCGCGCCGCTCGTGCCATGCGTTTGCACGTCAACGCCAGTGCCACTTGGGACGGCGCGTGGGCCACGCTGTCGTAGACTGCCAGCAGGATCTCGTATGGCATTTGCAGGAGAATTGGTTCAGAGTCGTGGTCCTGCGTCACTGCATTGTCGAGTATCTGCCGAAGTTAGACCACAATCTGGCAGGAATAAGTGTCACCCAATGGTACCTCGTCGGGAAGGATGAACCGGCATGAGAGCTTCCGCTTAAAGTCGTCGCTCTTGGCTCGGCAGGTAAGTGGCCTTCGAGGCGGCGGTGATGACTCTGCTATGTCTTTCAATCCAATACGCGTAGGGAACCCGGTCCAGAGAGCCATGATAGTATTTGCGGGATTGACGTAGCTAAGGAGGTGCTTGGTGATATTGGAGCCGGGGCGTCACAATGGTTCTTGCGCCTTGTGCTTAATTATCTCCACAGGCTGCCGGAAGCAAGGGCTTCCGAGGCCAGCCAGAAGCATTCAACGAGATCTATTCAGCATGAATGAGGCAGAGAGTCAATAGAACAATGGGCGCGATAAGCAGCTGGATGCTGTCACCGACTTCCCCCGGGCCGGTGCGAATGTAACTAAGCCAATTCTGGCATCACCGGCATCACCAGCACCAGCGGGCATCAGCCTTCCACATTAGAAGCGAAGCACCCTTGTATTCTATCTACCCCATTGACAGGTACAAGTGGGAGTCTGTTCAGATGGTGATGACGATCTTGCCGTCCGTTTTGCCTTCCCAGATATCGCGCAGCCCTTCGCCTGCCCGCTCCAAAGGCAGGACCTTGCCGATGTACGGCTTGATTCCCTTGGCAGATACAAAGTTCAAGAGGTCGACAAATTCTTCCCTTGTCCCTGTATAGACTCCAGTCAGGGAGATTTGGTTCACAAAGAGGTGCATCAGGTCGATTGCGACATCTGTGGAGCCGCCTTCCGAATGGATTCCGCACGACACCACTGTGCCACCTGGCTTCACGGATGCCAGCGAATGAGAAAGCGTTGCCGCTCCTGACGTGTCGAAGACGGCATCGACGAGATTTGGCAGTCTCGCAAGAGGTTCAAACGTCCGCTCGGCGCCGAGCGATTGTGCAAGAGCACGTTTGGCTTCCGTGCGGCCTGTCGTCCACACGCGATAGCCTGCCGCAGAGCCCATCTGGATGAGTGCCGTTGTTACGCCTGTATAGCACATTAGCTCGAGGCTTCTGACACATATCACACTAGTAGCGTCGAGGGTGGACTCACCACCAGACGACCCTTGCACCAAGACAGTCTGCCCGGCCCGCAAATGGGCCCTATTGAACAGCATCCGATAGGCCGTCAGCCAGGCAATTCCCATCACACTAGCTGAATCGGCGTCTAGGTTGTTCGGTCTGGGAACGGCGTTCCGTTTCGGTATGACAGCATACTCGGCCAGATTTCCCTGCACAAGCTCTCCGAATACGTGTCGATGCGGGTCGATGGTCTCGTCGCCTTTGAAGTCCGGGTCGGTACTCAGATTGGGGAAGATTGCAATTTCAGTGCCATCGTCGAGTACACCGGCACCTTCGTTGCCGAGAATCATTGGAAAGCGAATCTCGTGCATGCCAACACCCCGTAATGTGAAGATGTCATGGAAGTTTAGTCCTACCGCTTGCATTCTGACTCGGACATATCCCTCCGTCACTTCTGGGACGTTCCTGCGGTCAACGCGGATCGACGACAACGGATCGGTTGGATTGCCGACTGACGCATATACAGCACGCATGGCTGGTCTCTTAGGGTTCAAGTCACCCATCTCGAGATGCTGAATCTTGTCGTTGTCAAATTTTGCGGCGAGGAACAGTTCAAATGGATCGTGGATGCCGAAATCCTTGCCGAAATCTCCGTCAATGGTAACGTGGGCGTAGGCTCGGCCGTCACCTGGATGCTCCTGTTCGAGAACGCTGACTTCCGCGTGATGGCCAATGATTTCATGTTCGCATAGGTCCCGGATTGCATCCCCCCTGAAGCTCTTTCCATTGTCGATGACCTCGGCGTTTGAAGCAAAGGCACTCAACATGAGCTCAAGGTTGGCTGTATTTATACCTTGCAGAAAGCGATCGATTGGCGTATGAGCTGGAGCCATGGCGAGATATCCTATGTTGCGGGTCCTGTGGCAACCGCCCTTGTTTGAAGGAGCAGCGTGTTATTATAGCAGTATCAAGAGCCGCCATCACGTTACCCTTTCTGGTTAAGTCCTAAGGCGGACAGCTGCACGCCAATGGGGATGGTGGTTTGCGACCGACGTCGACAGGAATGGATTATATAAGCCCTTCACCCGTGTCTCTCTGTCTTTTGCTTGGTGTCGTGGCACACGTCTTTTGGCTGAGTCCACGTGACCATCAGCCATGCTGTCCAGGCCTTCGATAAGCCGCTCCGGACGAACAGTGTCTGAGGACAAATTACCGTCGAGTCGGTGGATATCCAGCGGAGTGCGTCTCAATCATGAGAGCCCCTAGCACTGCAGCTGGTAAATCGTTTGTCATATCTGCTCTCTTGGAGCAGATGGGTGATTTGCATCATTCAGCCAAATCGGTGTGGAAAGTCGAACTGATGCTGCAGATTGTCGGTCTCCAGCCACGAAAGCAACTCATTGTAGGCACGGCGGTCATACGTAGTTGATGCATTCAATCGTGTGGCGTCTATGTCGCCATGTGTGGACCCTGGGCTGACTTGCGAGTGGCGATACGACTCTGCGTAGCTTGTTGAGCTGGCCCCGTTGCTCGAAGACAGGACAATGGCGGAATGAGATGGCAGACCTTGTCCATTAGCTCGAAGATCTCCTCCCCTGGAAGCTGTCTTTGACAAGTCGACACTGCCTAATCTGTTCATGAGCGATCCGAAATCTGCAAGCACCTGTGCGCAATCTTTGGCATAGGCCCTGTTGCTGCCCTCGTCCACACCAAGCACAGAAATAACAAAGCTGATTGCATCATAGTCACCTTGAGCGTCGTTATCGGCTAGGAGTCGATACAATTGCAATGCGAGAGCGGCATTGAACAGATAGTGGACGCTCGAAACAGACAGTCTTGCAGGTCGTTGCAAACTCAGTAGCGTATTCCAGAGATGCACGTTGCGTCTGGCAGCATCGGCGCAGAGATCGAGCTCGGACTTGTTTGATATCTGATGACCAGTTGTTCGGGCATTGAGAAGCATTTCCGCAGTGACCGTCTTGACGTTGATGAAGAGCAAAGGACGCACTGCGAGGACAATGAGCTGATTCTTCGCCATGTGCAGCTCAACTACAGCCTGGTCGCTATTGAAGTTTTCGTCCCTGCCTTGCACCGGTGTCGGAAGAGTGTCAGACCAAGACGTCAACAAGCTCAGAGACTTCTGAATGCACAGAGTACTCATGAGAGGCTCCTCGCGTGCAACGTCATAGACATTGGAGACAATATAGTTTGAAATCCTGGCAAGCTCGACGTGTGCGCGGAGACCGGCCGCTGGTGGTAAATTGGCGGTTTCTCGAGGCAGATCCAACTTGATCGCCTCATCTGGGACGAGTGCCGGTCTTCCCATCAGACAACTCAGCCATCGGTCAAGCACATAAACGGTCCAGAACAGCCGTTTGCCACGTTCATCAACCATCCACGCGCGGTGGACTCCATGGACGATGAGGATATGCATGGACACACTGATGTAGATATATGCGGCATCTCGACGGTTGCTATTCAGCAGGTAAAACCCCAGAAGGGCTAGCACAGTGGCATCGTTGATCATCGAGGCATCAAGAGGGTTCCCAACCAGGTGTCTGGCTCTAGCAAAGAAGGTCTGTCCGAAGCCGGGTTCCCAGTCAGGCGCACAATTTGAATTCAACTGGCAGGCAACGGCGAACATGGCGTTGGCAGCCACGACATTTTGGTTCACTTCGAGTGTCCTAACCCCGTCCACATAAGCTAGGTAGTCTTTCAGGACAGCTTCGCTATCCCCCCAGTAGTAGATGCCACCAGACCCGGCTGCGCCTCGACCGTCCTGAGCCGATTCTCGAAACTCCGCAAGCATCGCCGCAGCTTGCTCTCTAGTGGCTAGGATGAGAGGGTCCACAGCTGAGGTCAAGAGTGGGCGACTGTCGTGGGTCTGGTACCGGCCGAGCGCGGATATGAAAGCTGTTGTATCCGGGTTCGCCGACCCCGGCCAAGCTGCCTCAAAAGCCAGCGGAAACACGGTTGCCATGTATTCTCGTAAATGGTTCAGAAAAGTGGCACCGGAAGATTCACCTAGATAGCGTATGGTGCCGTCCGGGTCCGTCAATATTCGCCCTTCTCGAAGGTGCTGACTCTCTGCGGTAAGGTCATGGTCGAGATTCGGTGGAGGATGTTCTGAAGCGGCGGTCTTGGCTTGAGCATATTGGAGCAGTTTCTCCCTTTCCCTCTCAGACGGGATTACTTCTGCGAGTGCTTGCTCGAGAAGAGCGCACCTGGCCCGGAGCTCATCGTGTTCCCTTCGTGGGATGGACACTGTCTGCTCGGCCTGAGGATAGACACAATCTCGCGCTGATTTGCGACATCGTTCACATGGATGGCCCCCGGAGCATTTTGCTCGCCTGACGTTGCAACTATTGCACCTTTGAACAGAGATTACGTGTAAGTCTAATACAACTGCAAAAGCTTTGGGCGGAGCTCCCTTACGCTTGAGCAACCCGCTTCCTCAACTCTGGGGCAATCTTGTTCCGACGAGGGTTGACAGGCAGACGCTCCATTCGCGTTCGACATAGCGGTAACGAGGAAGAGGGATAGTCAAGCAAATGTCTGCGGCCCTCGACATGAATGCGCATCCGTCTAATTACAACTGACCAGAGGTCTAGAACTTGGGCTTGGCGCTCAGGAAGTTGAGGTTGTAGTCTCGGGACACTTTCCTTCCGCGGCGGATACAGCCACTCCATTCACTTCACTTTCCTTTCACTTTCCTTTCACCTTCCTTTTACTGATGCTTCGACCATCTTTGATCGCAATGTCATCGATCATCACTCCGCATGTGTGGGCCTCAAGAGAGTCTCTCAGAGATACCGCTCTCGATTGCCCTTTTCAAGCAGCCCGCTTCCAATCATCGACCCTGGCCAGCTGAACCATGCTTTACTGGTTACTTCGCCGGAATGCCCGTCAACTGCTTCTGAAAACATGCCATCCCAGAGCATCACGCCACATATTTTGTCCCATGCGATAGCTTCAGCTTGGCGGTCTCCGCTCATCTGAGAATACCTCCACTGTTGGAAATATCCCAATGTCCAGGGGTTGCGCGTGTGTACACTACCTAACCCTTCAAATGCTCCCCCAGCATAGTAGCCATCTTCATTGGCCGTCGAGAAGGCAAAGTGCATAGTGTTGTGCCACGCTTGATTCTCGGAGTCTGTCTTGGTGAATCCCCAAGAAGGAGCGAAGAGGGTGGGGAGGTCGTTAGCATCGTGGTAAAATGTCTGCTGACCGGCGCCATCAACCAGATACGAGAAGGTTGGCTTTCCTGATGCTGGCTCTGGACAGAGGAAGTGATCGAGCGTCGATGTACGCACAGCCATAGCCAGAGTCGCCAGGCGTGCTTCAAAGGCAGACTCTGCCATGAACTGTGCAGCAACCTTGGCGAGCCTTGATAGCGAATGCCACAGCAAAACGTGACTTGAGAAGTGGAAGGGATGTTCCACTGCGTCGTCACCCGGCGTCTCATCCGTTGGGAACAAACCAGTTCGCGCATCCCGTTTTGTCTCGATCAAGTCCAAGACCTGTGACACGGCGTCTGATCGCAAAATCTCTTCAACAAGCTCGCGCTCCTCTGGAAACGTTTCGCACACGTCACATAATTCGAGGAGCGGATAACATTGTTGGTCAAGCTGGAATACCGGCCCATCTTTGGGCCGGCCAGTCGTGAGGTACGACCTGTGCCAGAACTTGTGCGGCCTCTGCGCATACCGGAAAATCCAGATCAAATGACCTTTCACTGTCGCCTTAATCACCTGGGCGTATTCTTCTGCGTTGCTTGGACAAGTCAAGTTCTTGAGGTTGAGGTAGGTGTCGATCAGGAACCGGACCTGCCAACTACTACTGGTTAGCTACGACCGGCCACGGATCATGATACATACTAATTGTCTCGCATCCACCCTAGGGGCAAAGCAACATGATCTGTCAAGAGGCACACCGCTTGCCTGGACTGTGGCACAGGAATTGCGCAGTTTCCAAGGATATACTCTAGGTTTCTGCGGACGATGAACCTTCCGGCTTCTTCCCGCGTCTTCCAGAGCTTCGGCAAACCGACTCGCTGCGGGCACTCTGTGTCCCGGTGTGCATGAGGGACAACTCCTGGTTGCAAGATAAACTTGGCTGATAGGACACGGGTCCCTTGAGGCGGAATTTCTAGAAAGCCAGTATATTTCTTGACGACCGGAGAGTTGACAAAGGTCTCCTCTTGGCTGGTGTGTTGTGTATCGACTAATTGGCCATCGCCGTCAAGCCATCCCCTCAGATGTGCACCTAATGGTGTGTTGGTGATGACGAAGCCCTGCCTGTCTCTGATGATGTTGAATTTGTTCTCCGATCTTGGAATTGGAATCGGTCCACCCTCGGTGAGTTGTCCATATGACGCTCTGTTGACACTGATACCGCAGTCCATGATGAAGCTGACTCTGCACGCTGAGTCGGCCAATGACCTGATCTCCGCGGATTGAACGACCTCTCCGTCCTCGCCGACCCGCAGAAATACCGTGATTGCAAGACCTCCATCCGTGCGGTAGGATACTGTCGCCCGACCCAGACCGTCAAGACCCACCTGGAGATCCTGGACCTCGCCTTCGAATCGCAGGCCAAACCCAGGAACACCATTCTTCATTGACCTTAGCATTCGAGAGCGATATTCACGTACGTATGGAGTATCTCGAAATTTGGTACCATCAAATTGTTCGTATGGCTCTGCAAGGACAATGCCGTGCTTAGGGTGGAAAGCACTGATTTGCAGTATCTGGAGCTTTTGTCAGCTTCATCGCCGTTAGACATGTCTAGGAACCTGTTACCGTCCCTCGGAGATCAGTCGACACTGAGACACCGTTGAACCCTATATCGAGAGTCTTCAGGCGGTTCTCATAAGCATCCTTTTTTGGTACCGTCATCGTGAGTCCGTGCTGGGAGCCAAGCAAGTCTTTGTCAACAACTCGAGGCTGCCTTCACTCTGCCACGGGCATGGATTGGTACTTTAGAGAAAAGAGTACACACAGGCTAAAGTACCCTGAACCTCGCCCCAATAGGGTATATCGGCGTCCGCCCGTGCAGATCTTCAGGGTACCCTAGCCGGACATATGAGAACGGTTCTAACTGGTCTCGGTCCGCCAAGGTATCTTCGCCGGGCGACACCCCGCACAGAAGCTTTCTCTCCGGCCTCGAAGCAAGATCCTGGGGAGATGCGTCTCATTCACTGCTCTCAAAGATGGCTCTGACTTGTTTTGCCTGCTCTATACCCCAATAATCTCCACTCTGGATGTCGCTACCGAAAGATCGGTCAATGCAACGGTTACTGTACCCGCGACCAGGAATTTGGCCGTTACGGCAACAATGATGATATAAAATGAGGAGCACTTGCTCCAGACGAAAACGGACATTTGATCGCGTTCACCCTCATCTTCTCGACCTAAACTCTGCGAGGGGATTCCATCCCCAGCACACGAAACGATGGCAGAGAAACACGAACTAGACCACCTGGAAACAAGCATTCCTACAATTGACACAGACCCGCGCAGAAAGGACAATCTCCCAGCCGGACATGTTCCAGCGACCCAGGAGGAGAAGGCCTTGAGTCGGGCTTTGAATCGGAAGCTTGATATATGCCTCCTGCCCTTCTTATCCTTGCTGTACCTCTTCAATGGGTTGGATCGGGTGAGTCCTCAAGATTGGTACAGTTCTTGGGTGCTAAGACAGAGCAGGGTAACGTGGGAAATGCCGAAACACAGGGTAAGTCAAGTTGGTCAAGCCACGTTTACCCGTCATTTATGCCCATCGCACGCGGCTGATGATCACTTCGGTCTAGGCTTCACGACGGACATTGGAGCCCATCCTGACGACCTGAACCTGGCCGTCAGCCTGTTCTTCATCACGTTTGTGCTGTTTCAACCTCCCTCGGCGGCAGTGGGCCGATGGATCGGCGCCAAGTATTGGGTCCCTATCATCATGTTCTGCTGGGGGATTCTCACGATCTGTCAAGCATGGGTCAAGGGCCGAGGTCAGCAAACGCAGCCCGTTGGAGAAACATCGCTATTGACTCTTCGCCAGGTGCACTCATTGCTACACGACTGCTGATCGGGCTCTTTGAGGCCGGCTTTTACCCTTGCTGTAGGTTTGCTCGCCCTAGCTCGCCCGTTGGGGGTGTACACGGATGACAGCAGGCTTACCGTACGCGCTCGTGCCGTGCCTTGTATTAGGTGTCTTCTACCTTTCAACCTTCTACACGCGATTCGACCTCGCTGTGCGCATCGGCCTCTTCTACGGCCAATACGCCGTTGCGGGAGCCTTTTCCGGTTGCATAGGTAAGTACATGGATGCCTTTTAACTCTGAACCAATCACTAACACTCCTGGAGCCTACGGTGTCTTCCACATCCAAACCGGTAACCTCAAGAATTGGCAATACCTCTTCATCATCGAGGGCGTTGCTACATGCGTGATTGCCCTGGTTGCATGGTTCTGGATGCCTCTCGGCCCAGGCAGCGCATGGTTCTTGAGCAAAAAGAACCGCGCGTATGCGGCAGAGCGCATGCGACTAGATAACGCCATGTACGCCCAACATACCTACGGCGACAGCGGCCTCGAAAATGAGCGATTGAATAAAAGGGATGTAGTCGAGACGGCAAAGGACTGGAAGTTGTGGTACGTCCTGTTCTTCAACATCCTGGCCAGTGTGCCGGGCCAGGCTTTCTCGGTGTTTCTCCCTCTTGTGGTGGCTGGAATGGGGTATTCCTCGATCGAGGCCAATCTGGTACGTCTGCTAAACAAGCTCGAATGGCGCCGTTCGACTTGGCTTAACTGATTTTTCTCAGATGTCGGTGCCGCCGTACGTCTGCGGGGCAGTCGGACTGTACCTTTTCGCTGTCAGCTCTGATAGAAGGTGAGCAATAACCAGAACCACGAGTATTGCTTTGAGCAGGAGGTGCACGATCGAACACAGCAAGACACGACCCAGTCTCCTGCTGGCCTATCCGATGACCACACAACACATACAACACCTATTTGCTGACCTCTGCGCAATAGGAAGGAGCGAGGCTACCACATTTTCTTTGGCCTCTTAATCACGCTCATCGGCCTCATCATCACGGTAACGGCCCAAACCCACGGAGCCAAATACGCCGGTCTTTGCATCCTGCTGTTCGGCAGCTACGTCTCCGCACCCCTGACGGTGGCCTGGCTGAGCGGGAACACCCCCGAGCCCGGCAAGAGAGCCCTTGTGCTCGGCGTCAACGGGTTCGGCAACCTCTCCGGCGTCATTGGCTCGCAGCTGTTTCGCAAGTCATACGCGCCCGATTACCTGATGTGAGTTTGTCCATTTGCGAATAATATCCATGCTGGGTGGGCATAGACAGGATCTGCCTGTCTATCCGTCTGTACCTTCTGTCTGTCTGTCTCTGCGTGTAGTCTCTATGTGTATGGAACCGGCGTGCTGACTGTGTTCCTTTCCCGTCCGATCCGATAGACCATTCTACGTCACGTTGGCGTTCATTGCGATCGCGCTGGCTGGGTACCTGGCCTACCGCTTCACCCTGGCGGCCGTGAACAAGAGACGGAAAGCCAAGCTCGCGAGGATGACGCTGGAGGAGATTGAGGACGAAAAGACCAATCCGACGAGGTACGCGGATAAGAAATATACCTTTATATATGGATTGTAATAATGTTACTGTGTACGCGACGCCTTGAACCTTGGGTCTACGTGCTGGTGCATACGTGCTGGTGCATGTCCAAACTGACTCGTCACCCTAACTTGTGCGTGCTACGAGTCGGGCCTGAGTGTGACTGTTAACTATCCGCGCGACCACCCAATGTATACCACGCTCATGCCACGCTCATATGATTATTGCCCAGCCTCAACAACGACAGATCGCGCAGATGGGCTATCGTCAGTACACAGCAATCGCAATTAACGCGTTTACGCCAGGGGGGAGTGCGGAGAGGGAATGAATCCGCAAAAAACCAAAGCTAATGAATGAGTTAACATTATATCGATAATTCCGTCCAAGACCCATTCCCACGATGATGCGAGATGCGAGGAGCCCTAGCCTCAATACTGTACATTTCACTGAGAAGCGAGACGTCGCAGAGGCACACGTTTTAGTGTGTATCCGACCCGCCGGGCTGCCCGCGGGTTGTGTATATTATCACGACGCCTCTGAGAAGCTCAGTTTCGCGGTGTGATGTGGTGTCAACCAATCTAGACAGTCATCCACGTCGACCGCCAATTCTACAAAAAGGAGGAGCCGTCGATGCGGAGAGGACCACCAACAGGACTCCAACACCTTCCTTCGTGGTGGCGAATACTGATGTGTGTGAGAGAGGCAGAGTGGCAGAGTGGGCGCCGCAGTGTTGGGGACAACCTACCAGGGTATATATCCCCTTTGGAAAGCTCCGAAGAGGTCGAAGATACAGGCTGTCAAGAGCTGGAAGCTGATCTCCAGACTTCTGTCGAGGGCACGGTACAGACGATGAAGTGATGATCGCTATGATCGCTTTGGCCGCGGAGGGTGAAGGGAACATTGCAATTTGCAAATCGCCACGCTTGCTAATTTCAGAGTGTATCTGTGCCAGAAAGCCAAAGTCACCACGACTACTACGGTGTCAAATGATCGAAATGGTCGGCCTTATCTCATGCAAAGTTCTTCTCAACTTTCTTGATCCACTTGCCAATGCCCTTCTCGATCTTCTCCGTGTGCGTGGGCTTGTGCTGCGAACCTGAACTCTTCGAAGGTCTGCTGTGGTGGTGGGTCTGATGTTCCGTTTCAGTGGGTCGGTAGACCTGGTTGTGTACATCGTAGCCACCTGTAGCAGGCTGGGGTGGTTGTGCTTGGCCATAGTTGTACGTAGAGTATCCCCCCAGCGGAGGCGCGGCTGGAGCTGGGGGTTGCCCGGCGGCCAGATAGTCCGGATACTGTGGTTGTACATGTTGCAGTGGTTTATGCGGTTGGTCATTGATTGATTGGTAGAATTGTGTGCCAGGGGTCTGCACTGGCGGCTGTCCAAAGATGTGAGAGTTCGGATCCTGCCCGTGGGGTACATATGTCTGGGCAGCTATTGACGGATGGCGGCTACCGTCGGAGCCTGCACTTGTTGGGGGTGGTGCGAAGTTTGTAGACACAGATGTTGGGGGAGAAGTCTGCAGTGACGTCGACGAGGCTTGAGTGCCAAAGGACGGTGGCACAGTCGCTGCAGCCTGAGGTCCGAAGGACGGCGCGGGTGATGTGGTCGCATGAGGCCCAAATGAGGGCGGCGGCGGCGGTGGCGGAGAGCCATAATGCGCATACGCGCCAGGAACCCCCGATGGCGGACCCCCGAACGCTTGTGGGTGCGGCGGAGGGGCGTATGGGTTGTCATGCTTGGCGGCCGCAGTCAGGCCTGTCCCGTCGGCGGCGTCGACTGGAGGGGGGGTGTCCTCTCTATGTGCAATCGGTTCTGGTGCCGCGGGCGCTGCTGGATTATAAGCTAAAGGCGTATAGTCTGTCACTGGTGCTTGTTTGGCGGATGATCTCCCTCCCGCACTCGCAGCGGCTGAAGCAGGCGAGATTGACGTTGCTTGACCGGGAGCGGACGATCGGCTAGTCACGGCAGCTGGGGATGGTGACTGGACGGGCTTATGAGGTCCCGAGGCGTGATCATACTGCCAATCTTTGTATGCCGGATCGGATATAGCCACATTCTCCAGGTTTTGAACCACCGGGCTCACCATGTCATGGTGGGGCAGCTCTTCTTGGACCTCCTCAATGTCCAGCTGATTGGGATGGAGCAGTCTCTTGAAGATGTCCAGGACCAATTTCGAGTCGTCATTGTTCCAGAAATAGATGTCGACGGTGTGTATTTTGTATTTCGAGGTGCCCGGATCTCGTGGATCTGAACTGGCAAGACGCCATTCGTCCGGATCTCTCGCTGTACGGGGAGAAGTGGGTGAAGTGTTCGAGGTGGTGTCGCCATCGACGAGCAGCGTCACTCTGGTCGGGAATTTGTGGGAGTGTATCACCTTGACGTTGTCTAGAAAGCCGTTGAAGGCGGTCTGGTCAGGTGTTCCCGCATAGATCGCGGCTTCGACACGACTGGTCTGCCTGGTGGAGTTGTAGTAGACATAGAAGTAGGACGCTTTATCGAAGCGATGGAGAGCAGGCCGAGGGCTGGGAGCTGTGAAGTAAGAATGTAGATCGGCGTACCTGGCAGCACAGTGTCAGAGTTAGACTGCGGTCGCATGTAACAGACACAGACAAGGTTGCGCCTTACACTGTAGCCAGTGTTTCTTCACCTGGGAAAGGCGGCATGCTGACGATCGAGTCGGAGGAGCGACGCTTCGAGTTTGGCCGCTACCAAGACAGGCTCTTTCTCCTAGACAGCGCTATAGTAGCATTTCGACGAGCATTTTTGTCAGGTAGGACAAGATGCTTTTCCTGCACCACGTGTGATGAGTTGCTTGACACGTCAATTGCGGGTGGGCGGCTGTTGAAGGCCATCGCTCAAGGCTGATGTGGCTGATACCTGGATTGTGGCTGAGCACGTGTCAACCTTCAGCCACCGCATGACGTTGGTGGGGCTCACACGCTGTACTGTGTACGCAGTGCAGGCGTCAGATATCACACTACTCGTGCTCTATCCCTGGATTATCCGCAGTACTATGTAGTGGAATATCAGGTGCGCATGGCTATAACCACAGACACCCAGCCATCGGCGTAACAACCCCATCTGACGAGCTCCTCTAATGCTGCACTCATTGGTACTGGTGCACCATGCAGAAGTGGTGTTGCAAGAATGGGAGTCCTCCTAGACGGAAACAAGCTAGGTGCCAACTGGTGCAGTGCCGTCCCCAGTGTTTGGGACTGTCCCGCAGTACCGCCTCGCAAGGTCGCAGGCGTGGCGCCCTGATTTGCACCTGCAATCGTGGGGGAAACGTGTGACTGGAGGACTTTGATCTGAGCTTTGCTTGGGTCCTGATCTGGCGCAGACGGGAGGTAGAGTCGCAGGGGAATATGTCGCATCTGCCCTGGTGGTGGGACCAGGGAGCTGTGAATCTTGGAGAACGTTGGTAGGTCGTTTTCTTGAGTCGACGTCCACAGAGCCTTGCTCTCTTGGGCGGAGAGAGTCATGATGGGTTTTGCAGTGCCAGATCGCAAAAAATCAGCCTCCTTGACCGAGTTGATAAAAGAGTCATGTAACACCACAGGGGTTGCCTCCGGAAGCATTGGCTTTTCATCGTCCGGGGTGAAATGCACAGTCAGCTTGAAAGGCAGAGGCGCCGGGGTCAAGTGGTCATGTCGGGCGTCCTGGGTGGACGCGACGTAGACATCGTAGAGAAGGCCCAAAGGCAGATGCCATTTTAAGGGTACATCGTCATAGGTGAAGAAGCCAGCGTAAGGTGAGATTGAGTCGGGTTCGGCGATAAGGGAACTCGAGAAGAAGGCGTGCAGCCGTGGAAGGAGCAGGGGTAGGTACGACAGGCGTGGAAGAGAAATCTAGCAGACGTAAATCAGTCCGCCGCGTACTTGACCTCTGGTCGTGGTTTGACGGGCTTTCGACAAACCTGGAGCACCGGATCACTTTCTTACCAGATAGGGATCTGCTCCATCAAAGGTGCGGCACTCTGAAGCGGCTAGTCTTATCTGCAGAGGCAGTCGGGCTTTCCACACGGCTCGTTGAAGGGACTGCAAAGCATCATCAGCCATTGCTGGTGCTTTGCTCGCTGTTTATCCCAAGGCGTGATGGTAGCGCGGCACACAGGTTTCGGGTGATGTCGCCAGCCTTGCCGTCGATGCAAACAATCGGAATATTGAACGTGGTGGAATGGCACCGGAAAGTCTCGTCCATCCGCAGCCTTCGCCTTTCCTGGAGCGGACCGTTACCCTCGTACAGGATGTGGGTTGAAACAAGCGGGGAAGATGAACCGGCAAGTTTGTGCGACTGGCATCGGGCCTTACGAAGGGGGCCCACCTCAGGTTGCTCGTGAGCCAGGAATCAGGACGCTATACTGGTACTAGGCCGCCAACTGAGGTGTTGCTGACAGGTCAATTCAGGCTGCGACAACGGAAGGCAGAAGTTCTCGGCCTCGGCGCCGCATATGTTCGTTCCGAGTTCAATGGGGATCTCCCGCGACAAATTGCTATTCCTGATTGTGTGTTGTTCAGTGCTGTAAGCCTGGAATCGGAGTCTCCCAATTTTGGATGTCGGCCTTATCACCGCATACCGGCGGGTTCACAGTTGACTTACAGGGCCACAGGGCTTGTGCTGTACAAAGTACAGTCAGGGACCAGTTCTTACTGTGCACTAACGACGGTAGTGCGTTCGCTTCTCATGCTACAACCGTGTTAGTGACAACGCAACACAGCGCTAACTCGCAGATGAGGGACAAGCGAGTGTGACGTCACGATACTGTTGTCACACTCGTCACCCAAGAGAAGAAAATAGAGAACACACGTGCCGCTCCAACATCGCGGTTGACCTCTCGGTCGCACAAGGGGCAGTCCTCGGATTCAGGGGTCGCCTGTGCTGCCAGCATTGCACAGCCAGATTCTGACCAAGTGCAGACGTCCAGCAGAACAAAGTTCAGCAGGAAGGTGCTTCGAAGAGCGGACACAGTCAGATCGCACTCTCCCAACTCGTACTTTGCGCAAAGTCACTTGTCAGGGATGTTATGCCACGCTGATGCAAAGTGCATGATTCGCAGTGCTGTGGTGTTCCGTGCTCCCCGCATGAGTACTGTGTAGGAACCATCAGAACTGCAACCGCTACTGGAGAGCCGGTCGCCAGACACTATCCTACATGTACTCCATGAAGATTCAGGGCCGCGTTGAACTTCCTTCCTAGTCAAAGCGGCAAACATGCTTCGTATACGCTCGGCGCGTCGACGAAGAAATTCGAACGTGTCAAGTCTCTGCCTGTTGGCGCCCCTGTCAGGGTACTGATGGCGGCCGGATAGTACTATGGTATGTCCCGGATGGGAGTAGTGGTGTGTCCTGGAGCAGGAGGAGTGGTCGGCTCGATTGCCCAGGGATGTGGCTTGCAAGAAATTGCGGGGCGAAAGGACCCAACTGCACCTCTCTCTGCGCTGGTTTCAGGGACGTCCGGCTTCCGCGCAGCGAGGTGAACATCTGCTTGGTCGTGTGTTGGCAACGGGGTGCAGCAGACAGACGACAGGAGGACAGATTCATTCGGGCTTCACGTCAATAATGTGGCACCTGTTTCCTTTTTCCTCGCTCCCCGTCCCCAGTTCCGTCCTCTGGTGCCCATCCTTGCTCAGCGACCATACGTCTTTCGTTTCGGTGGCGTCCTCGGCGGGAATGAACTGCATCTGAGACTTAGCTCGTGAATGATCGTGGGGAAGTCTTCCAGCTCGAAGGAGTTTGGATCCATCTCCATAACCAAGAATCTCGGTTGCCAGGCAGGAATAATGCGCACATGCCCACGTTTCCTTGCCATGGGCCATGGAAGGGCTCTCCTGGTTCCCCGTACCAATGATGATCGCGTCTCGAAAGGAGTTTGGCTAAACAAGGCCCGCGCCTTCATTCGCCTCAAGGAAAGTCACTGCTCACGGCACGAGTAATTTGTCTCTGAAACTGGAACAGCGATGCCGCACCTGAGGCCGGCCCGTCTTCGATCATGCAACCTTTACTGTGTACTAGGTACTGGGCTAGGTGTTTCCGTCCGGCACTTGCCGTGCCTGGTCGGCTGAGTCTGGGTGATCTGCCAGAAGACTGTCAGACAATCCTTACGAGTTAGTAGCCCTCTAGTGGGAACCTCGCTGTTTTGACATTTCCGGCTGCTAGCTCGAGGTGCCCGAGCATTTGTCTCGCGAGCGCTGTGCATTCGTACCAATCACCGATCCCTCGCACCCCTTCACCTGCTCTGTGTCCCAGTGTCCAGCCTGCAGAAATTAGGCTCTCACATAGAGTTCACATGGCTACCACCGGCCAAAGTGTCGTAGAAACTCTGTCGTGCTTGTTGCTTCAAGTCACCAAGAGTCACAGAAGACTGGAGTATCAATTACGTTACTCCGTATTTACTTCAATGCTGAGAGGCTCCTCTTGCGGGAATCTTGCCTCTATTGTGTTAGAAGCATGAGGCTGGCAGGCCAAGTGGGGAGGAGCGGCGACAGAAAGAAAAAAAGGTCGTGTGTGGTGCACCGGGGATGCTGGCCTTAGGGAGCAAGGTCCCTAACGCTGAAGCTCTGAGGCCTCGGGGCCTAAGGAGGAGGCCCCCCGAGCCTGATGATTGCCAACTGAAAAAATGTTGATGGGGGCAACCGGTAACCCTTGCAGGCGCTTGAACCCCCTTCCGCGGTGGTGGGTTCCTTCCTTGCATCAGCCCCCCAAGCCAGACCAACTTGGGCGACAAAGCGGCAGCTCAAAGTCGCCGCTAGACTATCTCGAGCTTAGTCTGCCTGCGCATCTTTGTTTTCTCCACGATCGTCCAGAGGAACGGCGCTCTTCGCAAATGTGTCGCGAGACTGTCACCAACTCCTTCTGGCCTGGTCGAGAGCCTGTCTTCCAATCGTACCGCTGACGTCCAGGAAGCCCCATCCACTGCTCCGGGCCGTACAGCACCATCTGGCACCGAACCCCACTGCAATCCACCAAAAGCCGCCCCGGCACGCATGGTCGTGGACTCCCTAGTCGATGGTCATGGGGGTCATCCCAAAATACCCATGAACGAGACCCATCCAAGCGTACCCGTCCAGCTGCTTGATCTCCATACCCAGCACTGCAGCTCGCCCTTTTCTGAATCAGAAGCCAAAGAGAAATCTAACTTGCCATGTGGTGAGCCCGCTGTGCCCGCTGTCAAAAGCTGGGCGCGAGCTCCGCCATCAACCCAACATTCCGCAACTTCCTCATTGCTTGCCTGGAGGGAGTTGTCACTTCGGGCCACTGTCTCGTTCTCAGTAATCCGACGCTGATTTTCGCCTATGTGCCTGTCAGACAAGGGGAGCCCAGTCCGATAGTACCTCGATTTCCACATCTTATCCTCAGATATCGCCACCTGCATCTTGTGATGATCCAGAACATTACCAGCTTCAGTGCGCATCACCTCTGAAGACCGTTCAGCTTGCATCCTCCAATCCTCACTCACCATCGAACGCGCCGACCTTCCTGCAGTCCTGGAGTCTGCGCTGCCTTCCATACGCCACCAATGTTCATTGGTGGCTTCGACTCCTGTATATGTTTCCCGTGCCTCTCCCCAACCTAGGATCTACTCAGCGGCCGTCAATTTAAACCCGTGCCTGCGAACGGCGCCTCTCACAGCTACTCATTCTGAGCGAGTTTCACTCCTGGACTGACTGAACGGGGGACAAAGCTGTTGTCCGTTCTGCCCAGCCCTGTCAGCATCCATTGGTTCCACCCAGCTCGACATCGGATTCTGATCCGCCCGAGCCATCCGTCACTTGTCACTTCCCGCTCCACGACCGAACGAGCCTCGTTCAGATCATTCTTGAATACTCCGTATTTGGGTCTGGAATTCGACTGTAACGAGGACTGACAATCCGTGTTTTGTCGGCCAATACCAGATTCCGTCAGGACGCTGAGCCAGGCGAATCAGCTAAAACACTGGTCCTGCTAAATTTCGATAGGGCTGACAGGCATATCACCGTGTCCTGCAACCTTCCCCTGCTTTGTCGGGAAACTCAATGCTCCCACCTTTTGGTCCTTGTTCTCGACGCTCCCTGATGTCAGCCTGATGCGACTATAATACAAGTCCATTCCTCGACCACGGCTTCTACTAAGATCAAATCTGACCAAATCCCATGATTTGACCTTGAGTCGCGGAACGATGGTCTCATGGGACATTTTCACGCGGCAGTATGTCTCCAGCTCTATCGAGCGTCCCTTTGTTTCTCGCTAACGACGACTTTCAGGGAACAAGGTCCTGGCTGGTATACCGATCTCACTGAGCAGAATGTATTTTTCTACGCCTTGATAGGCCCGACCCAACTGCAAAGGTACTCGGACTCGTCGATGCTTGAACAGACCCATGAACGTCAATTTGCCATCGCTCAGCTGGGAGTCCGCAACGGCGGTTTTGAAGCCGACCATATGGCACGAATGGAGTTGGCGTTCCAGAATATAAATGATCGCTTTGCGACTTACCCTTTGGAGGAGCCTTGTCGTCCATCCTCGCCTCACGTCGAAGACCTGATGAACTTCCGGATACAGTCTCACTCCTTCAGCCCGTTACCAACCTTGGACCTGGAACCCCAGTCTGAAGCAGCGTCTTCTGCACCCCGACCGATGACGCCACCGCGAAAGTCCCCGCGGTCTGCATTGGATCTCTACGAACTAATGAATCCTGACCCGCAACCGGCCTCAAAATCGAAAAGACACCTATCCGACGACAGCGACGACATACCTCGGATCCAGTTCGATGTTGGGCGCCCTGGCAGGCATGACATCGACAGCGACTCAGGTCCCAACAACCCCCCTCCCATCACATATACTCGAGCCAAACAAATGCTCCAAGAGGGTGGGCCCGTCCGAACTCGCAGAGGCATCAGAATGCGGCGGCCACGGCCAGTTGTGAGGCACCGTTTACGAGATGATGCCCGGGATGCGCGGCAACTCGAGAAGGACTGCCAGCTTCTGCTTAATCTATCACAAAATAGTCCGCCACAGGGACTTTGACACGACCTTGCACACGAGGGCATGTCATCTTTTCATATCTCTATCAGCCACGAATTCTGATTCAGCACACGCGAAATTCAATTGTCGACGGGTACAACAGCACCGCGCTCTCGGCCATTGGAGACAACAATCACTTGATTATATCTTTCCCCACGGCTTTTGGTGTCCGAGGTGTACATTGGTGCACATAGCGGGTACGGCGTTCAGGGTGTATGGCTACCAGCCGAGGGTTGTGCAGTCCTCTTTGTTTCTTTCCGTTTCTTTAGCGATGGCGCTGGGAGGTGCTGGTTGTCACTGTCTTCCTTTGTTTCACGACGCCACACACCGGGGACGTTCTCCTATTTGGGAGAAATGGAATAGATGCAGAAGCGCATGGATGACTCGGAGGAGAACGGCCGAAAGGGCAACAACCCGATGCGGTTGCAGTTGAAGATCCAAAAGGCCCGCCGATGCCGATTTAGGGCTACCGCTACAAATACGCCCCACGAACACTCTACACAGTATACTCGTACAAAGCTATGTCCACTCAAGATGAAACGTCCTCTTATTTGTTACCTCCGAAGCTATTGCGCGCCAAACGTGTCTCTCCTACTTCGATGGCGAGCATTCAGCCACTTGTCAGGCTTACTCTCGCAGGACGAGCTCCGATGAAGCACCCAGGGATGATAGCGCAGTGGTAAGTGATTATTCACGCGCGCGATGGTGTAAGGACATACACGCACGGCCACATACCGGTTCGCGCAGCGCTTCGTCGGCGACAGAAACCGCCGAACGTGGGAGCGACGCATTATTATTATTATTCCACGGAGATTGTAGGGTTGGCAAACCTGACAGGCTGCCTGGGTGTCAATTGACAACCATAATGACCTACCTTGCACCCGTGATATGATCGCTGCGCAATAACGTGCACCAACCCGTGAACGGGCAAGTCGTCCCGACGCTCGCCGCTGCCGCCCTAACGCTGCGAGCAAGTACGCAGTACGAAGTAATCAGAGCAAAAGTCATCTCAAGGGCTATTACTCATGAGGGCAATATCGGGGGGCGGCGTTAGAAAAGCAGGAACCCGGAGTACGGCACTGTACTGTCGGGTGACCTGTGTCTACTCCACAGCACGGAGCCACAGCACGGAGTCGACACTTGATTTGGTCCTTCCCATCAACGCAAGTGACTGCTAAGCACTGTGGCGCCGAGTAACGAGTACGAGTACTCCGTACGGGGTACAGTAAAGGCTACTGTACCCTCCCTTCACTGAGCTTCCGTACTTTCGAAGCTTCGATTCGTCTGCGGGTGATCATCATCTTGGGCTTCCCCCCCAGGGCACTACAGGAAGGGAGATGGGAGATCAACGGCCAACCGCCGGACCCATGCATGGAAACAAAAGACAAAGGTCCAGGCACCACAGGGAGGGTCTGATGGTCTCACACCGACCGATGCAAGGCTGATGATGATTACCCGGTGATGGTGCTTCTGCTTGCTTGTTTGCTCGCTTGCTTCTGTCGGAGGGAGCGGCCTGCTTCCCCATGACGTTGACCTGGGCCCCCCCGGGTCAGGAACGATCCAATCGGATCTTTACAACAGCCCTGGAACTTCCTGATTGATTTCCGATGCTTACTGGGTACACAGTACGAGGTAGTGCATATGAGGCAAGGCCGGGTGCCAGGGCTCGGTTTCATCTTTTCAACGCCAGGACGAGATGAGAGGAGGCGGTACCCGTCGGTACTCGTACGCGATTGGGGAGGCGTGAGGCGTGACAGGGCAGGGCAGGGCATGCCAGGGCTGGCTTGCTGGCCTAACCCACGCGGGTCAGCACGTCCAGAATCTTCTCTTTCAAGACGAAGAAGAGAAGCACAAAAGAAAGTTCGGTATGTAATAATGTTGATGATCCTCGCTGCCGGGCGTTTACGGGCGTTTCAGGCTCAGGCTCAGGCGCTCCACGGCCACAGTCAGCCCTGGAGTGGCGAGGTACCGAGTCCGAGGACTCTGTACACATTACAAAGCCGGCAGGACAAAATCGGTACGTCTTTCCTCCGTACGGAGTACTCGGTACTCGTTGAGTAGCTGGTCTCCGGCCCCGGGGGGTCCTGGGAGCCGACCGCCAGTTTTTCAGCATGGTGAGGGTACACGGACAGTAAGGCGGCGTGGGCGGCAGGAATCATCCTTCGGTGCCGGACGAACATCTCCTGATGAGGAAATGAAGCACACTACGGAGTATGGATGGTCCTTCTGCTGGTCGCGGGCGGGGATCGACCACTGTCAGCGGTCTGGTACAGAAAGAGGACATGGTCTACACAGTACGGAGTACTGGGTATAATCCACAGTGATAAAGAAAGTGCAGGGCCATTCACGCGGCGACGGATGTATCCTGTATGGAGCCGGGCACTGTGTCAGATCTGCCTTCAGCACTGCAATATAGTGCAAGGGCTGCGGAGCATAGTAATGGGCACTGGGTCCCAGTACTCGCACACAGTACTCCGTACTGTGCAGAAGACAGCGATGGCGACGGGTGAGCTCGCAGTCTTGGGCAGGACAAATGGGGCCATCCTTTGGCTATAGGGGCTCAATCATAGCTACGGAGTAATTACATACTACGAGTACTCCGTAGTTGCTGTACAATCCGTACCGAGGTCCTTCTTCTGCGCACTCTCCCTGTGTCTCGTATGACTGATTGGTTGCCAGATTGATTGATGATCGGTGGATTGTTCGGACGGCGGATTCCCGCCCAAGCGAACGCCCGGCGATTCGCGAAGCCACTGAAACACCGACCCTCAGTAGTAATATTGCGGACGAAGTCAAGATTGGATCCCTGGTCCATAGAACGAACGGAGCACTCGTCCGAGTCTGGAGACGAGTACCCGGTATGGGGTTATGTTCCATCGACGGACGACAAGTAACTCGTACTCGGTACGGAGTACTGTAGGAGCCGATGTAGCTGATGGCACGGACCGTCCATGCCGCTCGGGGTCGGTCAATGCAAGTTGCCCGTTAAGCCCTACTGGACTGTACAGAGTACCGAGCACGGAGCACTCTTACTGCATTCACAGTACTCCGCCCACAGTCCAACGACTTTGTACTCTATATCCGTACTAATTAGGTAGTTGGAAGGTGCCGGCTCTTCTCCCCCCGGGCCGACACGATGGCGACTTCGACACTCGTGCTCTTGAGGGTCAGGGTTCTGACCCAGAGTCACGCTCTTCGACATGTACTGGGTACAGCGACATAGTCCGGCGGACTTGTTCACACTGCGTAGGTCGAGACGAGGACGTCCGGCTCAAAGCGGCATCCTTACTCATGCCTAGAAGGGTAAGACGTTGCTATCTGTCTATGGCCAAAGCACCGAGAATCCGTAGATCTACTCCGTACAGAGTACCCAATACGCACGACGTAGTCGTGTCTAGCACGGTGTCTCGGCATTGGATGTGTCAACCGTGGTGTCGAGAGTGACAGGTCAGATGCGCAAAGATCCTCGCACCGGGCTGGCTGGCGTACGCGGTACTGGGTAAGCGGAAGACACTTGTTGCCAACCAAGGGCGTGGGACCCCTGCGTTCAGAAACAGGATCCAAAACACTGACTCAAACAGTACCGTGTAGGCGAGCACTGCGGTGTCACATTATTCAGGCGCCAGGCGTCGGTGTGCGCAGGAGGAACGAAGAGGAAACCGATCTGGCGTGGGATGACATCGGCCGCCTACGAGGTAGTCCCAGGGGGAAATGGTGGACCCAGGGGTTTGCTTGTGTGTGGCAGGCAGGGGTGGCGGGCAGGGGTGGCGCCAGGGGAACTGCGGAAATGTATGCCCGCAGATGCACTTGGCTCGAGACAGGCAAGGAGGGGGCCGGTACGGAGTACCCCAGTACTTGTGACTACTGGGTACTAGGACCCCTGTGCCCTGTGCCCTGTGCCCTGTGCCCTGTGCCCTGTGCCCTGTGCCCTGTGCCCTGTGCCCTGTGCCCTGTGCCCAGTAACCAGTACTCAGTACCCAGGACGAGTTCCCACAGGGTCATCGGTCTGCACTGCAAGCCACCCTGGCGCCGCGCTTGGCTTCGCTGCCCCTTGCCTTGAAGGCCTCAAGCAGATTGGAGAGCCTCCCTGGAGGATTGACCTCAAAGTCATGCATCTTCCCTGCAGCTTTCGATCGCGGCAGTGGGGAGTCGGACTCAGCGATCCTAATCTCGGAGGAAGCAGGGCGAGGGTCTGTACCTCGTAGTCAATCCGGGCTACGGAGTACAGTGAACGCCCAGTACTCGTACACAGTATGCCGCCGCCGCCGCCGCCGCTGCTCCAGCCTCGCGCGGTGCTCGAGATCCTTCGAAGCATCACATCACAGTTTCTTCCTCCTGCGTCTTCGATGGGGTTCCTCTACGAGGCACTACCTGTACGTACTGTGCTTCACCTGAAAGTCCAATCGAGTCTTCTCTTTCCACGCACCCGCCCTGGGCGTCGACAAAGTTTCGATAACCAGAACCTTGCATGCCATCCTGGACTACTACCCTTGTCCGCTGTCTGTCACGCCGAAGTCATCTGCTTTCTACCCGAGTTCGATGGAAAAGGTTTCCGAGCCATAACGCAGCGACAAACGCAGCGACAGAAACAGCGCGACCGGCCCTTGTATAGACCAAGTCCTTTGTACGCGTCATCGATAGCACCCACTCAATCACTCACTCTTTGCACACTCGCACCACTCGCACCTTGGATCAAGTGGTGATTTGAATCTCCAAGCCGCGTTCCACACGCGGCACGGCACGGGGAATCGGTTGAGGATATCCGCGCCTTGCATCGAATCCCTGCTCTCTCTCTCTATGACCCTCCCTCCTCCTCTTGCGAGGCTTCCCCGAGTAGCCGATGTTACACAGTGCTATGCAATCGACCAGCATCCACTTGACTCAAGGCAAGCACGCCCGGGGAACTTGGAAATGATCCGACCTCGAAGTTGGCCACAACCCGGCGGCGCCGACAGATCCTTGATTTCCGGCAAATGAGCACAACAAGTCAATGCCATCGCGGCCCATGCACTGCAAGGCGAGTTCGATGTTCTTGTACGCGACTGGACAGTTATGTGGCTCGACTCTCGATGCGCACATGAACCATTCTCTTCTGTGCTACCACATCCTCGGGCAGGCCTGGCATGACTGCCCGAGTCGAGATACATCAAGGTGCGTGATGGGGAAGAGGAGGTAACCATCCTACTACTGCAAGTACGGCGTACGTCCACAACATGCAGCCTTGCCATATCCTTCTCGCTTGTAATGGGCGAGGGGCACTGACCTGTGAGCCGGCGAGGTACGAGCTTGGTAAGCCATGTCGGGTATTAATGGCATCACGGCACGGCTATTGCACGTTGTTTCACGCCCGTGGCAAGAAGTTCTCATTCCAGGCGGTTGACATCACCAGAGGTTGTTTGACCGTCCCTGTACTGTACTTTGGATGTCCGGGCTCTGGCATCGACCTTGGCCGCCTAGCGTCACACCGAGCTAATGGCTGGTAGCGTGAATGTCCACCTTGACCTGTTGTGTGGTGGCAATTGACATGCAACCCGGTTTCTCAGTACAGGGCGGACAGTCTGCCGCCACCGCATCCTCAGGCTTTGAGCGAACGCTGAGCCCCGGATGAGTGATCACGACTATACAGAGGAGACGAACTTTCTCGGTAACCGTCAAGATCATCTCGCCGTTGGCTTACAATGTAACAGGTATGTCTCATTCGGGAGTTGCACATCATTTGGAGCGTCTGCGGACGATACACTCGGCTCTTCGTAACGGTTACGATCTCCAGGAGCCAGAGAACAATGACTTCCAAGAGAGACAAAAGAAGGTCATGTTGGATTATGAGCCGTCTTCCTGGCCTACGTGTTGGATTCTGACTGAACGAAGCAAGTCTCGGTGGTCCATGGGTAAACCTCGATTCCCCTCTTGGTCATCAGCCCATCGACAAGCCTCTAGACTTTCGACGCACTCAACGAAACCAGTATTATCGTCTCTGTTCAGCCACCGCTGGCCTTGGCACGAACTTCTACGGCTTCAAGACATCATGGAGATAAACTGACTGGGCTACAGTCGCTGCGCGTCACTAACACAATGTGAAGGCCGCCCTACTGTCTTTTGACATTAAGTTCTTCCTTTTCTCTGCTTCCACGGTGGTGATATTACCCAACGTCATTACATGGCTCGACGTCCTCGCATATGCCCACACCAAGCCGGATAGCAGGCCAGGAGACCAACGAAGCAATCATACTGGTTTCATCAGACCCGAGGAGGAGGAAGAGTACAAAGCCATGCATCTCGACTCGTGGTGGAACGTAAGCGACCTAAACTCCAATTCATGAGTATGAATCGACTTCAATCGGTCCCTTAAGCAGATGGTGGTCAAGTTGGCTGTCCTTTTCCCGCCGAGGGGTTTCTGACCATACTACCGGGCATCCCGTCAGGTACACATTCGTCTTTTGGCGTCTCAGCCGACCAACGGTGGACCAACGGTGGTCATGGACTCCTATCAAGACAATCCACCGGATCTCCTTCTGGTGCCTCCTCCCATCAACCGTTGGGTAGTTGGACCGCCCGCCTCGACCTATTCTACTCTGGCCCCGACTGAGACAGTACCGTGTGCTCGATATACTCGTGCTGTTGTGTCCAAGTCGACCGACACGTCGTCGTCCAAGGTCGCTCCGTCAGCAAGTCGGATCTGGCTACGATGCGCCTGGTGCACGAGCAGGCGCACGCGATTATAGTAAGCGTAAACGACGATGCGACATTGCAGGATGCGAACACGGTACTCGTACAGAAGCAATCCTTCAACGCCTGGAAACATTTGACCTTCCCAAGAGTCTATGGCCATACGAGCAGCATATCAACTGATTGACATGTGGGCTGGGGGCGATGGTTGATCCCCAATACTGTGCCCACATGCATGTGGAGCAAGCCAAACCGAGGAGCGTCAAGAGGCACACCGAGCGGACATTCTGTCAGCTATAGTACTTCTTCTCAACAGCTCTGCCGTGCACCGGACAAACACTGTGCTCGGCAAGCGCGAGTCGACTTGGCACAGTTACTGTAACGACTATGAATATGCAAGGACTGGGGAGTCAGGAGCTCAAGGTTCGTCTCTCTTTGCGCGCGATATATCGTGCGAGATCGTGCACACCACATACCTAGGTACGTACCAAGCATAGGTAGGTATATAAATACCTACTTACAGTACCTGACGCGGTAGATCCTCTTGGTCAACGTGCCTCCTTGTACAATCTATGTCACCCTAAAGACCAGGGAATTAGGGACACAAGCACTCCACACACTGCATTCCATACATACGAGTACACGGCACGCATCTGATAGTCAAAGACCCTACATTCCCCTGCCGAGTACTGTGTAAAGGTCTTACCACAGCATCTACTCTAGGGACGGGCCAATGACCAGATCGTCCCTTATCACCTTCACCTCCTGCGCGCCCACAGACGCAAACAGGTGACACAGCGACTACGGCACATTCACCCCCCTGCGAGGGAGAAGCTCAGTATCTCTTGACCAAACCTTGACTTTGAGCTTACATCTCCCGTGCAAGTGCAGTGTGGTAGGGGGAAACAGCCAATGAACATCGCAGGCGTCTGTAACTAGGTATCAATCACCCTAGTGCCCTTATGCCCTCATGCCCTTGTTTGCACGCACCACGAACTGGGGTATATCATTTGAACACGTACGAGCTAGATCAAGAGAACTCGTACTGGAATCTGCTCCATACAGAGTACAATTCGTCAGTCCGGTGATGCTGTAGCGATCAGACTCTTCAAACCCGCAATCGCCACCGCAATCTACAGTATCCCGCACGCGCACATGGTCTACATACGCAGCCTACGCTCGTGACGCTCGTGACGCTCGTGACGCTTGGGTCGACTCCGGATACGGTATGGAGTAATATCCATCAAATCCAACCCAGTCAACCTCAAATGCGACACGACGCAACCGATTCCCCTCCATACTGTACTTACTTACGAGATACGAGTCCTTATGACTCTCCGTCCCTTTCCCTTCTCTCTGGTTCGCTAGACATGTGCACAAACAACAAAAGGCATTGCAGCCCCTCTAAGCTGTCATTGCGACGCTGGCACTCCCTGTTCGCCGGTGACGCTACACGAGATACGCCGCCCGTCTGACCGAGATGGAGGTATCCATGTATCATGCCCCAGTGGGCCAAGGCTGATCCTAAGGCTGATTGGGCGGAAAGCTGACTCTGACTCTGATTACCAGGACGAGTTACGAGCTCACCAAGCTGTAGTGACTTACCTCGTACCTCGTACACTCCTGAGCCACAGACGCACAAAACGGTGATGAATCTCACGCTCAGCCGCCGCCGCGGCCGATCAGACCTCACGCCTCAAACCTCACACCTCACACCTCACGTCTCACACCTCACGTCTCACACCTCACACCTCACACCTCACACTCACACCTCACACTTCTCGAGCCTTGCAACGGCATGCATGCATGCAAGCAAGTCTTACAGTGATTTTACGCATTGGGAAATGGAGCTTGCAATAGCCTGTCTGCCTGTCTGTCTGCCTGCCTGCCCTTTTCGATCTCTTCTGCTAGAAGTGCACCTTTGGGTGTCTATCTAGTCTGATGAAAATATGATTGATTGCAAGTCTAGAATGCAGCTACCAGCTAGCTACGGAGAACAGCACCTGTCGCCCCGGGAAACTGTAAGTGGTAGGCACACTCACTGTATGCCTCCTGCCACCACATCTTCTGTCTTTGATAGTCCATATCTCGATGAACTCCCCGGGCCCGCCACTGTCGATCGGTATCGCTGTCCCACCACTGCCGCTGATGCCCTGATTACAATGTGACACCTGTTCCTGGCCGATGCGCTACCACTGCTGTGGCCCTACCACTGCTACGCACTTCCCATTCTGCCGATCCCATGTAACATGCATGAGCATGAGCTTACGCCACGCCACGCCATGCCACGAAGGACTAACCACTCGTATTCGTGAGATACTCACGTGACCCACCCGATCCACTCAAAGGACATACAACATACATTGTAAGTAATTATCCTCCGATCGAGCATGAGGATGAGGATGAGGACGTGGGCGCAGGATTCCTGTCCGCTCCGCTCGTATGCTTGTCTATTGGTCGTGGCTGACTCGTGATGGCTTGACCTGCTCGTATTGCCTTCCTTGATCTCCTTATTTTTGGGACGCGGGTTGTGCCAGTCAAATGATAGAGGATAACGAAATGTGCGCAGTGTACCAGTATATGCAGGGTAGCCGTTGAGTCGAGCAGGCCCGTCGATCCGTCGATCCATCCATCACCCATCACGCTGATTTGCATGGTGTGCGGTGTGCCATGCAATTCGGTGTGAGATAATTAGCATTTTCGAATTCACCCGTCGGTGTTCGCGCATGCAGACAAGTTGGTAATATAAGGGTGTTGCCTCCGTCGCTTGGGAAGATCAGCTCAGAGGAGACTCTATTCGGGAGCTCTTTCGAGTAACGGGTTGACATCGACACAGACACAAACACAGCACCCGCTCTCGAGTAAGTCGGTGACGCTTGACGACTCGGCATCTCTGCTCCACGCTGCACTCCTGTCGTTGTGAATATCGTGCCCTTCGACCTGTGAGCGCGTACGTGCTCACAACATACAAGTCGCAACTCGGGGCGTTCCAGTCCAAAGTGGACGAGCTGCCTCGATTATCCCAAAACACTACATTGGACCTCGACCGCAGAATGACATTCCAGACCAAGGACAACGTGAGCTATGTCCATTTCGGACGTGGCGGCGCAGGTATGATGGCTGTGTCTTTCCACCTAGCACATAATGCGGCATTCGCCACTTCCTCCTTCCTGTCTAGAACGTTCTCTGACTCTTGAGCAAAAGGGAACCGCACCGACGCATCAGCGAGAGACGCACGCCGCCCACTGTGGACTTCTGACTCCGGATCTGCATCCACAGCCGCTCAGTTCAGCTATGGCCGACGCTATTCGACAGGCATAGGCGGCACGGGAAACTTCTCGTTCGCAAGGAGAGTCGACCAGACCACGGACGTAGAGGCGAAAGATGAGGATATGGCACGGTTGCTATATGATCGCTGGGCACCGGGGATCGTCCTTGTCGAGGGTCGTTATCATACGGGGATAGGTATGGCGTTTGCGCATTTAGACCCAGACTTGGCATGATAATCGCTTTCGAGGTTGCTGACCGAAGGCTAACGTGGAGTGTTCTGTGACATAGGCGGCTTCGCAAACAGTTATCAACCCACCGACCTTGAAGACCAGGAAGCTCGGCTGAACAACGAGAATATGCGGAGACAAAGTCTCGCGGATGTGGCACGGCGGAGGGGGAATTTGGCTATGTCGACTTGTTTGCCTTCGAACGAACGGCATTCTCGTAGGGGTAGTCTAGCATCGATGCGGGATTTCGTCATGGGTATGGGACGAAAGTCGAGCAAGGTCTGATATTGGGGTAGAAAGGAAAAGCGTGTCCGTCAAAGCGGAAGTGTTGTGTGATGTTCCGAGGCCAAGGCCAGTGTGCGAATTGGCGGTCCGGCAGATTCACCGCTATTTAAACTCTGGGGCTCAAACATGGAGTACGTGCCGTTCATTCTGATCCCCCAGGAACACACCTGAGGCGCTGGCGGTCCTCGGAATAGAAATGCCCTGAGGATCGATGTTCTCAACTTTGATTTTGTCGTTTGGCGTTAACGAAGAGCCAATTTATGACTTTCGGTCGATTTCGCCTCCTCCACATCTCTTGTAGTGACCTGAAAGAAGCATTCGTTGTGGCTTGGGCCTTGCTGACTGGGTTTTGCTGGGCTACTAAAGGGAAGACCATTCCCCTCAATCCGGAAGTAAGCACCAGCTCTGAGCAAGCGGCGCTTTGTCGACATTTCCCATTTGCGCCCAAGCTCCAAGCTCGGCAAGTTCCGGCATTGGCCATCTGTGGCTCGATAATATCCCCAGGCCTGCTGAACGGTACTTGAACGTTTGATGTCCCCGTTCGGCAGTCGTACGTGGCGCCTCAGTGTGTTCTTGATTGCTGCCGGCAGAACTGCGTAGACCGATATGCTGAGGTCGGGGTGCTCATCATACGGAAGGCCACATACCGTAGTGAAATGAAGCAGCTATGCGGGTGATCGCAGTCAAGGATGTAGCCTGACCCGCTCGTAATTGTCTCTCTGCAATTGAATCGGAGCTCTGAAGACGCAGTTTCGACTGTAGGAGAGCAGTCGCCGCCACCGCCTCTGCTATCCATGCATGAAAGCGGTGTCATGGACATCGCAAACCATCAACCGTCCTTGTAGTTCTGCTCCAAAGTCTCGAGTTTTCGTTGTCGCATAGGTGCAATATCACCATTCCGCATCCCCGTCTGAGACGGCAGCGTCTCGACATGCTCAAGCCTTGCAATCTCCAGATCGAGGTCGATGTCTCGAGCATCAGCCCTGCTTCGTGTACTTGATCGTTTCGGTTGCGAAGTCCTTGTCACGTCGGTGTTGATTTTGGTCAAGTCAACGAAGTCGGAGATGTCGGGTTCACCATTCAGGGCGGAAGGATTGCGCTTCTCATCTCTCGTCAGTGGAAGTGAGGATTTTCTCCCTCCCACAAAATGAACTAGTTTCCCGAGGATGGCGAACTCCAATTTGAGCTTGATCGAGTAGAAGGCTGGTTTTGTGATGGTCTCAAGGATGTACAGGGAAGCACATTCAAGACCCAGGAGACCCAAGTCCATGGCAATGATCAATATGTTGATGGCCATGAGTTGATACATCAGTCTCTTTGTGCTATCCTGGACTGAAGTGCGGAGGATGCGGATGGTCTCGGCGATGTAGATGGACGACAGGATGACCTCTTGTAGGAAGAAGCCACACATCTGTACTTTCTCCATCACGTTGTATCCACTGACATAGGCTTGTGGATGGCTGTCGGTGTTGGAGCCGATAGTGAGGACAGTCGTCGGAATGTGGAGGACAATAGCATTGACGATAATCATCCACTTGGTGTAGCGGAGAATCTTCTCGCCTTTGTCGCCGCTGACAATGAGATGGAGGCGCGACCAGAGCACAATTGCTTGGCCTGTCACCATGGGATACCATCCGATGGAGAGCAGGAAAACCGAGAACCATCGTGCGCCGCCGGTCAGGATCGAGAAGTACTTGAAGAGGAACCCGACGCAGTAGGGAATAATGCCCCAGCCGGAGATGACCAAGCTCCAGAAATACAAGCCCTTGAACTTGGCGAATGTGCCGAAGATGAGAACTTGCAGTTCGACCACATTGTACAAGGCGAGGCCGAGGAAGAAGGCGATCAGGACCTTGAGGGTCAAGCTATCACCCTCATAGCCACCTTCGATTCCCTGGCCGGCTGACGAGTATGAGCTAGACGACGCCGTGGCGTTGGATGGCATCCTTGACCAAGAAAGATGTCCGATGCGTCGCAGTCCCCCTCAGCGGTGACTGGTGTCGTCGCATTAGCGCAGGAGGCGAAAAGGCGTGAACTGCGATCGATCTCGTACTGTAGTGCCGATGACCACGTCCACGTTCTCGGCGTCGAAGGAGGTTTGCTCGGGGTGGCCGGCGCATCTTGACGGAAGAAGAGACGGCAGAGATTGCTGGGGAAGATCTTCATCACTGTCGATCACTCGCAACCCCGCGAAGATGGGTGAAAATGCTTGGGTTGCGACGGTGAATGTGCGTTCAGGAAGCTTATTCCCTGCTTGGGTAGTAGCGATTCTGCGTCCCATGCTCCCAGTGGCTGCCCAGCGCCTGGACTGTAGGCTTCGAGCCTACAAGCAACTTAACAAGCCGTTGGCCGGCAAATCACCGAAATGTTCTAGGCGCCCTACGTCATCACCTACAGTATCATGCTTGTCTCGCTTTTACCCCGGATTCTGGGTAGAGAGACGTGAGAGGCTGAACCGATTTATTGGTGGTTGCTTGAGCCCATACAACATACCCGCATCACGTTCATGAAGGCGGTGTCGATTGCAGAAATGGCCAAGGAAGCAGAGGGAAGAATCATATCAGAATGCCGACCCGTACATCCTACGCGGTTTACAGGCTTCGGCGGCCTAGAGTTGAATGATAGTGAGAGCAGTTCTTTATTTCCAATGTTCCTCTAGATGCCTCCATGTTCATTCACTTCTCACAACATGAAAGCGTCAATGCCATGCTCCTCTTACTCGCAGCGAAATCGAGCGTTCTCTGGAAGTGGCATTTAGAGCTGTGGTCAAGGAGAGGTCATTGACACTCGCTCCGTCGCATGCCTCTCGAATACCGACCCGGTTTGCGGAGCAAGCGCCGATTAGGGGTACAGCTAAGAGAGCTGGGCAAGCTACCACCTAGATCTGCTCTTGGGAGTATAGCCCTCTAGCAGAGAGACTGTATTGGAGATAGAAGAAGCTCTTTGTAACATCTTGGTAATGAAGGAGCTTGAAATGGTCGAGCCTGCCTATCAAGGTTCGGAGGCCAGACAGTAGATTGCTTGCCGTCGCCACTGATGGTACCGGGCGGGTGACTGAAATGTGTCCACTTCAGTTACTGGGTGAGCGCCCACGAGGCTATAAACTGGGATTTTCGTCACAGACTCGATATTCACGACGCAGACATCGCACAACCCCGGCTTGTGAGCTGTTTATCAGGCTTCGATCTCGATCCAGCTTGCCGTACGAGGAGGCTTTGTCGTGACAACCATAGGAACACCGGACAGAGGCTAGGGCCTAGCAGGCGATATTTCAGCCATATCCAGCTCCCGTTGTGTTCTCTCCAGTTGGCTGACGATCGTCTCTTTGCCGCAAATTTCGCGGCAAGGAACCCTGGCTCAGTACCTCGAGCCAATTGCTCGCCATGACTGGGTGTTGCCATACGGCGTCTCTTTCGCGTTCACCCACGACTACGCCTGTTGATGCCGGACTCGAACTCCTCCGTGCGTAGTAAGAGTAAGGTGGTAGACTCCCGCTCGTCGAGGTTCTGTCCAGCGCTAGACTTTCGCGCCAGCTTGTCCTCACTGTTTCACCAGTCTGTGCCGCCGTGAGGTCTGTCAGGCGTGTGGAGGGGATCGAGATGACGGAGGAACGCGGGGAGGCAGGAGGAGGAGGGGTGCCATTCCCAGCTTCCACGGTCAATTGGAAGCCTATGGGCTGCTTCTCGTCTGCAACGAGCAACGATTGTTGGACGGTATCTTCGTATGCGGGCGGGTTTTCTTCCAGTGGGTAGTCCCAGCGCTGTGGAAGGTGACGAGTGCTGCTCGCACTTGTGTAATTCGTGACGGCAATGATGCGGGCGTGACGAGTTTCCGCTTCCAGCTTGCTTGGCCTGTCACTGGAGGAGCAGCAGAGAGAGGAAATGGAAGGCATTATTGCTGGTGTTTCTGATACATACGTGAGCCAGGCACAAGGCAAGACCGCTCCCAGCACCAAGGTAGATCAGAGAGGATTGTCAGCTGTGTTCAAGGCGAGGAATTGAGATCAGGCTGCCCGCCCAGCCACAAAACCGCCTGCCTGGCTCAGCCCCAGAAACGGTGCGGGATGAAAGCTGTGAGTTCAACCGACGGCGACATGACCTGGAGAATTCTACAACACACGCCTTCACACAGTTCTTCCTTTCAGATTCTGCAAAGTCTGTTCTTACAGTTCTTTTCAGTGCAGCAGATGCTGACTTAAGGTGCAGCTGGTGTTGTCTGCAACTTATAAATGCGCGCAATAACATGTAGCGGGCATGAAAGAAGCTGAGGTCTCTCAAGTCTACGCAATACTTTCCGCCTGTTGCAAAATTTTCTCCGGATTAGTGAGGTAGTAAGAAGATCTATCTATGGCTAGTATCTGGCTGATTAAAAGACTACAAAGAGGATGCAAATCGGCGAGAACTGGACTTGCTTGTTCCAAATCAAAGATGCTGAGTTGTTGGAACGGTACGGTGATTCCCTTGGGCCATGGTGAACAATGTCGGAACCATTCTCACTCCTCTACGACAGTTCGGCTTCCGGCACTCGTCTTGACCAAACCGTTCAAGATTGCTCATAACGGAGATGGGACCCGAGCATGAATACATGATCCTCCCTTCTCCATAGGCCATAAAAACACACACAGTACGGTAAAAGTAAGCAAGTCTGCTACTTTAGTGCTCATCGTTCCATGCCAAACCAGTATTGGTGATCAGCCAAAAGCACAACCGACATGGGCGGCACTCTCTAGCCCTGGTCTTGCTTGGAATGCACTGCTGGAGTCTCGACAACCGGCGTCTCAACGTTTGGCGCCTGTGGCGGGTGCTGCAGACTCGGTCATGTCCTGATATTGTGTGAAAGCCCGCAGTCCTCTGCTCAACAAGACGTAGACTGGGCACCTGGGCACCTGGACCCCCGTAGTTGTAGAACATTTGATGCACCGAGGCATCCAATCCCTCGTCTTCGTAGGTCGCTGACCACTCTCCGGAGATTTTCGCCCGCCAGGATGATGCAGAACATTATCTGCCACAGTTTCCAGCACGTCGCCGCTTCTGAGGGAGCGAGTACCTTGCACCCGTGGGCGGCTCGTGCTAGCTGCATTCTCGATGAGATCCCTGACATCGAAAACGTGACGCCAATCTCCTAGTTCGAGCGTGCTGGATCGTCTGTCACTGAAAAGTTGACTGTGCCGGCTAAAGTCCGCCTCACAGACTGCTGGGAGTAATGCCCGAGATGTGGAACGCCCGTTCAGCTTGCAGAAGGTTGCTTGGCGGTAAGCCAGTGGGGGATCTGAGAAGGTCTCCTTGGCCAGAGACGCCGTGGCATGGATAGCGAACGAGCTCTCAAAGGTGTCGTCTCTCATAGATCTTTCTGCAGCGCCTCCTCTAACGGCTTCATCCCATCAATCATCCCCTCAAGCTTCTCATCCATCTTCTTGAGTTCATCCTTCTTCCTCGTATTCTCTTTGACCAACGCCTCTTTGGTTTTGACCAACTCCAGCCTCTCTTGCTCCATCTTTTCTCGTTCTTGCTTCTCGTGCTCGATCCTCAGTGGCATCAACTCCTGCTCCGACGATTCAGCCTGCTCGGGAAACATAGCCAGATACTCATCCAGGGGCCGTAGGGGTAGATGTGTATAGGCATGATCATAACCTTCGCAGGCGCCGATTTCACCCATCAGATGTCTCTGCTCGTAATACAGATTCTGGAGTTGTAGGAGTAGCCGGTCAACCTCTTGCCTCGCTTCTGCAGTCTCTTGTTTGGTCGCTCGTGCCCCAAAGGCTGCTTGCCGTTGCTGACCGCGCAATTTCGCCAGGTACGCGTTCAGTATCTTCTGCTGCTGTGCGAGTTCTAGCTTCTGCTCTGGTGAGGGAGTTGCGGCTGTCGCATTGTCTTCGAGCCAGGAGAGGACGGAAAGTGTCTTTGCTAGGGTCGCCCGCGATGTCTCTAGCAGCGGTTGTAGGCTCGGATCTCTGATCTGATCCCCTACTGCCATGGTCGCGCCTCTTCGTATCAGGATCAGCGTCCAGCCGTGTGTGCAGAGCTGCGTAAGCAGGATAGGAAGTGAGAGCGCGGGTGCTGAGGCTGTCTGGATATCTTGGATGATCGTGCATGATGCGCAGCCAATCGGAGTCGACTTTCCACGGTGAAATATTTCTGAAGTTGCTCACATCCTATTCTCCTCGAACCTTTCAAAGCATGGCGCCAGACAGGGGGCTCGAGGACGCGGTCGCTTCACTGGACTTAGCTTCACAAGTTAATGGCATCAAAGATATCACTGACTTGAGCGATTCCCAACCGACCCCAGAGACGATTCCGCCGCACTTGTCGCACAACCCTGCGACGAACGCAAAGCGGACAGACCCCTTCCAGTTTGGGCAGCGCTATCTGTCAGAGCAGGACGATGTTTTCCAGTACAATGCCTGGGACCATGTAGTTCCCGACGCTGCTCACTATGAGTTCTGCGAGGCGCAATATGCCGCACAACGTGAAGCGCCCGTCTCTGACTTTGACCGAGCGCGCTTCAACGACAACCCAGAAAAATGGTGGGATTTATTCTACAAGCAGAAGACGAGTACCTTTTTCAAGGATAGGAAGTGGCTAGCGCAGGAGTTTCCAGTACTCAAAGAAGTCACAGACCCTGACGCAGGCAACAAAGTCATTCTCGAAGTAGGCGCCGGAGCCGGGAACACTGCGTTTCCTATTCTGAGGATGAACGAGAACCCGCGGCTGAAGCTTATTGCAGTCGATTTCAGCAAGAAAGCCGTCGAGACAATGAGGAATGCAAAAGATTACGCAGACTCTGGTGGGATCATGAGGGCCGAGACCTGGGATGTGGCTGGAGAGACACTACCGACCGGGGTTGAAGAAAGCAGCGTTGACATTGTGATAATGATCTTCGTTTTCTCCGCACTCAGCCCGAAACAGTGGCAGCAAGCACTGAGCAACATCCGGCGTGTTCTGAAGCCCGGAGGAGAAGTGTTGTTCAGAGATTACGGGAGAGGGGATCTGGCCCAGGTTCGCTTCAAGGCGGGAAGATGGATGGAAGATAACTTCTACGTTCGTGGAGACGGCACCAGAGTCTACTTCTTTGAGAAAGAGGAACTCGAGGAGATCTGGGCGAGGGGATTCGACATCATGAATTTGGACGTGGACCGACGGCTGATTGTCAACCGGCAGCGGCGCATCAAGATGTACCGTTGCTGGATCCAAGGGCGATTTCGGAAAAAGGCGATCTCGGACGCAGAGGGAGCATTCTAGAGCGTGGATCGCTGCGTTCCTGAGGGTCATCTGAGAGCTACTGTAGCCCAAGATTATGATGCTCGAGCCAATCCGAAATACTCATGACCAGCACGCGTGAGGAAATGCAAACAGCCGTGGACAGAAGATCGAGCACATGCCAGCATGCCCCCCCCTAAGTCCACCAGTGTGCTTGCGGGAAGACAGCGAATGCTGTAGAACGGGCACCAATTGGACTCGACGAGCCTCGCATGTGAGATATGCTGCATGACCGCAGTGGGAGGGCCGAAAAGCGGCCGCCCTGCTGCTGCTCGGTCTGACCGCTGTCATTTAAACCCACTTTGGTCACGTGCATCCGTAGCCACAGTGACATAATTGGCATCGTACACGGTAATCAAATGACGCCGATGGTGTCATCCTCCAGCCTCCTTTCCGCATGTCAGTTTTTGACATTTGACCATCAGACATGAATTGCCACTCCACTTTGTCCCTCCGTGCCCTTCCCAACGCATCGGTGGTATCCTCTCATTCATTCCCCCACTCGACGACTGACATTGCATATCTGCTCCATGTAATTGTAGTGTATATTGTTCACTCTTCACGTCTGTCCTTACTGCTTTCCTCCCTCCCAGGCCGCCTTCCTCCTGCCACATCAAAAGTCTGCCGATTTGGCACGCACGCGACACGCTCGCTGCGCCACTGACATAGACAAGCTCCCGCTGACGGCCGATCGACGCCTCTTACCGAACTATTGATTCCTGTGGTCCAAGGCCGAACTCTTCTTCCTCCATGATTTAAATCGTCGTCGGAGACCATACAAGCTGCCGCATGGTTATTACGAGCCAGTCCGACAAGATGTCGTGCGCAACACAGACGGTCACCTTCGACGCTACATCCACCAGCCGTGAGTGCAGCCCGTCCGGCTTCGACGAACGAACAAGCCTGCTACGTCGAGGCAGAAGACATTCCTACAATGCGATTTCTAGCCGGCGGCAGTCGAGCGTCTGCAACGCCGACGTCGTCTATGTCCGCGTAGATCTCTTCCTCACCGAGTTAAGGAATCGGCTGGACAGATTGGAAAAGTGCCGACAAGAGAGTCTTACAACCTTCGACGCCCAGTTGGAGCGTGCTTACCAGGCGCTGAGAGATGTCCGAGATTCGTGTGCGCCGTCCATCTCTGGAGAGCTGTTATGGGGTGCTGCCAGACAGCGTGCCCTGATATTGGTGGACACCCTCGAGACCCGATACAACGACATTATGCCGTCTCGTGAAGGCCTTGAACAGAAGGCGCAAGAAGGCATGCGATTGATGGAGTCGTATCTGGCCGAATTGGAGTCTCGGGTGCACGAGACAAAGACTCAACTATTGGAGACCGGGTGGAAGAAGGTCGATGATTCGCTCAACGCCACGAGGGAGATGTTCGAGGACGGCCTTGATAAAGCCTTGCGCGCAAAAGACATTCTTGCCGAGTCGGTCTCACATGCCCTGACCCGCGCTGCCGAAACAAGGCTCATCCACTACGAAGATCTTCCCATCCCGTGGCGGAACAACCCCCATATCCTCAAGGGCTACCGCTTCCACAAGACACCGCTCGAATGCCTTGGCTCGGTCTTCCACGCTCACAATGAGATGGTCAACATTTGGTCACACGGCATTGGCCTTGTTGTTGTGCTTGCCGTGGCATTCTATTTCTATCCCTCGTCGGCCGCATTTCCTCTCTCCAGCAAGATGGATGTTCTGGTCGCCGCTTGTTTCTTCGCCGCTGCCTGCAAGTGCCTGATTTGCTCGGCAATGTGGCACACCATGAACAGCATTTCAGACAAGTGCCTGTACGATCGATTTGCGTGCGTCGACTATACCGGCATTTCGCTTCTGGTCGCCGCGAGCATTCTCAGCAGTGAATGGACGGCTTTCTATTGCGAACCAGTGTCCAGGACGATATACATGACCTTAACCACAGTGCTTGGAGTCGCTGGAGCCATCCTTCCCTGGCGAGAGAGCTTTAATCGAGCTGACATGGCCTGGTTCCGAGTGACGTTTTTTGTTACTCTAGCTGTGACCGGCTTTGCTCCTGTGCTCCAGCTGAACTATACTCGGGGCCCGGAGTGGACTTTCTATTTCTATGCGCCGATTGCCAAAAGCATGATGGTATACTTTACCGGCGCACTCATTTATGCCAGCCAAGTCCCAGAGAAGTGGTGGCCCGGGTCGTTCGACTACGTTGGATGCAGCCACAATATCTGGCACGTGGCCGTTGTCTTCGGCATTATTTTCCACTACACTGCAATGCAAGAGTTCTTCCAAGGAGCATTTAAACGGGCAAGCGAAGGTTGTTGCTTGGGGTGACGAGCTCTCCCAACTCTGCTGAAGTAGACGAGACATGGTTTCGCATAGCGAGGGCATCTGATGGCGTCGGGTCCAACCTGGTTTTGCATATCTCCAGGAACAGGAAGAGGGGGCGGTCTATCGATGCATATATAGAAGGCGCAACTGCGTCGAAGTATTGCACGGATCGCGTATCTTAGGCTTCTGGAAGCAGAAGCAGCACCTCGATTCATCATGATTATGCCCCTAAGGTTTCTCGGCGACTATTTAGATCGTGGCAGAGACGGGATCCACCGATTCGGTTGGTCAACACAGGACACTCTGCCAGCCGAATACGATGATTTCCCTTTTGAGAACGAAACCCACCGCCGGATATAGTCCGTCTTCGTATCAGAGTCGGGATACGAGACTGGAGCTGGAGGGACAGTGGCTGCCTGTTGTTCAGAATGGCAAATATCGTATTGACCTGAATCCCATTTCTTCCACCTTTCTCACCTTCAAAGACGCAGCAAGAATCCGCGCCCGGGATTGAAGCGTTCTAGGCCGGCCTGGACAATACCAGGGCTACCTTTCGCAGACCTGGGACAGCGCGCCGGCACAAGGCAGCGAATCAAGATGAAATCAGTTTTCAAAGTTACACTGGCCTCGACGTCTCAAGCGTCCAAAGGCGTATCCACACCAGACAGGGTCACCTTCCACACAAGGAGGCCGCATAAGAAAAGTCGGACAGGGTGCAAGTCCTGCAAGCAGCGACGAATCAAGGTTCGTGTGTCTGTTTGTTCATACAAGGCCAAGGCTGATCAACTTGTTTCCTCCAGTGCGATGAGAACAGGAACGGGGGCTGCTTTCAATGCCAAAATCGCGGGATTGATTGTGACTACTCGTATGAGAGAGAGGGGGAACCGCGTAGAAGGGAATGTGTCATCCTATCAAAGGCCCGCCACACGACTTCTCGTCAACCTTTGACGAAAAACATCGAGACGAACTGCTTGATCGAGAGCGGCAGCAGCACACAGTCAAGCTCAAGACGTTCTACTCCGCTCAGCCTGACGCGCAGCTTGCCTTGGAAGTTCCCACTAGAAGTTCCGGACCAGATGACGCCAATTATGCAAACATTCCATCATTTTGGTACGGTCACAGTATGCTGTATCGGATCGGACATGGGGCAAGAGATATCTCGCGGTCCTGCCATGGAGCTTGCTCTCGAAACGCCCTACCTGATGCATGCAATCAATGGAGTGTCTGCTGACCACCTCTGTCATCTTCTTCCTGCGGCTCAACATCCAGTTCAACATGCCCAAAGCCAGTTGGCGGCGTTTTACCATTGGCAAAAGGCACTGCACTTGTTTCGAGAAGAGCTGTCGAACGGTGCTACCAAGGAGAATATGGACGGGCTGATATCTGCCGTCATGCTGATCTGCGTGCACCAGTTCATGCTCAACGAGCCCTTACTTGATCCCAGCAAAAGCTTCATATACGCACCGCCAGAAGCACGGCGAGAATGCCTTACATGGTTGACCATCCAACACGGAATCAAGGCACTGCGAGGCCAACTGGGGGAGGTCATGTGGAAATCCATCTGGAGCCCGGTGATTATGGACTCGGAAATATTTCAGCCGCCACCAAACTACATGACTCCAAAGGGCGGTGACGAGACACACGGTTTGTTCTTGGAAATCTGCGAAGTGACAGCAGAATCTTCGTGCGAGACGAACCCTTACTACGAAGCACTGCAACACCTACTGTATGTTCGGCGACTGAAACCCAGCTTGACCACTTTCAACAAGTTGGTTGAATTCGTTGCCGTCGTAGAAGACGACTTTCTCCGTCTACTGCTGAAGAGAGATACACGAGCGTTGCTGATTCTGGCACATTGGCTGGCGATGATGAGCGAGCTGGGACAGTGGTGGCTGAGCGTGAGATGTAAGACCGAGTGCACTGCTATCACGACGTATCTGATGCATGATCGGGATGAGAGGGTGAGGGAGTTGTTGAGGTATCCAGCGAGGACTCTGGGAATCGTGCTGGTGAGAAGGGATGAGGGCTTATGATCAGTCGATTGTGTCGAGGTTCAGATCCTAGAGGAAGTGCTGTGGACGTGCTCCGTGGTATCTTTATCCTTAAGCTCTCCCTATTCGTAGGTCTCGATTAGGCGCCTGCGGACTTGGCTGGGCGTGCTCGGTCACCGGAAGACAAGTCCGCTTGGAGGCGTCTAGGCGACCAATGCCGACCAGTTTAGGCATCGTGCAGGGCGTCGGGACCGGTAAGAACCTAGCGCGTCACATGACTCAGAGTCCTTCGCTGGCATTCTGAACTGCGCCTTTCTCACTCAAACGCCGTGTTCGTACTCATCCAGTTCACTCACGTATATCGGGCAACCAGCTACCGCTTCGAGACTGTGGCTGTCGATGCACCTCAAGGCTGTCCCTTCCTCACCGCCGTCTTCTTTTCGCCCACTGTCTCATTGAAAGCAAAATATGTGTTCGGAGATACCGACATCTTCGACGCCCGGCCAGTCGATTCCTTTACAAATCCACTCGAGATGGCCTCGACAACACGTCCTACCCCGGGATCGCTGCCGGACCCAGTGCCAGCGCGGACGACCCTGTCACCTTTCGAACTCTTAATTACCTGCAACCCACCCATCCTCCGATCACTCCTTGCACAGATTCCGACTGAGACCATCTTCCGCCTGTACCAGACCTCACCCTACCTACGAGACTTCTTCGCACGGTCTCCTACCTCTTGGCGGTACATTTCATGGCGCCTGTACCAACCAGCTACTGCCACGACGACTATCACGGCCAGTGGGGCTATTGGGCAGAGGCAGTCCAGCAACTATGCCTTGGACCAGATCATCCTGACGGTCATAAACCCTTTCAGCACGAGGCTAGCTAGTCTTGAGTTGGACAACACCGCCGTGAGTGGGACGACCTTGACATCAACCGTGCTTATCTTGAGGAGAGAGACACTTCTACACGTCTCGGTCCGGGGTTGCAAGAACGTCTCTTTGAAATACCACATCAACCCGTGGCTAACCATGCATGCTTTGGCCCGAAACACGCCAGACTCCAAAGGTCCCCCACCCGGCTTCGAGACACTCGCTCTGAAGAGTCTTTACACCTACAGATGTCGGCATCACAGAAGGAGGCCCTACCTCCCGAGCAGTCTGGCGCGCAAAGAGAGCGATAGTGAACCGACGCATGAACTGGTAACTACATGCCACACACTCGGGATTTGGACGGATACTGCCTGGTGCACCACACCCGGGGCACGATGCTACCGCCGACGAGGGTACGTGAAGATGCGCATGCCACAGGATCCGAGAGAAGTGTGGGTGGTTTACGACCGTCTATGGAGGAGTCGGAATTGGCTCGGAGCCGTTGAAAACCCAAGGGGCAGCAATCTAGCCAGCAAGAAGCGGAAACGAGATTGCAGGAGCTGGGAGTACGATGAGGAAGGTATGAATGGTGAGCCCCTTGGGACAGGTCCAGAGGGGAAAGTCACTCCCACGCACCTGCGGGACTCGCATCGGAAGTTCGTGGAGAACATCACTTGCCAAAACTGTGACGCCCAAATATTGGAACGGTGTGAGCAGTGTTCAGTCATGATGCATTGTGCAGGATGTAGAAAGACACTGTGTGCCAGCTGTGCCTTCGACCGCCCTTATCTACGAAACAGGAACTCTCGCGAGGAAGACAGGAACAAGTTCTGGTGGGCCCCCGGCTGTGCTGTGTCGCCCTGTTCCATGCAAGATCAAGATCTGCCATCCCTTGCAGGAACCAATGCGAATCAGCTTGCCAATACCAACAGTCTACCCAATCTCAAGTTCAGGTGGTGCTGCACGGAGCCGTTATTTTCCGGAGGTGGTGGGATCACTTACAGCAACAATGCAGCTCGAGACATTGATCGCATCCGAGCGGCGCCGCTTCCACGTGGACAAGGATGGGAGGATCCTGAGTTCAACCCTGACCGACCAGCCGGACCAGAAAATGTTTCGAACCAACCAGGCCCTGGCGGCCGATGGCAGTCCATCGATGGCTTGTTCCAAACGGTCGCAACCCTCGCTACGGGAGAGCATCCTGCCGTGTCTGTGCCCCGGGTCTTGTGCGACGATTGTCACAACGCGGGTCACTGGAAGATAAAATGCAAGGCTTGCGCCACTCCTATCTGTGTCAAGCATGACATCAGTGATCGTCTGAAAGCTAGGATATGCGGATACAGAGACCTCGTGCTTGAAAAGCAGGAATACAAGTCGAAGCTGACGGCCGCGAAGTTGCTTGCGACCCTGATGAAGCAACGAAAAGGCAAGCAACCCGCACGAGAGCAAAACAATATGGAAACAGAGAGCACTGTCAGCACTCCAAGGGCTGCGCGAGCCGCCACAATGCCTGCGTCCACAGTCGTGCCAGTGGCTGTTTCCGAGGTGGTGGCAGATACCGCGGAGCCGCTTCGTCCTGCTGAGGCCAGCATCGCGGCGACGCCGCTGCGAACAGCTTTGGCAGATTTTGACCGGCCGCCACGGCCACTGTCACCCGTTTCGGACAGTACCAGCCCTCACTCCCGATCAACGTCTCCTGCACCCTCGGCCCATTCCATCCCAGCGACACCTGAGCCTAACTCCGTACCGCGACGGCCTCCACGTCCTGCGATCCCCTCGGGACCCAAATGGCGAGGTTGCCAAGCAATTTTCTGTCCAGCAATCCGTACGGCTCCAGGCGATCACAGGAGACGTTGCACAGCACCCATAGACCAGTGTGTCGGATGCAAGGTTTACATTTGTGACGACTGCAGTGGCTCTCTAGAGCCGCCGTGTCCATGCAAAGGGTGCCAACGACCACCGACAGATGAAGATAATAGCATGACCATCATGCCAGCCACCACCCCTGCCACTAGTACTGCCTTGTTCTTCTGCCCTAACTGCCGCTGGGACAGGATGGTTTCCGGAAAATGCAAACGAAAATCGGAAGCGTTCCTGAAGGCTCAGTCGCAGTCGATGAAAAGACTGAAGAAGAGAAAGGATAAGATGCGGAAACCACTCGAGGAGAGAAGAATGAGTCAGGCGGCTGCAGGGAATCTTTCGGCCACAGAACAAGCAATCGAAGGCTTGGTCGAGTTCTTCACAAGTTTAAACATGCAGTATCCTGGCGCGATAGGCCCGCAACAAGCGGAGTCGAGCAGTTCATCGCAGCCGGAGTCAGCGTCACGGTCGGACGTATTGAGCAACAACCCCGATGAGATCCGAGAACTAGAAGATATGGGCGCCTTGGCCCGAGACTTGATCCGGCGCATCCAGCGCTTGAGAGATCAATTCCGCCCGGGATCTCTAGCAGCCCAGGCACTACCAGATATTCGCGTGGAGGAGGGGGTTCAGACAGCTGCACAGACAATCGCAGGTACCGCGGCTCAAAGTTTAGCACATGAAGCTCTGGCAATTCAAATGGCCGCGGATATCGTCAGTCCTCATCGTGCTGTGCGCCTCCCTCCGATCCCAGCGCCGGATGGGACGGCCAGTGCGAATGCTCCTGGTTCTATGCCGGCACAGAGCTATGATCTCAGACAACTCATCATGCCAGACGAGCCGGAGTTGGCTCCCGACATTGAAGAGTTAGATGATGAAGATGATGGGCAATTTGAAGATGGAGGAACGAGCACGGAATGATAGAAGCAAGCAATATTGAGCTTGGGCTGGGGCGATCTGGGGGTGGAAAAGTATTTCATCGAGCTGTTCCTGCATAGAAGCAAGCGAGGTTGGGAGTTTAATACAGTGGGTACTCCGTACAATGGGACTATTCACAGACGCAAGACCGACTGATTTGATTTTGACCTTGAACCATTGTCATCCGGGGGGAATTACCGTCGTGGAGTCATCTTTACAACCTCCTGCACGTCGTGGAACCCAGCGTCGAGCATTACTTTGTCTGTACAGATGAGCCATGCATAGGCCACGTTGAGAGTTCACACATGCGTGCTCGCTCGTTCGAATTCCTTGCCGCTGTTCCATTCTCACCTGAAGATCGCCATATCTACGACCGATACAATCATAGGTCCAGTACATGCGGTACATGTGGTACATGCGGTACATACGGTACATGCAGTACAGGCGGTACATGCAATACCTCTCCAGCACCCGTGCTGCATACCTACGTGGACCTTAGACGGCAGGCACCTACGCAAGCCATGCGTACAGACAGTACAGTATCTTCCTTGTCCGACCCGTTGGATCGAGTAACTGCATCTACCTCAGATAACCACCTGCGGGTACAGAGACGAATCTACGTTGTACGAAGTACGGAATACAAGGTATAAAGTGTAAACCGGCGGCGACCCGGTCGCTCGCTACAGTACCTAGTTGTCCACGATCAAAGGTACTGTACCGTGCCATCCACGACATTCATTCCACACGGGAACAGCGGCAGCCTGGGCTGAGTTGGGCCTAGAAGAAAGTCAGAGTGATGATGCCTGTACACAGGTCGCTGTTCGCGGTAAGGAGCACGGAGTGCGCAGTAGATAGTACGTAGTAGATAGTACGTAGTAGATAGCACTGGATGTTTTTTCACCCATCGAAACTCTGCACACCGTTCTGTTTACCTACTATTTCATACGATAATTGATATTGACATTGACATCGGCTTCGAAAATCGATACCTTACTAGTACTGACTATATCGTCGATTCATTACCTATACTGACCGCGTGCGTGCGTGCGTGCGTACGTGCATGCGCCCGAGCTTTTTTTCCAACTTTTGATATACACTCCATCCAAGCATACTCGCATACTCCGTATTAGACAATTCCGTTCCAGTTCCAGTTCCAGTTCCGATTCCCGTTCCATCCGTTCGTAGTCCTGCCTGTACTCCTTCCATAACCTAGGTATGCGTACCTAGGTATGGCCCGGGAGACGCTCGCCGCGCCGTTTGCAGCAGTGTGCTGTCTGTACTGTACTGTGCTGTGCTATAGCTGTACTCCGTAAGGTGGTAGATAATCAGTGCAGCATAACTACCTAGGTTAGGTAGATACCTAGGTAGAGTAATCGATTGCCAGATAATCTGATCAAGCCGCGATCCGTGGGTTGATGTTATGGCTGGGTGGGCGGCTGGCAAACGCGACGCACGCCTGGGTGTCCTTGGAACTCGGAAGAATATACAGTACTCCGTAGATACAGTGTTTATCGCCTTGTCATGGACGTTCTGTGTATATGACCTGTGCCATCTCATCCAATCGCCCTGGACGAGTGGCAGAATATCGATTGCAGGGAATCCAAGCATGAATATCTGTTCGGTTATCGCGCTATACAACCAGCGCCAAGGCAGTAATGCTGGTCGACTCGTTCTGGCCAAATCGTCGTGTCCAAGTGTCTTCAAAAGCCGACTTCGCCGAGGTAGTGCTAGCTTGTGCTTACTTCTTCCCGCGCTTGGGCACCTCTTCCGGGAGATACCTCGAGGTCACATCGTCGGCGAACAACTGCATATCTCCCTTGCCGCCCATGCCCATGAACTCGGCCTGCTGCCGATTTGCTGCGGGATGTTCCTCTCTCGCGATCCCCTCCTCATTCTTAGACGCTTTACCCGTCTTCTTGGCCCCCGCTGAACTCATGACGTTCTTACCAGCTGGATTCTTCTCCCATACTTTCACATGAGCGGGTGAGCCAGGAATGTGGCTGGGTTGACCTTGAATCGGATGACCGCCGTTGAGCTCAACGACTTTGCTCACTTTGATGTCGTTGATATTAGCTAGCAAGGTGCGTTCGCGCTGGATTTTCCGCTTCGAAAAGTCGAATGCACTCATTTGGCCGGTCAGACCGTCAAGGGAATCTGCAGGGTTGATGTAACCGGCATTTCGGGTCCAGGGGTGCTCTAGACATTGATCGATGGTGATGCGTTTTTCGACGTCGACTGTGAGCATGCGATCAATCAGGTCGAGTGCTGGGTCGCCTATCGAGTCCCAGTAGGGTGAAGGGTAGTCGAAGCGACCCATCTTGATCTGTTGGGCAAGTGTGTATGGGTTCTCCCGTGAGTATAGTTCGTCGGAAAAGGGTGGGAAGCCGCACAGGCAGATGTACAAGACCACGCCCAGTGACCACACATCTACTGCTCTGGTGTACTTCCGATGTCGGGTGTTCTCAAGGATCTCCGGCGCGACATCTAAGAGCGGTTAACAAGTGCCTGGCCGTTTAGAAGGACATATACTCACAGCTTGGTGTGCCGCAGAGCGTCGTCGTGAAAGACTCCTCTCCTATAATCTTGGCCAACCCAAAATCTGCCAACTTGACGGACAAGTTCTTGTCGGTCAACAAGATGTTTTCAGGCTTGATATCTCGGTGGACGATGTTTCGTTCATGCAGATACTTCGTCCCCTGGAATAGTTGGATGAAGACCTTGCGCGTCTCGGCCTCGGTCAGCTTCTGCTTGGTCACAATCAGATTGAAGAGTTCGCCTTCGGCAGCCAGCTCCAGGACCAGATATACTCCATCAAGCTCGTCGAAGGTCTCTTTCAAGCAGAGAACGTTTGGATGGCTGACACTCATCAGGACGGCAATTTCTTGCTCCAGGCCTTCAGTCTGCGACTTCTGCGACTCTCCCATTCGTCTCTCGAACTTTTTGACCGCGAACTTGAATCCTGTCGATCTTTCCACGCAGAGGAAGACAGTTGCAAAATGACCCTTTCCTAGTTGCTGTAGTATCCTGTATCGCGAATTGAAAGCACTAGAATCTCGATTTCTCGGGTAACGGAAAACGAATCTCGCCTCGTCCAAAATCGTGATTTCGTCGCCATCTTCGAGCTCTCGTCGCTTGTTGCGGCCCAGCAATGCTTCATTGACAAAGGTGCCGTTGCTTGACAAATCTTCAAGAATGGCTATCATATCACCGTTGCGCGACTCGTTGAAAATCAAGCAGTGTCGATTCGATACCGTCGGGATATCAAGGACCATGTCACACTCGGGGTGTCTCCCGATCAGATACCCACCGGCTGGGAATCCTTTCTCGTTCTTCCCCTGCTCGTACTCACTCTCTGCCTCAATCAGGTCCTTCTTGCCTCGTTTCTTGCTCTTGACAGTCTGCCTCGATACTTCGAGTGGTCTTGCTGGGGCGGGGCAAAAGGCTCTCCGCTTCATCTGTAACCGATGGCCATTGTCGGTCAGTGGGAATAAGTAACCCCAGGTACCATCCTCGTCAGTCAAATCAGGTTCTATATCCCGCGGAGGGTATATGAATTGTGATAATGGCTGCGTGTCTTGGGGAGGCGAGGACTGAGGAAGCGCCGGTGAGGCTAGGGGCGTGACATGGCGGATTTGGCTTGGTCGGCCTTCTGGAGGAGTTGCTGTGTGCTCCTTGTATTCGGTGGCGGTGGACTCGTGGTTCGTCAAGGGAGAAGGTAGATAATGGTTCTTGAGCGGTGTCTGCTGCTGCGGATCTTTCTGGGACTGTGAGGAGATTCTCTGTGAACGACGAGGCTTTTTGATTTCCTGGTCGTCGCCTGTGCTGCGCTGTTCCAGCCGTGTCAGACCCAAGGGGACACATAAGATGCGATCTTCTCACTCTATTGCGCTTCAGGCTGCTCCTCTCCGTCTTGGGAGACATGCCCCCCTAACCGGTAAACGAGGGCGGATTAGCACCTTTCGGATCAACCTCTTCGGCCTCAGACGGATCTTCGAAGGAAAATTCGACGGGTCCAAGACCATCCGTGCCTTATCAGGCTTGGAGTATCACGCTCCAGCTTCTGAGCCTGGCTTGTGCCTTTCTCTAGCCGTTGAGGTCCGAGCGGAAGAATGGGCTAAGACGAATATGCTTGTTGAAGGAGACCGGAATTCAAAAACGAGGAGGTTCGCAACGCGCAGTTGCAATTGGAGCGCAGCCGCAGCAATTGGTGAGCATATCACGTGCTGTGGACTGGGCGCCTGGGCGCCTGGGGAGCCTGGACCACATTGGCCGCTTAACTAGCTACGAACAGTGTAGCCCCGAGCCCAGCTAATAGGCACGCCCAATAGAATTGTCTCTACTCCCCATGAGCTCCATCGATACGAGGTAACTCGTACGAGCATTGCCGCTTCGGGCCAAGGCCAACAAGATCGCAGTGGAGACCCCCGTCATCATGTTTCCTTTGATTCTTCTGTGACTTCTAATGTGGCCTTACCAAGTCGCCGCCTATGCTCTGACGCGGCCAGCTACGGCGAGATGGACGTGTACGCTGTCGCTTCCTTCACACCTACTATTGATTTACTAACATCATTACAGCGGCCATGGAGGACTGCGGCGGCTGGCCTTCTCCAGACTCGCGGCCCTCTCTTCGGTGCGGTCGTCGACGCGAGAAGCCGACTTCAAACGACTCACCTCTTCGATGCCCTCGCTCAAAGCCTCGGGAGGTGGCGGCATCTTTGATGGAGTCCTTCGCTCGATCGCGCCCACGTCTCGGGTGCCCATGAGCCATCGCGAGTTTGACGTGCTGCTTGCCCTATGCGCCAGCGCTCACGACCTACATGATCTCTCGCATGCCGACCGCCTTGTCAAACAGTTGACGGCATACCTTCCCGAGTCTTACTCGCAACTATTCTCCCCCTCGCCATTCATTCAGGAAATCCGACCAGCCCCATGGACCGCTCTCACGTACCAACTCACCACGGCTCTCCTCGTCCTCGGCCTCCGATTCCCTCCGCTGAAAGAAGCTGTGTCGGCTAGCATCAAAGAATATGTACAAAACTGGTCCCAGTCAGCTTCTGCTCTGACTTCGCTGAATGTCGGTGAACAAGATGAAGAGCAAGGAACCGAGACTCAGGAGATCGCAGCGGCCACGGTATCCTTGATTGGGTTTCTGGATGCCGCTGCCATCCATGAGAATTTTTGGACTGCCTATGAGAGAGTCGAGCTCATCCGGAACCTAAAAGAAGCTCTTTCGGAGCGATTCCTCATAGCCCTCGAGACTGCTTCATCAGCCATTCGAAACTCGGCTTCCTCCGAGGCCGGTGAACGAGACTGGAGAAAGTACTTGAGGAGATTTGCTGCCCAGGGATTACCTGTCGGAGCTATGATGCTGCAGAAAGGTTTTGTCAAGCTGGTACTGGCATGCACCGCCAGAATGCTTTGTGATGAACATACAGTGCAATGCGGAGATATCCTCGACCAGTATATTGCTGGCACTCATATTAATCGCGCCAGAGATGACAGTATCACCGACGACATGATTGAATATCTGGTGGATACCATCACTGAGCAAATGCGCGTCTTGGAGGATGGCTCTGACTACCTACAGCTGAGCTCCGTGTGGCAGCAACGCCTAGCTTTTTCAGTAAAAGCATACGCACTGGAGGCATACTTGCACTGCCTGGTCCTCGATGACGATATTGCGGATGCCGAAGACCTCGCTGCATGGCTGGAAGATTCCATTGCAAACCAAGTCCAAATGACAGATTCCGACCTCGCGGATATTGTGCTAAAGAGCCTAGCCGTCGTTGCCAAGTACGTGCCCGAAGGTGCGAACAACTATGCTCGAATCCTGTTGAGATTTATTGTCCGGGGCACTTCGAGACCAGATGCGGTGACCATCGCTGCACAAAGTCTATCACATATTCTACGCATGCTGTCCCAAGATGCCGTGATCACAACAATATACTCCTTGGGAAACGTTCTCAGTTCACAAACAGGCGCAGAAAAGACCCATCAACTCCATGGCACCGCAGAAGCCAACGGCCACAGTGGGTCTATGTCGTCGACCACCCGGCTACGGACTGGAAGCGTGATCTCATTGTCATTGAGTGGGGACGAAGAGACATCACTGGTGTGCGGGAATGTTGCCCATGCCATCGTGGTCATAGCTACCGAATGCAACGACAGTAAAATCATCGCACTCGTACAGATGATGATGTTACAGAAAGTCGGGAGGATCAGTGTGGTGGTGGATGCTCACATTGTCCAAGAAGCCGCAAAGCTTTCCATTTCTGGGAAAGAGAACGAATTCAAGACACTCTTGAAGCTATACACGCGGTTGCATCACGAGGCTGTCGTCCAAAACAACACTCCCCTTATAGAAGCTGTCCGAAACGCACAGGAATACCTGGCATTGAACTTGGACAACCGTTCGCCGTTGTTCAAGATCTATGCCATGCAATTGCTGGAACGGATCCTCAGCAAGGGGGATGTGGTTGAGGGGGAATTCAAGCAATCCGCAGAGGTGGAACAGGCTGCAAAGGAGATAGCACCTCTTCTCAAGCCTCTGTCGATCTTGGCTTCCCGGAAACCTGCTCTTACAATAGAAAGCACCCTTGCTGAAGACACTGATATCCTGGCCATGGCCAGGGAAGTCTGGTATAATGTGGCTGTGCATGGGATTACTCTACAGTCGCGCATCGGGCAACAACACTACGAGGAGCTACGAGTTCTCGCAATGAACTCAATGCCTCTTGTGGACGACGACCGTGCGGAACTTTTGGAGTCGGACGTGGAAATCAACACGGTACTGAGGAGAGGCATGAATCCACAGCATATGCAGGCGCAGAAGAAGGCCTTGATCGCGGTCATACCAGACAAGGAATCCGAGATCGGCAAGCTGAGCTATCAGAAAGTTGTGTTTCTGAATGCAGTCTTCCTGGTCGAGAGTCTCCGCGCTTCTTCCGGGAGCTGTGCAGAGATTTTGGACTACTTCGTTGACCCGAGCACGCAGACAAGCCATATGGGAGCGTGCCTGAGCTCGATAGCCAACAAGGTCGTGGACAGATACACCCAAAAGGCTGTTAGTGCAAAGGAAGACGACTTCAGCGCTCCATACGTCTCACGACAACTTGCTCGAATTCTCAGTGGTTGCTGTCATCGAAGCAGTAAAATGCAAGAAGTCGCCAGAGCTGCAGCCAACCACATCATCACCTTTGCACCTTCGGCCTTGTGCCAGAAATCGGCTTTGTTCGCCTTGCTCGAGCTACTGTCGTTAATGTGGTCGAGTTGTTTGGATGCTGATACTGATGAGTACGAGTGGCGTCCTACGCTGACCTCCACTAGAGGCAAGATCACGGTCGAGCTGTCCGATGATTACGCATTCCGCCGACGTACTGAACAAAATCTGCATAGTGATGCTCGGAAATGGGTTACGATGGTCATGGGGGTGGCGCCTCTGGATGTGAAGGGCCTCCTTCAGACCTATCTCTCCGAATTCGATGATACAGGCGCATATGGCCATATCTCATTGGGCAGGTCTTTTGCTCTCGAAATGGGCTCAATGATCCCTCCAATGGATTACAGGCTGAACGCACTTGACCACAAGAACGAATCCGCCAATATTAACATGGCCTCCGATTTCATTGCTCAGTACACTACAAGGCAGGAATATCGATTCACGGGAGTGCCTGATCATCAACGAGAAAACACATACATCGATGATGCGACGGGCCGGAGGTCGTCGATGGGACGGGCCGCTGCTGATTCGACATCGATTCTACATGATGCGCTCGTTGATCTCCAGAACAGAATACTTCAGAAGGCACACGTGAGAAACTCCGAGGTCAAAGATGTGCTACGGCGTGCGGCAGCGCTCCTTTGTCAAAGCAAGAAATCTCAAACGGCGATTGTGCACCTCTTGGTCAATATACCTCTTGCAATCTTTACCAAAGAGTCCATTAAGCTTGGAATCTCGCTGTGGTTGGGTGTCATCCATGAGAACATCAGAATGGAGCCGAGGATTCTGACTGAGGTCGCACAAGCCTGGGAAAGGACTATCGATCGGAGGCAGGGCATTTTCAATCCCAAGTTCAAGCATATCGATCCATTCTATGTCAAAGAAGAATTTGCTCCATCCGACAGGGCGGCTCTGCAGAAGGAAGCACAGACGGCCCACAACACCATTTCACCGCATTTCAGGCTGCTGCAGTTCTTTGAAAGTCATTTCAACGCCATCAGGCTGGGGAGTGCCAATACTCAACGGACCTTCATCCGGATGCTTGAGCGCACTCTCCGTGGCTTCCTTCATGTTCACGGACATCCGCTTCTGCGCGACCTTCAATTTCACGTGGTTCTCTTTGCACTTCGGATGCTTAAACTAGGAACATGCTTGAATAAACTGTCCCAGTGGAAATTGAAGGATCTTATCCTGTCGGTCGGTCTGCAATGGTTCGCAAAGCCCCCTTGTTGGTCGTTTGGCGGCAACCGTCTACAACTGAAAGCCGAGATCCGGGTGATGCAAGATGTGTTGGCGCAGCTACAGGCCAGTCGGGGACCCATCTTGCCAGCATCGGCTACAAGGAAAGACCCTCAACAAAAGCAGGAGCTACTTGAAGCACTCCTCACAAGCGAAGTAACGCGGCTCAGCGTTTGGCTGTCGCCGCTTGCACACGGCGGACAGGCTGCTCAACTGGACAATCAAATCGCAGCGTTCGTCCGTGTCGCATGGGCGGAGGATCCTGCCCTGGCCATCCAGCTGGTGAGCCGATTCACGAATGAGCAGACCCGCCGAGATGTCCGTTTCCTGCTCCTGAATCAGCCAGAAAAGGCCTTGCACGAAGCCAACGCGGTGGACTTAGTGCTCGGAGACGGTCTCTCGTCGGATCTGTCCTTCCAATTAAAGTATCTGCTATACTGGAACCCAGTGAATCCTATACAGGCTGTCACCTACTTCATGCCTGCCTTTGGGAACCATCCATTCATCCTTCAGTATGCCATGAGAGCGGTCGAGAGCCATTCCGTCGATGTGACATTCTTCTACGTCCCCCAGATTGTCCAGAGCCTGCGGTATGATACGCTAGGCTACGTTGAACGCTACATCATCGAGACGGGCAAGTTCTCGCAGCTTTTCGCTCACCAGATCATCTGGAACATCAAGGCCAATGCCTACAAAGATGAAGACTCACAGATACCAGACCCGGTGAAGCCAACCCTGGATAAAGTCATGGACAGCCTGATTTCGAGTTTTTCTGGGGCCGACAAGGACTTCTTTGAGCGAGAGTTTGCGTTCTTTAGTGAAGTGACCGACATTTCGGGCAAGCTCAAGCCATTCATCAAGAAATCCAAACCAGAGAAGAAAGCGAAGATTGAGGAAGAATTGCGCAAGATCAAGGTCGATGTAGGCGTGTACCTGCCCAGTAATCCGGACGGTGTTGTAGTAGGCATCGATCGCAAATCTGGCAAGCCTCTGCAATCCCATGCCAAGGCGCCGTACATGGCGACGTTCCGGATCCGGAAAAAGAAGGAAACGCCAACCGAGGAGATGAACGAGTTGATAGAGTCAGCCCAACAAGAGCAGACTCAGAAGAATGCCCGGAGGGGCCATAGTCGCAGGAATACCAGTGATATCTCCAGCGCCGAACTGGCTGACACAAACCCGTCGACTTACGAGGTCTGGCAGAGTGCCATCTTCAAAGTTGGAGACGATTGTCGGCAAGACCTCCTCGCATTGCAAATGGTCGCCGCCTTCCGCGGCATATTCAACTCTGTCGGCCTAGACGTCTACGTCTTCCCCTACCGGGTCACCGCCACCGCACCTGGCTGTGGTGTCATCGACGTGCTCCCCAATTCGATAAGTCGAGACATGCTCGGCCGCGAAGCCGTCAACGGACTCCACGACTATTTCATCACCAAATACGGTGGCGAGCATTCGGTACGATATCAAGAAGCACGATCTGAATTTGTGAAATCCATGGCTGCATACTCTGTCATCACGTACCTGTTGCAGTTCAAAGACCGGCATAATGGAAATATCATGGTTGATGACAAGGGTCACATCTTACACATTGACTTTGGATTCTGCTTCGACATCGCCCCTGGAGGTGTGAAATTTGAGCGCGCACCCTTTAAGTTGACGCCAGAAATGATTGCGGTGATGGGTGGTGACGATCCGGCTACGTCGCAGCCATACCGCTGGTTCGAGGAACTTACGATCAAGGCATTCCTCGCATCTCGTCCCTATTGCGACAAGTTGAGTCACTTGGTGAGTTTGATGCTGGACTCCGGGCTGCCTTGCTTCAAACCGGAGACGATGCGGAATTTCAAGAACCGGTTTGTCCTAGAGAAGAGCGAGAGGGAGGCGGCAGATTTTATGCTCGGGTGTATCAAGAAGAGTGCGGCGAACGTGACAACCCGGGTGTATGACGAGTTTCAGTTGATCACTAATGGGATTCCTTATTAGAGTCTTGAGAGAAAGAGAGTGGACGAAGAGACTGGCTGTTCGAAGCGCTCGCGAGTCTGAAAGCGCTGAAAGGAGGGCAATAATAATCTGTACACATATACTGAATCAAACTCTGGAGCAAGCAAGTCAGGGTTGCTCCTTCATTCTGAAGCACGACTCCCGCTTGATGATTCTCGAAGTATTCCTCAAGTCCAGCAGGGACTGACCCAGCACTGAGATTCAAACCAATCTTTCGCTCATGATGCCACTGGCTGAAGATACATTCGTGGAGATCATCGTGAAACCAAGCCAACCTTCGCCAACATGTCCAAGATCAAATTCCATAGATACGGGAGCACCTTTAACTGCTCGATCAATAAGGGCGCAACGATCACGAAAATGAGCAGCACTTTCAACAGTCAGCATCGCGATGGTCCAGACGCGGAACAAGCAAAAGAAAAGGCGGACAAAACATCATTGCTCAACGATTTGGTTCCACCATTCGACTCGCCCCGAAGCAGAGGGGTGCAAACATACCGACGGCAGCAACTCCGACAGGGCTCTTCTTGACCTCCTTCTTCTTGATGGCGGACTCGGGCTTTCCCATGCGACGCTCCACGCCTTTGGCATGTTTTTCATTGGCGCGGCGTTGTGCGGGAGTTTGGGCCTGCAGCTATCAGAAGCTGGACAAAATGATGAGAGGAAGGAAAAACAGCCTACCATCGCTGTCGAGGATGATATGTACGAGAATGTGGAGTGATTGTACCAAGGTCGAAGTTACCTGATGGAGAGATGTCGATGCTTATTTCGAGCTCTGACTGGAGAGGTCGACTATTCTTCCAGGTGGCTCGTAGAATTCAATCTTGCTGTAGCTGATGACTCTGGTCGTCTGAAGCCTAACGTTCGGAAACGATCTGAATAAGATTCGAAAGAGATCCAAGAAGATGTTGCCACATAGTGTTCAACATGAGGCGACTTTAGCCCCTTTCGCGAGTCGACAGAGTGGCTTGATGCCAAGATCAAGGTACGGGCGAGTACAGAGCAACATACCCCAGCTGCTTCTTACTTCCCCGTAGCCCGCACGTGCCCTGGTGCCTCATCAAGTCACGTGGGTGGATACCTGCTACGACCGGCTCTCTCCGGCTGGTGTCGGCAGTGGCGTCATTTCATTACACCTCCTCCTTCCTCCTCCGTACCCTCTCGACCCCAAGGTCACTCGCAGATCACAACATCGCATCCACCTCTAGCATCACCGCCAGGGAAGCTTGTCACCCCCAGAGAAACTGCACTCTCCGAACTGCGAATACGAGGACCACTCGACTCAGCAAGATGCTTCCTTTCCAATGACGTGGAGAGCAACGCTGCGAGGTATATACCTCACAAGAGCCAAGAATGATCACCATGCATAGCTTCAACACCATCTCGACTTGTGTTGCATTGTCCCTGCACCTATCTGTTGCTACCTATCAAAATGTCGAATCTCTCCCACCAGAAGCTTGGCGAGGGATCTGTCGCCATACTTCAAGAGGAAGGCAGCACCTACAAGCGCAGTTTGCGTTATGCAGGTTGACAATGATTTCGTCCGAGCATGTAGCAATATAATCCGGGCAGCTCCGGCTCCCCAGGAAGTATACCTTCTCATCCCAAGCATGCTTGTTGATGGTTCGCCATGAAGGTAAACAAAGCGCTCCCTTTGCTTGTTCTTCAGGCAACTTCGGTGCTTGCTCATACAGGAGAGCATTTCCATCCCCGAGTATTTGACCCTCGTCAAGCTCTCTCGAAGCGTCAGGAAGCCCCGTTTCCTCCAATCCTCGAACCAAACGAGGCCATCTTACTCAACTCATTTGACAATGCTACTATTGAGAGCTGGAGCTACTACTATACTCACGGCCTACATCTGGCAGGAACGAATAAGTCGCAAGCTCAATGGACAGCCGATCGTTGGAGCGAGTTCGGATTCACTTCCGGCTTAGCCTCATATTGTAGGTCCCTTTCCTCTGTCCGCCAGCTGCATAATTGATCAAGGTAGATGTGTACCTAAACTATCCGGTGTCGCATTCGTTGACCGCGACGCTTGCCAACGGGTCGACTTATACGCCCCAGCTTGAAGAGGAAGTGCTATCGGAAGATGAAGTCACGTCTTATCCAAACAGGGTTCCGATTTTCAACGGGTATTCTCCCTCTGGTAATGCGAGCGCCGAGTACGTCTATGTCGGGCGAGGTCAGAAGGTCGACTTTGAGCGCCTCAGGGCATTGGGAGTGCCATTAGAAGGCAAGATCGCCCTGTCACGCTACGGAGGGCCATTCCGCGGCCTCAAGGTAAAGAATGCCCAGGACTATGGCATGATCGGTGTCATTCTCTTCACCGACACGGCAGACGATGGAAACATCACCGAAGCAAACGGCTACGCCGCATATCCTCACGGACCGGCACGGAACCCCACCTATGTACAACGCGGAAGTGTTGAGTTTGTGTCCACCTACTCTGGCGACCCCGACACGCCAGGTTATGCTTCCAAACTCGACTCTCCGCGTGCTGATCGGTCTGTTGTCATACCACAAATACCCTCTCTGCCAATTTCGTGGAGAACCGCGCAGCCACTTCTTCAAGCTCTGGACGGTCACGGAGTCGATGGCAAGACGGTGAATCGGACGAACTGGGTAGGCAAGCTCAACGCGACCTATTCGACCGGCCCCGCCCCGGGCGTTACGATTTCCTTCTCTAACGTGGCGCGAGATGAAATCACCTGGATCTGGGACAGCATCGGCATCATCAATGGAACCAACCAGGACGAAGTCGTCATCCTCGGCAACCATCGGGACGCCTGGATTGTCGGCGGAGGCTCTGACCCGAACTCCGGGTCAGCTGTGCTGATCGAGCTGGCCAAAGCATTTGGTGCACTGCTCAAGACCGGATGGAAGCCCAAGCGGACCATCATCTTGGCGAGCTGGGACGCCGAGGAGTATGCCTCGGTCGGCAGCACTGAATGGGTGGAGGAGTATATCCCGTGGCTGAAAGACTCGGCGATCGCTTATCTCAATGTCGATCAAGCCGTCGCTGGACCTGATCCCGCTCTATCTGCTACCCCTGAACTGCACGATGTTGTCGCGGAATCCCTCCAGAAAGTGGTATATCCATATCACGGCTACAGCAACCTCACACTGTATGACGTGTGGTACGGCCTGAGCGATGGCGAATTCGACGTCCTAGGGGCAGGCAGCGACTACGTGGCTTTCTTACACAACGGCATTGCCTCACTGGACACTGGTGCCGGACAAGGCCCTAATGATCCTATCTACCACTACCACTCCAGTTATGATACCTTCCACTGGATGAAGACTTTTGGAGACCCCTATTTCACCACGCACAAGGCTGTAGGTCAGCACCTGGCCATATTGGTCTATCACCTTGCCAACGACGCCATCATCCCCTTCAATGTCGAGAACTACGGCATCCACCTGACGTCGTATCTGAACGATCTCCGCGACCTGGTGGAGTCGGAGAACGCGACCAGCTCGGTGGACTTGTCTCCGCTTGAGGACGCCATTGCGACATTCAATGCTTCCGCCGCGGCAATCACAGCTTTCATACAGAACTCCACCACGGAAGCGGACTTCAAGATCATCAACTCCAAGTTGCGGGACTTCAGCCGTGGCTTTGTTTCTCAAGGTGGGCTGCCGACCCGAGAGTTCTACAGGCATGTCGCGTTTGCGCCTGGTTTGGACACGGGATATGCTCCTGTTACATGGCCTGGCGTCACAGAGGCAGTACAAGACGGCAATTTGACGCTGGCCAGTTCATGGGTGCTGAAGTCGGCGAGGGCTGTGGAGGTTGCGGCAGGGATTTTGGCGCCGTGAACGCAGAGCTGCGGTCAATCAAATCTCCGATCCACGAATCGCGCAGTATTGCAAATTGTAGGTGGGCTTGACCGATGGCGAGGAGGTTGTAACGTATGCAGTAATGTGGACGCTGAGTTCAAGAACCGAGCTGGGGAGGGGAACATGAGGCTAACCCAATAAGGGAAGGCGGGCTTGGCTTCTTAGCGCTTGTCGTTTGTTTCCGCTCACCTCTCATTTTGATCCCTCTCACTTTCTATTCTTCCTCATTCTTCATCCTCAATAGGATGAGCTGTCAGCTGGCTCTCGCATAGGCCACGACACTCGCACGGGGTCCCACGATTTACTTCCTCATGATGGAGGCATATATACGAGCATGAGGTCGTGGCAGCGAACCTGGATGACCTGACCTCCAAACCACTAGATTGCGAAAGTCTCACCCGCCTCGCACTCCGTCTGAACATATACTTGTCCGGTAGGCACATCTGATGCTGGAGAAAAAGTCGACTTCTTGTTTGCACTTCATTTTTTGTCCGAGGAGCTATAGCGTCCTCAGTATCTGGGCAATTTCATATTGTGTATCGATACCGTGCGTGAGTGTTGTCACTGCTGTAGCCTTGAGATGTCCTTGAGTTCTCTCGGGACATGAATTCTCTCGGGACATGAGTTCTCTCGGGACATGAGTTCTCTCGGGACATGAGTTCTCTCGGGACATGAGTGGTGATTTGCAGGATAGGGGCGCAGGAGACCCTATATCATCTGACAAACCGACGGCGTAGTGATGTGGATTGCGCTGCCAAAGAAGTGCACTATCCATGTGGGCTATGCTTCTCTGTCACACTGGTAAGTTGACGCTCGTGCTATTCAAAATCTTGGCAGCGAAGATGGAAGTGAAGGTGCAAAATGTCACTGCCTCACCATGCTGCGTTTCTGCGACTTCGGCGTCCCGAATCTCCTTCCGAATCGTTACGGCGTCTACTGCTACAGATTACAGACATGCCCAGACGTGGAGTTTCCCTTCTTAACGGCAAGCAGGGCGGCGACGCAAGCACATCCAGCAACGGTCACGGTCGAGATAATGCACACCGTGGCAGGACTCGAAAGACTGTGAAGACGAGCATTGTCGAACCGAAGGATGGGGACGCGTTGAGACCACTGCGCCGCAAGAGAAAGGCGCCTGGGCCAGACCCACAACCTCCCCCCGACACCTCAAGTCTCCTTTGTGCCGTCTATCTATCCATCTACTTAACTACCTACCTATCTATCTACCTGTCTACCTCGACTATACTCTATTGTATTTTCCCTCCTGCCACAACCCGCTCCCATCCCGTCGCAAAGTCGCTCTGACAACATAGCGTCTCTTCATCCCTCCTCTCCTCCTGTTCAACCCTAGATTCCGCCCCCCTGTCACATTCCTTCCACGTTCCCGAACTGATTCCCACGCAGAAAGTGGTCCAACCAACGGCCTCCTCGCCCTGTAACCCGTGAGTATGGTCCCCGAGTATGGCGTTACCATCAATTTATATATACGGCGATACTGCACGAGTTCTCGTTTGGCCACCAAAACGAATTATGTCTCGGTAGGTACGACACGGTACTTACACACACACACACACACACACACAGAGCTAGACCTAGAGCTCGACCTACAGTATCCCGAACCGTCCGTGTAATGAGTGCGGATGGATGAATGCCAAAAAAAATAGAGGGAGCACGATACCTAAGTCGTACTCCGTACTTCCTCTTCACTTAGTCGGCGTAAGGCGTACTCGCGTCCCGTGCGTACCTAGCGTGCCTACCTATCGAATTTGAGAGTCTACTAATACCGATGTACCTAGGTAGGTATGTAGATTAAGAATGTCCACAGTGAGTACATCCTGGGTATGAGTCCACGACCACGGATCACCCGTGTGCGTCGAGCGGTGATAGACAGCCAGTGTACGGACTACACCCAGTAGGTACACAGTACCGCGCGCACGGTACAGTACAGTACAGTACATTACAGGACGGACTTCGCGGTTCATCCAATGTCACGCGCGCGTAAGCATTGTGTCTTTACCTAGGTAGGTACCCACCAGAGTCAGAGTGTCGCTACCCATCCCCACCTAGGTACTTGCTGTAATACAGTACAGCAGGTACATAGTCGGGGGCTAATTATCCTACACAGGGCATGACAAGGCTTGGAAAATGGGGACTGACTGCCTCGGGTATAGAGTAATTACGGACTAGTCGAATGCGGGGCATAGATGTAGCGACGGAAGTATAAGTTTACCTTGAGAGACACCACTTTGCGATTACCCTTGTAACCCCAGCAAGGAAGCTTGAGGGGACATGAATACAAGCGACTCAAGGCTAGTGCATACAAAGATCCAGACATAGTATCTTATAACTGCTTCGCTACGCTCCGCAGGATCATCGATCAGGCTGAAGCATCATGCCTCAACCGTACCTCTTGTGGGTCAATTCCCGCCCGAAGCCAGAGTCGGGGGTCGACGACGACCTCTGGGTGAAATGGTACACGGAAGAACATGTACGTAAGATATCTGGTCTTATGTCGCAGTCCATTTTCGTTCTGACTCTTCTTCTTCTCCTCGCTGCAGGTCCCCGATCTAGTCAACACCAAGACGGCCGTGCGAGCGGCCATGTACAGAGAGACGTTTGACTTTCCGCTCGCCTCCAAAGAGCACCACCCGCGCAAATACCTCGTCCTGTACCAAACTGATCTCGAGGAACCGTTGAGGTCCAAGGAATATCTGGACGGTGTGCGGCACTCCAGCGGGCTCTGGACGGCCAATAAACCCACCTCGGAGGTCGGGGACTTTCATGCCCGGAATTACAAGTTGATCCAAGATTATGACCCGGACGGTCGGGGTGAGAGTGAGTTCTGTGTCCTTGCGAAGTGGTGTGGGGGCTTGTCCCCTGAAGTTACTGTGTTGCTGACGCGTTTTCATTCAAGTTGCTCCTCGGTTTTGCGTGACGGTCGAGATGGATCCCGTGGACGAGGCCGACTTTCACAAATGGTATCAGGACGAACACCTCGACATGCTGCACAAGTTGCCTGGCTATCGTCGGTCGTCGAGGTATGTCATTGGGCCACAGACCGCTCTGATGGACGGAGAGCCCCCGAAGTACTTGGCCATTCATGAACTCGATGGGTTGGCCGGGATGGACAGTAAGGAGCTTCATGCTGCCAATAGCACGCCCTGGACGGTCAAGCACGTCAATGACAGCAAGGTGTTTATCGCGAGAGCCTGGGAATTGCTTTACTCCCAGGGGTTCTGAATGACCTGGAGTGGAAGTCTCGTAGCCTCGCAGGCAGTCAACTGCACATAGTTGAGTCTGCAAAACTCGCATGCTCTAGTGTTAGAGTGGCTCATGTTGTTTTATTCACACTGCCGCAGCCGTTGCCATGACGGATTCCATCCACGGCCAAATGCTCTCGTTTGCAGGTGGATATCCCATGTGCAGCATGTTTTCATAGAACCGGGCTTCCTTGGGTTTCCCGTAATTCATCAACAACATGCTGTCTTCGATCGGCACGAGACCGTCCAGAGTGCCATTGACGAGAAGCAACCTGCAGGAAGGACCGTTCACGATGCCGTTCGTGACCAGGCTGTAATCGCCTTGTGCTTTCTCCTTCATCTCTTCCCAGTCTTTGTAGCCGTATTTGGCGACGTACGCTTCGCTGAGGATGAAGGGGTACTCGTGGTCGTCGACACGTTCCAGCCACTCTCGACTCAAGAAGTGATGAGATCCCGCTCCCTGGGCGACCACGCCGGCAAGTCGCGAGTGATGCGTATGTGCCAGTCGATTGGCGCAGTATCCGCCGGCGGAAAGGCCCCAGGCCATGCATTTCCGCATGTCGAAGTAGGGCTGCTTGTCCATCCAGTCGAGGATCGCTGTGAATAGTCGTTCGTGAGACGTCGGGTCACGGCGATCCGCAGGGCAATCGGCCGTCCCGGGGATCTCGGTAATGACACAGCCCCAGCCTCGGGCGAGAAACTCATCTGTGCGCTCGCTGTGGAGTTTGAACAGGTTAGTGGCACTCACAAAAACCTGGGGTGGCGCACCTGTTATCTGGCCGATGACCGTCTAGACCTGTTATCAACAGCACGACAGGGCACTTGCGCTCGCTGCTCGCTCCCTTAGGTAGTCTGACGAAGAGGGGGATCTCCTTGCCGTCTGCCTCCTCGGCAGCAGTGTGTGGTATCTTGACCTCTTTCATAGGAGCATCCCACAGGCTCGCCCCTCTCAAGTAGACCTGCTTCTGCAACTCGAACGCTTTCCTCTTGACTCCCGAGCCGGCGTCGAGGGAAGGATATCGAGATATTCGGTAGACGCAGGCGGCTCGCTTGAACAATGCGGCCGCTTTGAGGCGGTCTGATCCTTGAGCTGACATGGCTGCGTCGGTGAGCTTTCCAGCGACAGGGAAGAAATATTCTGTGTATTTGTCCGTGTAGGCATCGTTCACGTTACCCTTGATCAGGCTCTCGAAGATTGGCTCAAAGTCTTCGAGCTTGCCGTCGTGGAAAGGGTAGACACCCAGCGAGCAGGGGAACTTCCATTTCGTCTCCCAGAGAGCTTTCACCCCGTCTAGATGAGGATATCGCTGGTAGAACTTGTCGCCCAGGATCCAATTGACCATGTTGTCTGCGGCGGAACAATCACAACTACGCATGGACCTTGTCACCCACTTGTCCACTTGTCCACTTGGTCAGAGAGACGGTGAGTGGGACGAACATCGGGTCAACTCCGTCAATATGAAATTAACCCAGTACCGTGTCTGTTGTGACGCCATAACGCAAGGCACGTGACTGCGGTCATTATCTTACAGGAGACAGTTCCATCATACCTAGTTACCTAGGTACACAATACCATCCATGCCTAACCGCCCCCATCTTACTACATACCGTACGTGACACAGTGTCCCGGAAACAATCCACATGTTTTACTTTGTACACGGTGTGACACTATTCTCTGCGATCAGAGATCAAGCCAGTCGTCCGATATCGCGCAAACAAGTACACCGGCACCGATTGTCTTCCCAACAAGTACCAGCTCAGCCTTTAACCAGTCCTTCATTCCTCCATCAAGCCCGCCGATGCTCGAGGCAACGCTCAAAGGCCACGCGGTGAGGTTTCCATGGTAGGGCTTGATTTCTTCGTCTTCACGCAGAATACACTCCTGTTCCTCTGCTGTCTTGGAGGCTGGTGCAACGGCGAACCTCTCAAGTGCAAATGGTATGCTCGAGGACAAGGCGTCCGCCATTACCCTGATCTGCAAGCAGCAGTCTTCCTCTTCACGCTGTTGCTCGCCAGCAAGATCATCCGATGAAGGTCGAGTGATCTCAAGAATTCTCAGCCGCGCTCTGTTGAGCAGCATCGTCGTCGCGAAATAATTCAGCCAGACTGGTGCGTAGGCAACACTCGAGTAACTGTAAACGATTGGAGAGAAGAAGTGTTCCCTGGGTAGGGAAATGTGGGCGGGGATGAGGTGTCGTCGGGGACACCATGTGCTGGGAAGCCGTGAGGACCAGTCTTGCAATGCTTTATTCAGCGTGTCTGCGTCGGTGTTCAGGGTCCGCGCCCGCCAGTACACCTCTTGACTACGACGGTCGTGCAGCAGTCTCTCCTGCAGGATGTGCTTCAATTGGTGTCGAAGGCTGGCCACCCTTACAAGTAGCTGGTCGTATTCGAGTTCTGGCCCATACTCGCCAAAATGCGCGCCATTTGCCATCCAGACCGGCACTGCCATCTGCCGCAAGAGGAACGACCTGATGATTCCGCGGCGTGAATGTTTGATGATGTCCGAGGCCGGCTGCATGATTTCGACACGATTTTCGTGCCAAATCTTCAGAACGACAGTCGCGCCGTCGTGATGGGAATAGCTTCTGAAGGCTGTAGCGGACTGCACTTCATCAGGGGTGTGCATAGAGTCCTCGTACCGGCTCATGAGAAAGATGGCAAGCAGGGCAGCGTCGACATCCCGGTGAACCAGATTTGGCAGCGCGACTTGCGCGGTTCGCAGTAACTGGTCGTACTTCTCATGAGCTTCTGTCGCTGCTGCAGCAAGGTGCTGGGTTCGCGAAAAGACGGCGAGAGCCATGGAAGAAATCGCCAAGTCGATAAGTGAGTGCTTCGTAACAGAAGCCCACTGACAAATACTGTTCTGCACACTACCCACCAGCTTTCCCACGTCTGACGGTGTGCGCAGGTGGTAATTCAGGTAGTATACCAGGGCACGGGTCTGAAGGTCGACGTCCAACGCCCGCGCAACCCTCGAGCGAGGACCTCTGGGCCGCTTTACCACCCCACTCGCATATCGGTTTTCGACGTGAATGGCGAAGTCGTCGCTCGTCGCACGGACCTTGACGCATACTCGTCCGGATTTGACGCATCTGTGGCACGTCGGGAGACCTCTGTCGCACTGATCTGGTTACTTGGAGCCAGTGATGGGACGAGAGACTCTCTTGCCTTGATTCGTCGAACCTTACATGTCCGACAACCTGCACCTGCACTGGTATTCATTCTCGGAACCACTAGACTCAGGTCTGCCATGGCAGCTCACACGCCAACAGAAGATTGGGCGTGTCGTAACAGAAGTAGCAAGAAGCTGTGCCCGACACCAAGCATGCAACAATCGGTGCTTGCGGGCTTCGACCTCGGTATTTGGAGAACAATGAGTAGTTCTCAGTCGAACAAGTCAACTCTATCATTGTCAAAGGCTGTACGGAGTATGGTCGAAGGTTCAGGTCCGTTGTGCACGATCTTAAGGAGCTTAAGTCCGAGTAAACGCCTCGAAACGATGGTCGGCTTCAAGTCTACTCCGCGATGCATAGGTACGGTCTGTATTCACGACGACGAGATTGAAACCACCAAGACTTGAGAGAAGGCAGAATGGGTTTACTTGGTGAGGCTGAGCGTCAATGATGAAGGCAGTGTAGTGTCTAGATAATTGTCTGACCGTCCGCCACTGCCGAGTGCACCGCCGAGACAAAGTACATGGACCCAACGACAAAGATTGATGAGTGCAATCGACTGTATCGTCTAAACAGATCACCTGGATCGCAGCTTGCCACGAGCCACTCCCATGCGTCCATCCGATACTGGGACGTATTAGTGTGCGGGTTTGAAAGTCGTCTCGTCTCGGTACTGCTTCAAGAATGGTATTGGCAGTGAGCCAGCGGTCCCTCTTGACTCAATGGCGGGCTTGCCTTGCAACTGGGCCGCAGCAGGTAGGGAAACGTATCTCGAGACGACGGCGACATGCTTTGTCCTGAAGCGTTGAAATGCCTCAATGACTGGTCGAAAGGCCGCCTGCAGACCTGGATCCTCTGGGTGCCGGTCAATCACATCCCGCAGCGAAGGCAATAGCTCGACTGCCTCCAGAAAGTCTCTGTGTTTCTTCGGCATGTAGGCTCTCATCTCAACCAGCATCTTGGACTCGTGACGGATGCCCAGCATGTGATCGAGAAACTGGAAGAAAGTGCTCTGCGCCGCGCTACCTCCGACGCACTTGACAATCTCGTGGAGCCCGTTACTGCGTCTCAAGGTGACGCCGTCGGGGAGTCCCCGCTCCTCCGCTCCAGCACTACCTCCTAGCATGGGGCGTATCCTCTGGTAAAAAAATGTTGGATCACAGTTCTTGTGCAGAACAGCCAAGAGGTCTCCCATTTTTGAGAGCGTTGTGGCACAGATGTCAAAGATCGAGCTTAGATCTTGCGAGACGCCCTTTCGGTCGTCCAGTATCGCTTTGAGCATCGCTGGCACGAGCTTGGCACCTTGTGCCTCAACCATTACGGGAACCAGATTAAACGCGTCTTCGTCCCGTGTTCCAGTAAAGGAAGCGAAGGACGTGACACTCTGAAAGTCGCTTAGTGCTTGAGCTGTATCCACGCGGCCACCTTCAGATAGTGGTGTCCAATTCCATAGACAGATCCCAGCGTAGCTCAAGACGGGTCTCATACCAAGGTACTCGCAGACTTGGAGGAAAGGTTCGCCTAGGTTGGCTGGAACAATTTCTGAAGGCTTCGTCTTGTCTTGCCAGATATAGGCCTGAGTCAGAAAGCCGAGGACTACATACGCACGTTGCCAATGAGCCGGGGCGATGAGGTGACTCGTGCTGAGAAGCTCAAGCTCGTCGACTTTTGTCTGGAAGGTGGTCGATTCAAGGAGGCAGGGAAGATCTGAAATGAGCTTGCACCATGGTGCATAATAGGCTGGCAGCTCTGCGGGGCTCGCGGTGACAAAACCGGTCCCGAGGTCAACGTCGTAGTCTTGTGGGCTGGGGAGTGAGGGACGGGAGAGCATTGTTGGCGAGGTTCACGGAACGCTGTGTAACTCACTCGCAGTAAGAGGCAACGAGCCTCTACTAGACCACCATAAATAATACAATATACCCGCGTGTAAGCGAACTTCCCTCTCTCTCTCAGTTCACTGCGCCCTTGGAATGATCATGCAGTAAATGGAACTGTTTTAATTGGTCATTCTGCGTACCTTAGGGCTTGTTTAGTGCTCGGCCGCATCTCGAATGCGAAAGCATCGCAAAGACGTCCTGGTCGCAGTCGGCAAGTCGCTAAGGTTGTGCACTTACGAATACGAACTGAGGGTATACTGGTGAGCAGAGACAGGATCCACACAGGGTCTAACATGCGCCAATCTCCGGGCGGCTCATGATGAGACGAAAGCAAACGTGACACGTGGATGAAGTGAGAGTGAGGTGAATCTCATCAGGCAAAGCTTTCAGATTGAAGCGAGGCAGGTTTTCCGAGCCGCGACTCACGCTTTCGGGAGTCGCGACGCCTGTCTCCTTCTCCTTGGACAGTTGCGCATGGCCTCTTCGCTAGACACGTCGACTATGGTGATTTTATTACCTTTCTATCCATTATTTAGCCTGTTTGCCTAAAATTTGACCAGGATGACGTCCCGCGAGCCCTCCGCGGCGCCATCTGACGGCGACACCATCGACGACCAAGCCGACGAGACGAAACCTGGTCTTGTAGATCTTGACCACGAGCAGATCGAGTCTGTCGAAGGGGCCCCTGCAAGCTCTACCCCAACAAACAGTCGTCGAATCGGCCGGCAGAAAACCTCTTCAGGTCGAAAAGCAAGACCGCGGAAGGGCGCAATTTGGATACACGAGCAACCCCACGAAGGGACCGAAGATGAGGGCAGCGTCGTCTCCGCCACTCACTCCAGGACCAAGAAGTCAGAAGCAACACCTGAGTCAGACCTCCGGACGATCGGTACGGCAGTTGGCACCAGAAGACAAGCCAACGGCACCGTGGGCTCCGTGTATTCGGGTAGCAAGGTTAGGCATATTAAGAAGCCGGATGGAACACCGCTGTGGCGCAAAGAGATCCAGTTCGAGTTTTTGCAGCTGGTCATTGAGGATACACAACCCGTTTTCACACGGATCAGTGATGGCAAGACTGGCTGCTGCTTCTCCGACATCTACGTCGACTGTATGGCCAGAAGTTCAAAGACGAGCAAGATTCTGAAAGACAGGCTTCAGTTTGACAGGCAGGCTGCACATAACATGGCCATGATATGCCTCCTGGTCAATGTGGGCCGCATGAACACCACTCTGAACTTCTTCCCCGAGATGAGGGCCCAGCTGAGAACATATCACTCCATCCCTTCGCTACAGGCGTACAAGAGCCAGAGAGACTACAAGTCCTTACAGGACGCTCCCAGGCTAAAGAGTATCTTGAAAGGGGCCAGTGAAGACACCATTGAGCCTCGAAGCATTCAGGAGCTGAAGGCCAAGCAAGTTCCAAGAACGAATCCAGTTAACCTGATCTTCGTCTTATCCCAAGTTGCACCCAGAATCAGCGAGACACACTTCACCGACAAAGTCGACTTTTTCGACCTCGCCATGCGCCCAACCATCTCATCTGCAAGTAGGGCGAGAGCATTCTTGTGGCTCATGTGGTGGTATCTCGAATCGAACTTCACCAAAGAAGATGCTCTGAGAAATCCATACGGCCCGGGCGAATACAGAGACGATGAAGACCCCGACGACCCTGACACCGTACCACAGCTGGTGCCCAAATTGGTCATGATCACGGAGGAAGAAGGAGACGCTGAAAACGTTGACCCTCCAGAAGAGATTGCCTTTGCCGAGAAAATGACCCAAGAAAGGAAGCGGATAATGGCCGAGAACGCCAACGACCCGCCTCTTGTCATGGCCGACCCAGGGAACCCTGATCACAAAGCTCTCAAACGCCTAAAGAGGGGTGCTGCATACGCGGACGACGACTCACTGATCTCGGACGTCGATTCACGCGCTAGTCCCGGTGTAGGACGGTCTCCTGCTCCAGAAGCCCTGAATGCACATGGACATGTCATGGCCAGTGCGCTCGGAGGTCAAGCTGACAGTCTCGATGATGATTGGGAGGCGGTTGATCCTCACCCCGGCCGTGGGAGATACAAGCGTGTCAGGGGCAAGAACACTCCGACCCGCGTCAGAGGGATCCCCAGACAGAGTGATGGTCCAAGGAGCGTGTTCAAAGCAGGACGCAATGCCGGTACACCGGACACTGTCGATCGGTACCGAGCAACGCCCCAGCCTCTGCAACCCGGTGGTACTAACCATCCAGTCATCGGTCAGTTCGGCACACCGCGCGGCAAGAATGAGATTGACACGCTCCGAGCTGAGTCTGGCGGCGGAACAGCAGGCACCAAGGCTAGGGCTAGAACAGGCTACCAGCGAGAGCTAGAGGAGCACAGACAGCGCCGAGTCGAATGGGCGCTCAGGAGACGTCGCAGACATGCCCTCAAAGAGGCCCGGCAGATCAGACAGGGGGGCAGATGGTTGTTCAAAGCCGCCAGGCGAATCAGCGAGCTCCCTCCAACATATGACAGCGAAGAAGAAGAAGAGGGGGGCGGTTCTGGCTTTGGCGGCTTGCTTGGCCGCAGATGGTTTGGCGACACCAACGTCGACTCCGAAGCCAAGTCTCTCCCTGTTGGGTACGAGCCCGATGATTACGGCGAGGAAGTGGAATCGTGGGCAGGGCTCCTGAGGAGGACGGGAAGACGCCTGGAGGTTTGGAGTGGGGATCGTGATCTGGGAGTCTATCATGCCCGTCTCCATCGCCACCATGCGGCCCCGAACAATTTCGCTGCAGCTCCTGCTCAGCCAGTCACGAACGGCACGGGCAAGAAACGCCGGACGCACGAGTCATCAGCGCATCCCTCAGCCCCTGACACTGGAAGGACCCTGCAGTCTGCCAGAAGCGCAGGACGAGATCTCAACGACGAAATTACACAAGATTTGCTCGCTGAACGAAGTGATGATGACATGGACGACGACGATTCAGACGCAAATGGCGATGTCGATGGCGAAGAGAGTGATGTGGATATGGATTGATTATACGAGGCGCTTGTACCAGGCCTCCCTTGCGACTTCTACGCCTTGTATTCGTACTCCAGACGTGTAGCACACGTAGCCCCCAACTTGATCCAGGACTGCAAAGTGGCAACCGCACAATACGCAGGCACACTGCGACAGACCATTTCCTAACTGCTCCTGATACTGCAGATGCTGCAGCAGCATCAGTTTCGCGGAGTTGATTATTTCAACCTCGTCCGAACACGGCGATACGATTGTTCCGGGCTGAACCGGCTCAGCCTCAGCGTGGCAAACATTTGGAACCTTTGCAAGGCGATCTTGCAGGCAACAACAAACTGGGCCCCTAGCGCTTTCAATAACGTGCAGACGATGATCTTCAGCTCAGAGTCTCGTTCGTTAGCATTGCAGAACATATTCGTCCGTCGAAGGGATGGCGGAAAGCCTCACATCGAGGGGCTTTGTAATATGTCTGATGACAACATCAAAGGTCAAGCCACGCAAGGCGGCGGGCAAACCCAGAGTCTCCATTATTAATATAGGCCTTGAAAGAGACTTTCGCTTTCCAGCACCTGGCATCATGCGATCACGCATCAAGAGACGTCCGGGTTTGTCATTCAGTACACCAGGACTCGTCCTCCTCGTCGCTGATTGCTGTCCCGAGGAAGCTTCGTCGTCAATCCCCTGTGAACACAGGCGCAGGGAGCGGCGGGCCTAGACACGTGCTGACTGAATTCTGGGAAGAACTCACAGCAGTCGCAGATAAGTGAGCGTTTCCGAGTACCTAGGAGTGTCATCAACAGCAACGAAGGAGAACAGACGCATCGCGAACGAGGCCGCTCAATCTATATCCGTCGCGTGAGAACGCCGCGTGCGAGATAGGCGCCCACCCACGCATAGGTGCTAGGGAAGGAAGCAGATCTGACTCTTCTTTCCAAGACAGCCTACCGGGTACTCGTATGTGGCTCCGGTCCCGAGCAGCGAACAATACGCTGGGACCGCACTCCAGTCCCAGACCCCTTCGGTCAATCCATGCGTAGTGGAGGCGCTAATTTTACCTTCGGGTCGTTGATACCTGTTCTTGGGTAGGGCTTCCATGTTGCAGACCGAGTCGACCTACAAGCTGTCACACCGTCAACAATCTTGCCACGCCCCTGACGTTTTGGTGCTGCCTATTGGCGCTGCTCCACTGACCGTGGCGGTCTGCCGGCACGACACCAGGCCATGTCCCGTTCTCAAACAAGTCATGGTATGAGCACAGTCGGCCAATCTTTGAGCATCCCACCCGTCAAGAAGTGCATGCAACAGATGCAGTCTCGTACAGCATCACATGCGGACCCGAACACTGTCTTCATCAACCGACCTTACTAGCACTTTACTGGGGCTTTCAATGGTGTGCTCCTGCCTGTGTCTCGAAATGGGTTGTGGCAGAGCTCTCCTAGGGCGACCCTTTTCGTTCGATGTCTCCCGAAGCTTACATCCAACTGTAGCGTCCCATTCAAATGACGACGAGACGCTGACGCAGGGTTGGGCTACTGTGCTCGGGGCCTTCTCAAGCGCCTTTGGAGGGTACGCTGTGTCCATGGCCCGGCAATGCGGTTCCACATTCATCATGACTGGTGGGCAACTGCCGGAGCAGCTCCCTTTTCATTGTTTTGCAATAGGTTGGGACTGGGCTACAACCACCGTCAATCTTTCCATGCATCGATACCTGGCGCCATTCTTACGCCTCCCAAAGCCCAGGCCGTCCGCGTTGATCCGCCTGTCCACGGCTCCTAGGGATGAGTGTGCGACTTCTTCGAGCAAACCAGATCCGGGTCTGTAGCTTCCTCCACACCGGACTGTCGGCATGGCGTTTTCCCGTCTCCCACTCGACGTGAATGCAGTCATCACTGCATAGAGAGCGCAAATGATAAATGGTCTTACGAGGAGAAGTATCAGCCGACCAATATCCCCTGGATCACATACATCTTTACAAACTGCCACACGAGTGCCACGCACTCCGAGATACCGTGTTCAAGAGGGGTTTCAAGGCTCGGATATGGACGATATGAGGGAGGTCTCGTCTTCATCATTGAATGCCAATACTTGCAAGCGACAAGCAGCACGTTGAGCCACACCGACTACCACTTGATGTAACATTGAATCGCCTCTGATATACAACCTCAATCATGAAGTGTACACTCGACTCTCCGTATGTCCTGACGCCATGAACGGAGTTTCCGCGGCCGCCACGTGATGTTCCTGGTCAAAGAACCAAGGACAAGCTGCATGCAAGCGATTGCTGACTTATTGAGGTGCACGGCTGAGTCATTTCGAGACCCTGCCTTGGGTGCCCGGCATTAAGCTAAACGAAAGGTCCCTTGTCCCTTGACCTAGACCCCGAAACTTGGGGCCTTAACACGCACAAAGGGTTCGGCAATCTCACCAGGCAGAGCAATGACACCGAAGCATCCCAATGGTGAGCGCTAGGCCATGTGAAGATGGCCGCCACCAATATTGACCCTGTCTTGACCACTCCAATTCGACGGCTCGGGACCGAGAGCACCATTGGAAGGCCATACTGCAGAATCTTGCGAATATTGTTGGTGAAGACTGTGCTCTTGCATCGCACACGTCGTTATCTAATCAGCATCCCGTCTGGAGACCAAGCTGCTCTCTGATGCTGTTGACCATGTTGATGCCGGGCACGCTTACACATTCTCTTTTTCTGCAGGATTTCGTGTCCTGTTCATGAAGGACAAGTCGATCAAGGTTTCAAAAAAGATAAGTCCCCGTCCTTGTCTGAGGGCTAGGTGGTGCAAACACGGTTTCCTGAATGGTGTTGAATACAACCGAGGAGGTCATCTTCGTCATGCGGACGTGGCACGCCGAAGAGGTTGAGTGCAAGCAAGACGTTTCCTTCTCGACAGTTTCACTCTGCATTGGTGCTCCGGACAGGCGAGATTTTACCGTGGAGATGAGCGCCGTGCATCTGTTGAAGTGGTGGACGAGGACAACTGTTGGTGCTCTCGATCGACCCCTGCTCAAAATCAAGTATCCACTGTATTACTTCCATCCAATAACGACTTTGGCTGCCTCGGTCTCCTCACACCTCCTCCGGATAGCTTCTCTCGTAAATTAACAAGGTTGATCAGAGCATGAATCCCGCCCTGCAACACGGGGGCGGAGAGCAGGGATATCATGGGTCGACTGGTTCACGGCTCTCCGTTAACGACACCGTCCTCCACCAGTGATACTCTGGAAGAACGCCATTCGACAGGACGCCTGATCAAGTACACTCCGTGGTTCACCCACCCTTCATGTCGACTCTCCCCCGAGGAATTTTCTGTTGTTTTAGGACAAGCTCGCCAGCTCGTTCCATGCCATGGCCGTATTCAACATGGCGGCTTCTTAGCACGTGGCTCGGCACAATCCACCATTATCCATACCGGCTTCCTGTTGTTTGCCAGCAGCTCAAATAGGACGCCACGTCTCCTCTGGAGTGGCGCTTTGCTACGTATCTGATGCAGGATCCTGATTAATCAAACACTCAGTTCTTACCTCGATCCAGTACACAGGAAGAATTGTCTCTTCGTAACTCCAAGAACTACGTCGTAACCTCATCCCTCTGCACACGATCCATCGACGATCTCACGACCTCACGATCTCCTTCCACGGAAAAGCTCCCATCCAAGAGTTGAGCGCGTCGCATTTCCGCGCACCGAGACTCGATTCGCGTGCAATACGAGGCTGCCGTTGCTTAAGTTGACCACATTGCTGTTCCATTTGCGAGTTGTTCAAGCAGATTGCATCTACAAGAATACAACTCTCCGCTACGTTTCTCTTCTGCACGAACTGCACAACCTCTGGTCTGGAAGATTGAATCTTCTCCCTCATTGCTCGGCCTGAGTACGATCCATTGGCACTCACTCGTGTTGCAAGTGACCAAACAGCACACCCAGTTACTAGCCATTTGTCGACGATGCGAGAAAAAGTCGACGCGCTGGGGAAGGGATCTGAAGATACGGCTCCAGATATGAACAGCTTCGTCTCCGTCTTCCACGCCAGCAACCTGTACACGCAGCAATCTCAGCCACAACAGCAACGTCCGGACGAGAATTCCTACTGTTACATTCCCGGGCATTACTGGCAGACAATGGACTACTATGACATGGCATTGGACATCTGTACCGATTTCTCTGATGTGAGGCTGATGACGGTGCCGAGTTTATGACCCGGAGTTTCCCTAACACAACCTACAGCTGATTCACATTACTCCCTCTGTGATGCCGAGCAATGTCCCTCACACCCTGGCAGACGATCTAGCGTCACTCGAATGTCCACTTGACTTCGCGCCGGAAGCATACGGCAGTCCTGGCGAGTCATTACGCCTGCTAGGGACCGACTCGTCGGCTCAAGAGAGTCCAAGCGCCGAGACCAAATGCCCAGGCCACAGTCGATGCGCTGGTCAGCAGAGTCCCTGCAAGATGTGTCTACAGGACAAGAAGGAGGTTAGTTCCGCTTGACCCTTCGGCTTTCGCCGGTCGCAATCCACTTCACGCCGCAATCCACCATGACACTTGGTCTGAAGGCTGATTCAGCTAACACCGATTCCCTGATAGAAGCGAAGAGAACAGAATAGGAAAGCACAACGAAACCACCGATTGCGCAGTGAAGCCAAGCTAGAGCAGCTGAGAGCCCGACTCAAGACGCAGGCCGATGAGATCGTGATGCTGAGAGACTTCAACCAATCGTTGATGAAGCATATTGAAACGCTGGAGTCCAAAGGGAGGGACGGTGGAACCAGAGATGCGGGTGGCCCGAGTCAGGCACCGGATGCGCCGCTGCAAGGTGCGTCCGGTTCTGCTTGACTCTCTCTTTTGTAAAGGATGGAGAGGACCAAAGGCCAAGCCAGGTAGAGCAGGGCGCCCTGCTTCGAGACTAGCCCCGAGGCAGCCGGCAGGCATCATAGATGACGAGGACAGCTCCTCGTCCGGCTAGTGGTACACCCTTGTGTAGCGTGCGCACAAGAAGTCATAAATTGCTGGGCACTCGTATACACGTAGATTCTCTGTATCTATGAAGTGGCAAAATATCGCAGGAGGGACGTTGAGCTGTGAATGGCGCAGGTGGCGACAACGCCAAGAGTACCGAGGCATATACTGACGTGACTAGGCAGTCAAGTATCAAAGTGAAGAGTACGTAGTATTCGTACGAGTAATAGCACGGGGTAGCATTGGTAGTTGGCAGGCCACCGCTTACCGCAAGAGGCAAGCAACACCTCCGTGGTATATGGTCGAGTGAGGCACCAACTGATGCCTAATCAGCGCCGTCGTCGCCCGATGGAGAGCCTGGCGAACTTTGTTCCCCTGCCCCCTTTAGGTATCATCCCGTCGTTATGCGCCTGGAGCGTACGGAGTACTGTAGGCACCAGGAACATAACTCGGAATTCCTACGCCCAGAGGCAGAAATCCGGCACGTCGCCCACGGAGGAAGCGGCGCGCCGTGCCTGCTTAGTAGACAATCACGTGATTACGCGAGACGCCCCGCCCACGTGAATCGGCTCGCCTTCCTTATCGATAACAAAGGAAGTCTCCAGTTTTCCGATCTTCTGCCTGACCTGCGCCTTCGCCCTCGCCTTCATGAGCCTCCCCACCGACACCACGCACGACCTCGCTATTGACTCACGCGCTGCGGGCACGGAAATGGAGGAGGTCGAGGAGCGGGCTTCGAAAAGACGACGAATATCCAGAGACGCCGACTCGACTCCTCCTGCTCCGTTTTCCGACTATATCGTGCTCGCTCATGCCAGGTACACAGATATAACCACCGATCCGGGGCTCCCCACTGGGTCCGATGGCTCTTTCCTGGCAGTCAGTTTGCGGGACGTGACTCGATGCGAACGAGGCTATGAAATCGGATTCGCCGGTGGAAAATGGGCTCGTGAAAAGCGATTTTTGACAAAGGACTTGCCACCCGAAGATATGCGGATTTTGGAAGATGCTAGGAAGCTCGACTCGGTGGCGAGATACAAACATCCTGCAGCACTGCCGCTTGCTTGCGCCCATGCCTTCCTCCGGCAGGACGGTCAGGATATTACACTTGGGGTCTCCATTCTGTGGCAAGACACAGTCGCCCTGAGGGATAAGGTAGATCCGGCACTACTTGAAATTCTCGCTAAGTATATGCCGCCGACGAGGCCCATTTCGCCGGTGTTTGTACCGTGGGAACCCCGGCAGTTCTACGACAACGTGCATGTCCCGGAGAAGTCTGAAGCCAATTCTGCCGAACTCAAGATTCCGGCTCTGGAATCGACGTTGTTTCCCTTCCAGAGACGTGCTGTTAGATGGCTTCTTGCACGAGAAGGCGTGGCCGAGCAAGCGGACGGGAGCTTTCAGGCCCGGCAAGGGACGCCGAGCGATCAATCTCTGCATGGGTTCGAGAAGCATATAACTTGCTCCGGCGAAACCTGTTTTGTCAATCACGCCCTTGGTGTTGCGTCTACAGATCTGGCCGCTGTCAGGCAACATTTTGTGGCACCGAAAGGCGGAGTTCTGGCGGATGAGATGGGCCTTGGTAAGACTCTGGAGGTCATTGCTCTAATGTGTTTGCACCCCAGACCAACGCAGCTCGTGGAGCCCTCCGGGTTGCTACCGTCCTCCGCAACCCTCATCATTACGCCTCCATCGATCCTCGAACAGTGGAAGAGCGAGATCCAGGAACATGCCCCCAGTCTACGCGTGTACCACTACCAAGGGTTGAGCAGCTTCAAGAAATCCAGCGAATCGTACCTCGAAAGCCTCGTTGACCAGGACGTAGTTCTGACCACGTACAACGTCATTGCGAAAGAGGTCCACTATGTCTCAGAGAAGCCTGACCGCAACTTGCGGAACAAAAACACGCGCGAGGAGCCGCCGAAAAGCCCGTTGACGCAGATTTCCTGGTGGCGTGTTTGTTTGGACGAAGCGCAAATGGTGGAAAGCGGTGTATCTGCGGCGGCCACTGTGGCACGCCTTATCCCGCGGGACCATGCGTGGGCCGTCACAGGCACTCCGCTGCGGAAGGGCCACCGGGATCTATTTGGCTTGTTGCTGTTTCTCCGGTATGCCCCGTGGTGTCGGTCCCCTCGTCTATGGGATCATCTTGTCACGTACTATCGACCGCTGTTACGGGACATGCTTGGGGAAGTCGTAATGAGGCATTCAAAGGACTTTGTGCGGGAAGACCTACGACTACCGCCCCAGAACCGTCACACCATCACCATCCCTTTTACCCCTATCGAAGAACAGCACTATACCCAGCTATTCCAAGACCTTTGCGAAGACCTGGACCTTGATCGTACAGGTGCGCCTCTGACGGACGAATGGGACCCAGAATCACCTGCAGTGGTGGAAAAGATGCGGACTTGGCTGACCCGTCTGCGCCAAACCTGTTTGCACCCCGAAGTCGGCGGCCGCAACAGGCGCGCATTAGGTCGAAAGACAGACGGACCCCTGCGCACAGTCGAGGAAGTTCTGGACGTGATGATCGATCAGCACGAGGGTCAATTGCGTACGGCACAGCGTGCTCGTCTCATGGCAAAGTTAAGGAGAGGACAACTCAAAGAAAACGCCAAGGCAGGTAAAGAGGCGCTCAAAATTTTTCAAGAGGCCTACAACGAATCCCTTGTCGTCGTTCGAGAATGTCATACACAATATGATCAGGCACGTGTGTCTTTGGGTGTTAACAAGGAGCAAGGAGCCGTCAGTAATGAGAAGGAAGTCGACGAAGAGGCAAACCTCCGCTTATCGACTTTGAATGCTCGAGTGCGGTCCGCTCTGGAAATGCACCACATTGCCTGTTTCTTCATGGCAAATGCATTCTTCCAGCTCAAGTCAGTTCATCCCCCAGAGAGTGACGAATTCCAGCAATTAGAGGAAAAAGAAACAGCGGCATATGAGAAGGCCAAGTCGATCCGTGGCGAGTTGTTGAAGGGGGTCACCCGGCATGTGAACAAATTGGTGACGACGGTCAGAGCGAATCTTGCTGGAGGCTCCACCCAAATTCCCATCATGGAAGCGCCGACGGGGCTCGGCGGGATCGAGAGCAAGAAGATTTTTGAAAAGCTTCACTTGTTTTGTGAAGCGATGAATGTTCAAGCAGAACAGTTCCATGCACTCCAGAAGACGATGGCAGACTTTTTGGGCCAAGCACTCATTGACGAGGACGAGGGCGTCGAACTACAAGGTGACGAGTACGAAAGCTCGACGAAGCATCAAGACGAGATGTACGCATACATGGAAGCCCTCAGAGCCTTGCTGGCCGACCGCAATGAGGCTATCAGTGGTCAGGAGAACATGCTCATCAAGCAGGAGATGAAGCAATTCCTGAGCGTGGCAAAAGAAGGCGAAGGCCCGGCTCCCGACGTGATGCTTCGGCTGCTGGCGGAGCGTGAGCAAAAGCGCGTAAAGGTCAGTGAGTTTGGCAGCTTAAGAGGCATCATCGCCCAGCTCAGACAAATGGTGTCGTCTCTGCAGTGGCAGGAAGGCAACAACCAGAGCCGTGCGAGTCACGAGCTAGCCATTCTAGAGCGACTTCTGAAACACATGCAGCAACTCGGCGCGGCACAGGTCAAGGCTCTTACCGCTCTTGAACAGGACGTCAATCACTTCCGAGACACAATGAACAGCCGGCTGGAGTATTATCGGGCGCTGCAAAAGCTATCTGACCAGGTTGCCCCCTACCGAGAGGACTCGATCGGACAGCTGCTTGATGACCGACTGTATCAGAGCTTCCTCGCCGATGAGATGAGGCTACAGCAGAAGATTGATTCCATATCAGCCAAACTCCGATACCTGGTCCACATGAAGGCAGACGACTCGAAGTCCACGGCACCCAGAGTCTGCCTGATCTGCACCGACCAATTTGAAGTCGGGGCCATGACCTCTTGTGGTCATAGTTTTTGCAAGGAGTGCGTCATGCTTTGGTACAGCCAACACCACAACTGTCCGGTCTGTAAGACCAGGATACCTCCAAATGGGTTTTACGACATCACATACAAACCTGCCGAAATTGCTGTGCAGGCCGAGTCTCCTTCCACCTCTACCACGTCGTCACCCGGCTCACGCGCTGAACACCAGCACAACCAATCAATCTATTCCGACATTAGCACGACAATGTTGAACCAGATCAAAAATGTTGATATCCGAGGACCCAGCTACGGCAGCAAGATCGACTTTCTCTGTCGCCATCTCATGTGGCTCCGCGAGCATGATCCGGGGTCGAAGTCGATCATCTTCTCGCAATATCGGGAATTCATCGACGTCATTGCCCTCGCTTTCCAAGCAGTCAAGATCTCGTGCACCCGCATCGATGTGAAGAATGGCACGGAGAAGTTCAAATCCGACCCATCCATCGAGTGTTTCCTGCTCCACGCGAAAGCGCACTCGACGGGGTTGAACCTGGTCATTGCAAACCACGTCTTTCTCTGCGAGCCGCTGATCAACACTGCGATCGAGCTACAAGCGATAGCCCGCGTGCACAGAATCGGTCAACACCGCTCGACGAACGTGTGGATGTACCTTGTCGCCGACACGGTCGAGGAGTCCATCTACGATATCAGCGTGACGAGACGGTTGGCCCACATGAGGAGTAACGGCAGCAGTGGTGGAGACAGCGAGGGCGCCGAGGACGGCGACGACAAGAAGGGTAAAGGCAAGAGTAAATCGACCACGGCGTTGGCTTCCGCTGGGCAGTCGGGAACGAACACCCCTCGCTCGGACAATGTGCTGCAAGAAAACGCCATCGACGCAGCCAATTCGATGGAATTACAAGCCGCCGACCTCAGCCGTCTGCTCACGGCCGGCAAGTCCGGCGGTGAGATGGTGGACAAGGAAGACCTCTGGGGCTGCTTGTTCGGACGGATCAACCGACGGGATGGAGCTTCGGGCTTGAGTGCCCTGGCGGAGAGCCAGCCTGCAAATACCGAAGTCGGGAGGTTTCTCCGGGCAGAGGCAGCGACGGGGAGGGCCACGCAGTCGGATGACTTCAGTTGAGTTGAGTTGAACTCGCGCGTGGTTTGGTGTGTCGAGGATAGTATCAAGTCCGATCGAATCGAAAAGAAACGAATCTGAGGGGCATGTGTCTGTCGTCCTATCGTTTCTTTCCTGCCGCGGACTATTTCTCTCCGTTCTGTACCCAGTACTGTATTTGAGACGCACCGGTCGCCTAAGTAAGTTACTTAGGTGTCTGTGTGTGTCTCTGTGTGTGTCTGTGTGTGTCTGTGTGTGTCTGTGTGTGTCTGTGTGTGTCTGTGTGTGTCTGTGTGTGTCTGTGTGTGTCTGTGTGTGTCTGTGTGTGT